GATAGATAGATAGATAGATAGATAGATAGATAGATAGATAGATAGATGCTGATTCTTTCACAAACACCTCCACACCTCCATTTGTTTGTCCTTCCAGGCAATTCCTGTTTTTAATTAAGACCATGACTCTGTTACACTCGGGAATCCTAAGACTAAGATAAGGATAATCAGCCGTCTGAGCTCAAACATGCCCTAAACCTTCCTAACAGACACATAGGTGGGGGTGTCACTGGGATTAACTAAAACCATAGATCTGATCTCCGCTGACTCAGCACTGTGAGGGTAAGAAACACACACCTTAGGCATCTGTCTTTTTAAATATCTGTCACTTATCCTTAGGAAATCCCTGTTTCCCTCCATGTTTTAGCCTCAAAGGAAACGCCACCCACTTCTGCATTCGGTGCAGTTAGAATTCAAGATTGAAAATCCGAAAAAACATTCAGAATCTATCGTCACAAATGCTGGATAAACGTCTCGCTGTCGCTAGATACGCGGTTTTGTTCACAAATCCCCCAAAACTTCTGTTGCATGCCTTTTATTTTTCACATCATAACCTCCTGCTGAGCAGGAGTTACCAAAATATGCCAATTATATTTTCAGTCAAAATGGAGCTCGCAGACTTTGTCATATAAAAGAGTTGTAAAACAAAAAAGAGTTAAATACCAGCTTGCCAAAAACTACACTTATTAACTAAGTGGTGTTCAGGCACATAAATGCGGATTGAATGAATAAGTCGTCAGTCAAACATACAGCATATAGTTGTTGTGATAGTGGTAGCCTTTCTTAAAATGTTTTACAATTTCCAAACGCAGACAATGAATTGAGTATTTCGTCTGCATTTTGTTGAAGGTTTCTGACAGAAAAAAAGTGTAAATAATGAAGTAACTTAGCTACGAAGGTGATTTGTTTATTTTGCTTATTTGACAGGGACACAGCCTCTAGCGTGTAAATATTTAGGTGCACTTTGTTGCCATGTTTCTGATGTGCTTTGTTTATTTTCATTTTATGAGAAATATGAATTAATTATGAGTTTTTCTGTTTGTGATGAAATAGTCATACATTTCCATATAATTAAAGCAGAAAACTGGAGGCCCATGCAAACATTTGTCATAAATAATTGAAGTGCTATGGAGCCCACAACAACAGGACCGAAAGGCTTTTCTTCTTCCTCAAATCTGGTGCTTTGCAGAACATTTGAAAACGTTCCCGCTTAATTTCCCCCCAAAAAAAACAACAGCTGCCGCAGTCAATGGTTTTGCATCTGTTTTCGTTGCCATTGTTTCGCTCAACGGCCCCTTGACTAAAATGTCTGCCGCAACAAATCCGTGTATTTGTCACCAAACCGGCGGGATATTTGTTGGCAGAGGGTCCAGCATCACTCATTTGTGTCCTTCTCCTTCAATCCTGAAGCCGTATAGCTTGAGACTCGATGAACTGTGAGGTGTACTGATGGTTTTATCCACTGATTGCAGCAGCTGCACCCTCACCTTGCTTTCAGGGCTGCGTGTGTGTGTGTGTGTGTGTGTGTTCCACATTACGACCACATTTTGTTGTTGAAGCTGACAGCTGTTGAAGGACCAGTGACCTTCAGTCCAGATATTAACTGTAGGTCCACCAAACACATTTAGTGGAAGGAGCGCATGCTCATACCACCGTATATTTCAGCTTGATTTGATGTTTGTGGGAATTATGAAAGGTAGGATGGAACGGATTGGAGTGGCGGGGTTTAGATTACCGCTTTCCGACCCCCCCCCACCCCCTTCTCTCTCCCTAAAGCTGATTAGATGTAGATTTTTTTCACCCTTCGTGTTTTTCGGGATCTGTTTGGTCGTCTTAGTGGAAAATTTGCCGAAGTAAGAATGTCTGGTAATGAGATCAAGAGGCTTTTTGGCTTTTTTTTTTTCCTGCAATTCTGCTGAGCTCTGGGTTTCACTTAAGTGTCGCCTGGGGCTTTTGTAAACACGTCCAAACACCTGCCGCTGCGCTGAAAGTTGGCTGATAATCTGGGGATGTGTGAGCGTGAGACTGGCCAGAGGAGCCGTCCCCGTGCAGACCCCAGTGGTCAGAAAAAGCTAGAAGTCCAGCGGCGGCGTGCTTCTCTTACCAAAGCTCCAGCTTTTTGATCATGATGGGGTAGTTTAGCTCCTCTGTGTTCTGCTGATTCCTGCTCTGCATGCCTGCTGCCACACTGCTCACCAGAAAGCTCCCCCCCCCGCTGCTCGCTGACTCCAACACACACTCTCGATCTATATTCCCCCCTCGGTGCGAATCTAACAGCATCCCTCCCAAAGGGAACCTCAGCAGGGAAGCAGGGGAGCAGCGAGGTCAGAGCCCAGACTATAAACATTAATAGTGTACATGCTGTACATCTACGTAGTCATTTGTTCCACATGAGCTGGTTCCCTTAAATAACAATTGCCATCTCATCTTATCTTCCCTGGCTCTCTATTGCAGTGGTTTTCCAACCTTTTTTGACCCAAGGTACATTTTTTCATTGAAAAAATCACGAGGCACACCACCAACCAAAAATGTCAAACAAATCTGTAGCCGCCTATAGTAACACTATAGTTATTCTTATCTTATCTTAAGTGTCTTGAAAAGGAATCAAGTAAACACAAAAATGTATTTTTATCATATTTTATATTTCTTCTTTCAAATTGCACTTAACATGTCCATCTCAATTTACAAAGTTATATACAAAATCTAGTCATAAGGAATTATTACATGATTACTCCACCAGTCACTTGTACAGCACAGACACTCAAAAATTATTTGCAGATAATTCATTCCTTGTCAAAAGGATCAATTTTAGATCAATTAGGTGAAATAGGATGATTTTCTACGGCCATCACTCATGGCACACTAGTGTGCCGAGGCACAGTGGTTGAAAAACACTGCTCTATTGTTTACTGTGTCTCTTTCCTAAAGAGCAGTTTGTTGTTGTTGAGTTTTTTTCTTCAAACACATAAACTGTAGTTTGAGAGACAACAGATTTGCCCTCAGTATACTTTAGAGGGCTCTTTGTTTATTTGCCCTCCCGATCGCGCAACTGTCTCGTTGGCCCCTTTCATTGGATGGCCTTTAGCGGGCTCGACACGCGGAGCCACCAACAGCTTTTCCCTGTTCAGGGTCGCACTGAGATGGAGCCTCTGTCAGCTGACACTGGAGACGAGGCGCCGTCGCCAGTCCGTCAAAAGGTCGACAGAATGTGACAGCCAACTAGCACGCGTTCACTCACTGAATAGCAGGAGGAAACTGGACCACGCAGACCGAAGCCGACTCCAGACAGAGAGAGCTCTCCAGTGCTGAAGAACTATAATCTATATAATATGTTAACAGGAATACATCAGGTGTGATCACATAAACCTCAATATTTGAACTTTACTTACATATTAATTAATGAGATATTGCTGTGTATAAACAATAACCAGTGTTACATTGGGTTGGATAAAAGATTCAACACCTTTTTCTTTTGTCTTTTTATGTGTTTGGAACCAAAATGACCATATGACTTGTGTTAAAAGTCAAAGGAGCAGAGGCTATTGGCTGCCTTTAACTTTAATTTACTGTTTTGTTTCTTTTCCCTTCCTTTAACCACATTCCTCAGGGAAATGTCATTTGTTTAGTCCAATTAGAATTTGATCACATGAGCAAAACACAAAACACAAGACATGTCCACTCAAGCTTAAAATGCCTTTTATTCCAGTTTAAAGAAATCATCAAGTTTGGGAGCAGCATTTATTGATTTCTCAGTATAAATTTGTGGTGTTTCAAAGGAATAATTCACAGGTGGAAAATTAGTTTTGTCATTCAGCTTTTCACGAGTCTTTTTGGAGCATGTGTTACCAGTTACAGGGATGAAAAGAGTCCAGACGTGCTCTCACTTACTGGGCCTGGTGTTTCATATCACTTTTGAATCGAGTATCAAACGGTGTTAAATCACTACACCGGATTTCCAACCACTGAAGTGAGCTCAGTTTCAGGCGCAGGCAATCTCTCTCGCTGCCCTTTGAGGCAACAACATGTAATACTTTCTAATGGGATTTCTGAAATGGAATGAAACTTCCTCCAGTGATTAGTTTAGTCCTTCAGAGTGTCGACCTGCAGCCACTGCTCAGGGACGACTCTCCCCTCGGGTCCACCACACGAGTAGCAGAGATCTGACCTTAATCTAAATTTTGGGTCTCCTGCTAGGCTGCGAATTAAATCAGCCCTATCCCCCGGTGTGCACGTGTGTGTGCGTGCATGTTTGGGTGTGTATTTGTTAAGAGGGCAACACCATATGGCCAGACTGATCATTAGGAAGGCTGCTGGAGGCAAAAACCACTGTAGCTACCCCCCTTACACACATTTACGCACTCGCCCATTCATACACATGCACGGAGCCGCTCGGTGAGTGTCATGATAGATCGAGATTGGAGACTCTGATGGACCAGTGCACTTAAGCTTTTTTCCTCGCACAAACAAGCGTATACACTCCTTGGTATCATAATGAAGGTCCTCCATGTCTCCACAGATGGTGTTTGTTTCTTAAAGTCTCCTTGGTGCTGGTAAACAGAGAACAAGCTGGACCCAGACAGACCTTCCTCTGGGCTATTACCATGCATCTGCGTGCGTGCGTGCGTGCGAGCGCGTCCACACGTGCACAGAAAGGGTCGGGACTCGTTTATGCGTATTGGCATTTCTCTGCTACTTTATCGTGAAAGAGGAGTCAGGAAAGTTCCGAATGATGGACCAAATGAGAGGAAAAGGAGCAAGGATTGATCTGACAAAACAGAAGACAAATAAGAAGAAATGCTATAAAGGAAAGGAGAGTAAAACATAAAAAAGATAGGCAGATGACAAAAGAATTAGGAGGGCGGTGTACAGATGAAAGCATAGAGAACTATTAAGCATGAGGGAATAGACGTGTACAGGAAACAAAGGAAAGATAAAAGGTGAGCTTGAAGGAAAACAAGAGGACCCTAAAGGCAGAGTATAGATGACAAGATTATCATTGTCATCAGGTTGTCGCATAGTTAACACTCCATAGCGTGTTTCTCTTGTGGTTGTGAGTTCTTCATTTCTGGTTAGTCCCTAATAATAATGGTTAGTGCTAAATAAACAATCCATGCAGTGGTTTTCACCAGACTGAGCTCCTCCAACTGTTTTACCAATAGTTTAAAGTTGTCATGCAGATAACTGCGTCTCTCTTTAGTGATGAACAATGCAATATAAGTTCCACTTTGCTGTTGATGAAAACTGGCAGTTTGGTGCCTCACCTTCCCTTGCAAGTCTAATGATTTTACTTGGTGGAGACATCAGACATATCTGTGTTCTTGTCAACTTTGAGCCAAAGTTCTCGCGGTTCACATGTTCACATGTTCTTTTTCTGGATGTCCCCTCGTTATTATTCTGTTTGCACTCTATATTTGGCTGTGGCTCCTCACTCCCAACTAATTTCACCATATATCTGCATCAAAATCTTTCAGAGTAAATATGGCTATGGGTAAGAAGAACGCGAGGAAAACCAACATATGAATGGACAATATGATCTAAGATGGATTGATTTAATATTTCCATTTATTTTGACGGTAATAGCCACTTAGATGTTGTGTGGCACCTCGTTGTTGAAGAAGGATCTGTAATGCAGATGTTGACTCTGAAGCACCATGACTGGGAAAATTGGCCACTGAGAGCTAAAGACTTCTTTGTGAAACTCTGAAAATTATTATTTTTTGCTAAGTATCAAGGTCAGCACCTTTTAGTGACATGATGTACAGCAGATTTAGGCCCGGAGCACTCACTCAGGGCATGCTGTGCTGTGGAATCCATAATCAACCATCAATAAGCAGAGAGAAATGAGAGGAAATGGTCATTGAACTGTGAATTTGTTTTATCGTCCTTTGATATAAACTCTTTTTATCTTTTTAAAATTCACTATTAAGCCTATGTGTACACTCTAAGCAAGCAATACTGTTTTCTGTCTACTTTCAGTTGTGTACAGAAACAGACTTGTAAAGGTGGCTAATATTCCGAACAACTGTGGGGCGAAATCTACAGGAAATTCTGTGAATTTAGCAGCAAGTGTGTGCTCCAGCTCTCACTTGTCGGTTTGTGAGTCTTGTCCTTCTAAGGACACTTATTAAAAGATGAGCATCTGGAGGGATCTATGACAGCTGAGGTGGGGATTGCATCTGATTAAGATGCATCCAGGATGCCCCACAGTGGAGTTCATCTGAGCATGCTCCGGGGAACGGGAAACCCGAGTCCTATAGCCACAGAATAAAAAAATGAAGAAGGGTTCTTCCCTCTAAACGCAACTTGCCATTTGTGCATTTAATGAATTGCAATTTTTGGGAAACATAGTAGTCTAAAGATAGATCATAGAGCTAATACTCTACCAAAAAGCCTCTGCTTAAGGTTAGGTAAAAGAGGGCCAGATGTTATGGTTAGTGGGGAATCTGAGAAAAGTCAATGTAATGTCCTCTGGAGCGATGGAACAACAACTGTGTGTGTGTTTCCATGTTTGTCCTTGTGTGTAGAGGAGAAGTGGAGGGAAAGCATCTAATGAGCCCCACTGTGAGGGATGCTTGTTTTCCTCTCAAAGATGTGGTCACCGGTCTGTGTGTCTGCAAGTGTGTGTGTGTGTCCACTGTCGATCAGATTTATTAACTTGACTCCTAAATCATCCAAAAATCTTAGCTGCAATGTGAAAGCAAGAAAACGGGCAACAGCTGTGTTCAGGCTTCTGCTGGGTCAAGAGAGAGAAATGCATGTTTAATACACTACTAGTCCATTTTTTAATCATATGAATTGCTTCATCTGCTTGTCATCATGTCTCTGGCCCATCATGTTTCTCTAAAGCTGAGGTAAATAAATTGCTTGTATTTCCTACATTAAACTAGACTGATTGTAGAATTCATGGCAACATTTTTTTAACTGTCTGTCTTGTTTCCTGCTGCTGAAAACTTAATGTCTACTAAATCTATAAAGGTGTTTGTAAGTGGAGCGTAAATGAGAAGTGATGTTAATTACTAAAGGTCTATCAAATTTTAGATCTGAGTTGAAGTCAAGGTTGCCATGTTGAGATGAAGTGCAGCATTTCATCTGAGATTTTTGTGAATAAAAAAGGTTGGAGTTAATATTTTTTTATAAAGAAAATCATTTTTTTCTGAACAAAAACCTACTTGTAGTGGGCCTAAGATTTTGTAACCCTCTACCACAGAAGTCTTTTTTCTAAATGAGTTACACTTAGAGGGAAGACACATTCTTAGCAAAAGGTAGTGGAGTCAAGTTAAAGATAGGAAAATTAAATTACGCTGTAGCTCCAAATGTTTCGCACATTCATTTTCATAAGGGTTTTCCCATTAAATTTTTTATTGCTTTACAAATGGTTGAATGGACATCTGACAAAAGTGATACAGGTCATCACAGCAGTGAGATCCTCATCTGAATGCATTCATCGGAAAATGCATGGCAGGCATTGTTGGCTGGGAAACATGACTGTATTTTACAGCATATGCCACTTTAAAAGCTCCATCTGATGTGGGTCTTTTTTGTTATTCTCGTCATTTCTGAGAAATCATAAAAAATGTATACTCTACAATTATATCATAAAAAATATTTTTATTGCATGAGCAGATGAAATGATATGTGCCTACTTTGATTAAAAATTATATTAAAACTATTGTTTTTTATGTAAAAGTAGTTTTTTGGAACAGAAAAAAACTGTGTTTCTACATTTCTCCCATCCAGGGGCCAACGCCAAGCTGCGATACCAGATCACTTCAGGGAACACGATGGGGACCTTTGATGTGGAGCCTGAGGTGGGCACCATCTTTGTCGCTCAGCCGCTCGACTACGAGATGGAGCAGCGTTACGAGCTCCGGCTGGTCGCCTCCGACGGGAAGTGGGAGAACGAGACACTGGTGGTGGTTCAGGTTGTTAACCGCAACGACGAGGCGCCAGTCTTCAGTCAAACCGAGTATCACGCTGTCGTCATGGAGGAGCTGACACAGCTTCCTGTCTTCATCCTGGAGGTCAGTAACTCTGCCCAAGAGGCTGGTGTTCTAGATCTCTGGAATCATTCTTATAGGTTACTATGCATCAGACCGTGATATTACAATTATCAGAATTTGATTTATACAGAAAACTTTTTTCAGATTGCCACCAAATATTTGAAAGCGTTCTGGAGTACCTTGATATCTTTAAGCAAACACAGGTCCACCTGTTCGCTAACCAAACTATAAGAATAGAAAAGTCCCTAGTCTTTCAATACACAAATCCACCCACCCATACTTTTTCTAGTTCTAAGTCAGGGTCACGGAAGGGTGGAGTTTATCCCAGCTGTTATTCGCCAAGTGGCAGCTCACCTTGGGCAGGTCTCCAATCCATCACATGGTAACACAGAGATGAACGAGAGATAGAAGCCATGCTCACTCACTCCTTTGGTCCATTTAGAGTCTCTAATGAACCTGATGTGCCTGTGTTTGGCTGGCAGCCGGCCCGCGGCCAGGATTCAAACAGGGGGCCCTCTTCCTTGCCACAGTGCTGGGCGCCACAGCACTGTGCGGAAAGATTCGGATTGTGTGCCAAGGGACGAGCAGGTTCTCATTTATAATGCAGCTTCCTCGCTGAAAGTGTTTTTGGAAGAAAAAAGACATTTTAATTCTGTGGAAAGGCCGCACATTTCCTTTCTCCCAGTGCCTATTGGGATACCATCCCACTGCCGTTGACCCCACAAAGCATATGGAAAATGAGATGTAGGAAAGTTTGATACCAGGATAGATGTTCATAGGAACTGCTGGTCGGATGTCCGCTTAGTGTAGATGAAACTATTTAAAATGTAAACCTGACAAAACCAGCACCTCTGGATGAAACTCCAGGATGAAGGAGCTCATTGTGTCTCGGGTAATGTGAACAATATGTGTAATATATCAGGTTGAATGCGGACAAATCTAATTGCTGTGGTTAAATGTTAAACATATAGCTGAATTAGCCTGGAGCGACACCTCGCCACACAGCCTAACACATGACACATGTATGACACCGTTTAACACAACAAGAGCTAAGAGAGGCACCGAGGTTGGAGCAAAGACAAAACCTCCTGTCAGGAAACACCGACCACCTGAAAAGTTCCCCCCCTGAAGAATCAGAGCTGACCTCCTTCCTCTGTGGCTTTCATCCTCCTTTTGTCACACCTATCTCCGGTAATTCGCAGTCATTTGCATGTGCTGCCAAGCCTAATCAGATTAGAAATGTGGAAACATGTCTAGGAAAGGAGGAATAATCTCTGTGAGGGAGGCATGTGTCACAGAGCCCTCAGCCCGGGCCTGCTGGAATTGATTTGCTGTGCGTTTGGTTCCTCAAACGCTCTCCGTCGTTTCTTCATGGCGTGGCAGACGGGTCCTCCCCAAACGCGCGCCTCTCTCAGCCCCGTGCACTAATACAATTCAGTAGATAGCGAACAGAGGAGAAAATCCAATTTGAGATGAATATTTTTTGACTTCACCTGTGCGACAGCCTCCTCTGTGGTGCCATCGCTACTCATCTTCACTTTTGTGTACCTGGATCGCATTGTCAGGGAATGGGAAGAGGCACTGTGGGGGAGGTGACTGCGGAAGGGAAGGGGGGACTTCAAAGGCTTCTGTAAACAAACCCTCTGGTGTAAAAAAGGGGAGACGAAAGAGCAAAAGTGTACTTTTTCTTGCTTTTGTCGGCGTCTATTAACTTTTAATTGCGTTGTGTGTCTCGGTGACAGATGTGAGAGCTCGCCCGGTTGCCGCTGCTCTTGTCCCCTTGTTCAGAGAGATAGCAGGAAGGCAGGTTAATTAAGCAAAGCAGGACAAAGCAACAGAGAAATGTTTATTCCTGTGCTGTTATGTCCCTGCGTGCGAGGGCAGCTGCTGCAATCAGCTCCCCGCTGCACGACTTGGCTGCTGAACTTGACATTTCTACATAATGAAGAAGCAATTCAGCTGTTTTGATAAGAGAGCCGTGGTAAGAAATAAAGAGGGAAAAGGAATTGTTTCTTATTAAGAAGAAGTAGAATGTTATTGGATTGGAATGGAACGTCGACATGGCGCCTTTGAACGCTTTCTGCAACAATTGTGACGGCGAACAGGTACCTTTTGCTGAGGTATTCATTTAATAACTGACGTTATTGCTAAAGCAGCCGCAAGTTAGTGTTCTGTGAGATTGGTTGATTTTACTGACACTTTGTGGATGAAAGACAAATGCAGGAATCTCACCATGGTTCAAAGATGTCTATTTCTCACAAGTTTGTCTTGTGACATGTCGTTTGACGTTTCTTTAGAGGCAACTCAAGGCTGCAAAGTAAAAACCTTAAATATAGTCAATGTCTTTTAACAACTTAAAAAAAAAAAATTTAAACTATACTCCAATTGTGCAGCGCTTATAAGAAACTGTTTCAGATTGTGTATACTTTTAAAGAATGGAGTAGGAGAGCATTTATATGAGCCTTGGTCTGAAGACAGCTACAGAAAGAAGCAATGTTGAAGCAACATCTATTTAAGTGTGTTGCTGACACATTCAAGTTGTTGTTAGAACATTTGCATCTTTTATTCAATGCATATGAAGTCATTCCATTTAAATAAATATAGCTTTCTGAAATCCTACACGATGCTTCATGCACAAATTTCTCACCCAAGACAATTGCGTTTACTGAAGACCTCAAGGAACTTAAAACTCTGCTTTTAGAGCAACAAAAAAAATGTGTCTGAGGAAGAACGTTTTGCAGTCAGAGAATAATGCATCTTTCCTGAATGACATCACTCCAATTCAGGCCTTCTTCTTCTCCCTCAAAATAGCTCAAACCTCTTTTAGACAAGTCAGCAAACCCTCGCTGTTTAGAATATTCTGAGGTCTTTAAATGTCTTCCTGTCGACACATTTATATTTAGCTTCCTTTAGTGATATTCACTGAATGGCAAAGAGTCACTCCCAACGCAGAGTTGTTTCAACCTTTGTATAAAAGCTGTCACATATCTCATCCAGTCTGCCTTTTTATTTTGTTAACTGTATCAGTGCTGCTAAATCTTCTTGCATTTTATGCGTTTTTTTAACATTCTGGTCCAAGAACTTGTGAGTTATAACAGTTTTCTTTTCCCTCCTTTTTCCCATGGGATGTTTGCAGGTATCTGCGACGGATCCAGACCAGGAAGCTGACCAGACTGCCCTGCGTTACACACTCCATGGCCAGGGTGCAGGTGGAGAATTCACAATTGACGAACACACTGGCAGAATCTACGCTCAGCGTCGCCTGGACCGCGAAGAGCGCCCTGCCTGGAGGTTCCTCGTCCTCGCCACAGACGAGGGCGGGGCGGGGCTGACGGGATTTGCTGACGTGCTCTTAGAAGTCAGGGACATTAACGACAACGCCCCCTATTTTCCGTGCCCAAGTCTGGAAGCGGATGGCTGCTTTGTCGGCCAGGTGCCCGAAAACTCCCCTGCTGACACCTCAATCATGGAGATGCGCGCAATGGACCTGGATGACCCGAATGAGGGCCGGAACGCCATGCTGACCTACAGCATCATCAAGAATATTCGCAACGAGATCAACCTTAACCTGTTCTCCATCAACGCGACCACGGGGACCATCTACACGGTTCTGCGTTCCCTGGACCGGGAGTCAAATGACCGATATCTGGTGGTGGTAGAGGCCCGAGATGGGGGAGGTCTGTCGGGGACAGGGACCGCCACCATTATGGTTTCAGATGTAAATGACCACCCACCCATTTTTACGCAGCGGCTCTACACCTCTCAGGTGATTCGAAGATGGTTCCTACTCAGCATTCAACATCTGGATTTGCAGTCTGCATATGAGTATTAAATGTAGAAGTTCTTGTGTCTTTCAGATGACGGAGGATCTGGAGGTGAACAGCGAGGTCCTCGTGGTTTCTGCCACCGACGGGGATGAGGGAGAGAATGCCGTCGTAACTTTCAGCATTGTCGGTGGAGACGAGGACAGGAAGTTCTTTGTCGAAACGGACAAAGTCAATCGGCGGGGGGTGATAAAACTTAAGAAGAAGGTTGATTTCGAGAAACCGCATGAGAGAGCTTTCAACCTCACCCTGAAGGCGGAGGACGCCGACTTTTACAGCCTGGCCTACTGCTTTGTTCAGGTGGAAGACTCCAATGATCACGCCCCTGTCTTCCTGCCGCAGTTCTATGAGTCCCCGACCATGTCGGAAGATGTTCCCGTGGGAACAATCGTGGCTCAGGTCACAGCATCTGATCTGGATTCGGGCCAAAATGGTCACTTCTCTTACAGTATTTCCAAAGAATCAGATCCCTACGGTCAGTTCCTGGTAGACCAGTCAGGTTGGGTCGTTGTGGCTGATTCCCTGGACAGAGAGAAAATTTCTCAGCACAGGATCATGGTCCTCGCAGTAGATGCTGGTATTCCACACCTGACTGGCACTGCCATCGTCATGGTGACCGTTCTTGACGTTAACGACAACGGCCCCGAGTTTGAGGCCCCCTATAAGCCTATTGTTTGGGAGAATGTGGCAGCACCTCAGGTGGTGCGAATGAATGAAACTTCCCTTCTTCTTCACACCACCGACCGCGACACCTCCACCAACGGCGGCCCGTTTTCCATTCGCCTCCTCATGCTCACATCAGACGCCACCAACTTTAATCTGACGGACTACCGGAATGGAAGTGCAGCCATCACCACCCTTCGCACTTTCGACCGTGAGCGCCAGAAGGAGTACCGCCTCCCCATTCTCATGATTGACAGCGGCTCTCCTCCTATGAGCTCAACCAGCACGCTGACGGTCGTCATTGGCGATAGGAATGACCACCCACACTTACCCGGACACACCAACTTCATTGTGTATAGTTATGAAGGTATGTTTCACTCTTTATTGGACCCTGATAGGGTTAGGAAGAACAAAACGGTCAACTTTTAGATGTGCTGGGTGGTACATTATTAATGCATTTATTCACTTATCATTATTTAAATGATACACTGACAGAGGATAAATAACTTGTTTCATTGGTTTAATCTAAAAATTGATGCTCTCACTTTTTGTCTGTCACTTGCCAGAATAAGCAGCATTTAAAAATAAGCACGCCTGTGGGGCCTGTATAAATATTTCCTTAATTTGTGAGATGCTTCCATATTAATGTGAGCAAATTGCACATTTGAAGGTGGTTCCAGGTCTTTCCTGGATTTAGTGAGGATTAAAGTGAACCGAAGTCAAATTCAAGCAAAGTAGCTGAAAGCCGATGACGCTTTTTTCCAGTCTTGGATTTCGTTCAGATTCCTTCATTTGCATTTGTTTTCTGGATTGGATTTTTCTTTAAATATTTAATTTCATTATTTAATTTGGCAAGCTTCATTGTCCTTACAAATGCTTTACTGATTTATGCCCATTTCACATCTCCTGGCAGTACCACCAAGTACTTTCTGCTCAAGTTAAGACTTGGTTTGTTTAGGGACAGCCCTTGTGCTTGTGGTAAACAAATAAGAGAAGATTTGTCATTCACTCATTATTGATTGTCCCGGTTGGTCTTCCGACTGCTGTCTTTCTGATCACAGATGGGTCGCTCTAAACTTCTGGTCCATTAGTATCCCTCTCACCACCTCCTGAGCGCTCTCAGCTCGTGTACTTCTCACAGATGAACGCTCACCTCCCCCCCCCAAATGAAGTCTGCATCATTTATTTAGCATTTCATACCATCTGTCTACATGTTGTAATTTCCAGAAAAAAAAAACAGAAGTTTTCCCTTATGTATTTTTAGTGGATTCTCTCCCCGGGCTCCTGCCATGTAAAAATACATTAACCTGCTAATACGAATCCATCACGTACCTCGACTACATGCCACGAAGCAAACAATTAACTCCAGCTTAAGTCCCAGGTTTGACAGGCAAATAAACAGGAGACATTTTTAAAAGGCAGCCGATTTCATGGTTAAAGAGATTACAGCACTGTGCAAGCGGTTCTAATGTGTGCACGTCTTCCTGCTGCACCATCAAACCACGGCCGTGCATGCCAAGAAGGCGTCACCTTATCTTCCTTAAGAAGCCTCCTCTTTCTTCCTTTCATTTTTAATATTTGGGTCACACCACAAGGACCCCTTGTGTTCAAAACTAATTCCTATAACTAATGCATTTTTATGCTTTTTTTGTGGCTTCTACTTTCCACCTCCTGATAGGTATTCTCCCGATGACAGTGCTCGGACAAATTCAATCCCCTGACCTTGATGACTGGAGTGAGAAAGTATACCGATTCGAAGGAAAATCAACCAGGTACTTTGATGTCTCTGGCAAAACTTTGAATGGAGCTACGAAAAGAGGGATGTGTTTTAGTTTAGTGTAGAAATAATAAGCTTATTTGCAAAGAGAGAGTGAGGAAAAGAGTGAGGAACTGAGGTAATATAAGTAATATCAAAAGACCCCAGAAGCATTCTTAGTTGAAAACACACATTTAATGTATGAGTTGATCATTAATGTAAATGTAGCACGATGCTATAGTGTTTTAGACCTCCAGGCCACCACTCACCTGTTTTTGAAGTAGAAAATCCATTTCTGAACTATAATGTAGGACACTGTAGATGTGAGTGATTAGTTTGAAATGTTAGATGGAGTTGTTTTAAGTTTCATGATTTCACGGAATGCAGTCCTGTAGCTCCGGTCAGAGGCTCTGTTTGTGTTAAAAGGCAACACTCTAGCTTTCAGATCTCCCCACAGTGAGCCTTTGACTACACAAAGTAGGAAATTAAGATGTTTCTGTGTTCCAGAAAATCAAAAGAAAAGAAAAAAAGAGTAGGTCAATGAGTGACAAGTGAAGGGTTTAGCTCTATGCAGAGAAGATGAATGGGATGAATTCCCTTTTAAAACAACCATAAGAAGTGTTGGATAAAAGCATTATGGGAAGGGAAGATGTAAAGCAGTTCTAGGATGCGTTCAAACAGGCATAGAAAAGACTCACTTGTAAAGTTTTCCCAACCATGTGACATTAAGCAAGCCAAAATAAAAAAGGATTGAATAAAAGAGGCACGGGGGCGACAGATTTAACATAGAGGGCAAAAGACAGTATATTCATGATGTGGGAAAAAAGGAGAAATGAAATGGGGAAACAGGCAGTTTGAAGGGAGAAACAAAGAAAGAATGATCGAGAATAAAGAGTGTAAAGAACAGGGAGGAAAGAGAGATAGAAAAGGGGCTCTGACTTGTCAGGAACAGTGCTATTAATACTTCATAACCAGCGGTATTGAAAATTCCCAGTGAAGCGCAGTGAGGGCACACTCATTTTGTTTGATGAGGCGAGGCTTCATGCGGACGCGTTGAAAGAAGAGCCTGATTGCACTCCCTGCCACCTTGTCTTCTAACGAGATACCTACAAGGAGGGACGACAAGAGACGACAAGAAACAGTGGAGAACAAAGGAACCACTAGGGAGAGAATTACCATAGACACTCCTGAGCCAGCTCCCCTCATCATTGCATCCAGCAGACAGCAATTTGTTGGCAGAACGGATCAGGTCTAGGCTGCAGGTTATTTACATATAGAAAAGATAAAACATAGAGGAGAATAAAAAAGTGCAAAGATTTCTGATGAAACCCCCACTTGGCCGATAATAGCCTGTCACCTCACGGGGAGCCAGTTCAAACTGTGTGTTACACATCAGACATCAACACCCCGCCTCAGCAGAAAAAAAGACTTCGGTTCGGGTTTGTTTCATTCGTTTTTTTATTTTTTGTCGATTAGTTTGAAATCTTCAGAGTATGAATCTGCAGCTCGGTAGCAGTGAACTGATCCATCTGGCCTGAGCAGTGAGGGTTGCCGCCGTGTGAAGACGTTAAACTGTGACACCACCCTGTGGCACAGATTCTCCACCATGTTTGAGGGTGCCAAAGCTGTCCCGACACACGGATCCATGTTTGACAGCTGACGTCCATCTGGTTGTGGCGAGACCTGAGAAATCCCATCTGAGCTGGACTTTACCCAGATTTTAATGTCCCAGTAAAACAGGTCTTTAGTGGCATCAGCTCTGACTTGATTTGAATCCAATATGCCCGTCTTTGCTTTTCTTGAACAACGCTGGTAATCAGAGAGGTTGGATTGGCATTTCCGCGGTTCTCAGTTGATTGAAATTGAGGTGTTCTCACATTTTAATTAAGCGGGCAAGAGGGAAATCTCACAAAGCCACTTTAAGCTTCTGCTGAACTATTCTTTACATGAGTCTATAGAGAAATATTTTCTCTTTTGCTTGAGAGTTCCAGTCAGTAAATTCATAATCAGGAATGGAAATAAGGTCATTAAAAATAATCTCTAAGGCGTCTCTTAAGTCATAAAGCATCATTAAATGGAACCTTATGGAAAGTCCATATAAAGGTCTGCGCATAATTGACTTGCTTTGATTTGGTCCTTATAGTCTATTTATGATAAAGAAAACAGAGGTTTACAGTTTATCTCTTCAGATAAAATTGTTTGAAACTCCTTTTTAGCATATGTTTCTTCAAGTCTCCTCTGCCCAAGCACTTCAGTCTTCTATTATTATTTAGCTTATTAGGTACTTTTTTATTTAAATGTTTTCTTTTAATTAATTAACATAATCTCGATAATAACAGTAATCAAACCCAAACTCTCTGTCTCCCTGTTAGGTATTTCAGCCTGAACCAGAGCTCGGGTCAGCTCATTATCAGGGAGGGGACGCCTCCTGGCTCGTACCATCTGCAGGTGAGCGTGTCGGACAAAACGTGGCCTGATGTCACCTCAACCGCCCAGGTGCAAGTCGCAGAGCTGCATCAGGATGCTTTGCAACAAGCTGCCTCCATCCGGCTGAGCAGTGAGTCCCACAGTGTTGACATGGATGCGGAAATATCCGAGCAGACTTCCAAAACTTGCGAAAAACATACAAATACCACATCATACATCAACACACTGACATAAAATATACATTTGCATGGCCCGACTGGTTGCTGTGGTAACTGCAGTTAATGGTTCATAATTAGTTGATTCTCTACTTGACTCATTCAGTGGCTTTGTTGCTCTTTTTCTGCGTGAATAATAAGATTTATTGTGTTCATTAGTGACCCTGTTCTCCTGTTTCCCCCAGACTTGACAGATGAGGACTTTTTCAGGAGCAGCAGTGGTGCTGACGGGAGTCTGTTTGTCCGATTGGGTCAGAAGCTATCTGAATTCCTTCAGACTTTACCAGAAAACGTGCAGATCTTCTCTGTGGGTGGTGCAGGCCATCCAGATGTGAAGGCACTGGACGTTTGGTTCGCCGCACACGGCTCGCCATACTACAAAGCCGAGAAGCTGCACGGCAATGTGGCAGCCAACAAAGCTAAGGTGAGAAGAGCGTTATGTCAGACTGAAGATAATAGAAATTAAATCATTTCAGACACTAGAAGAAGTTTTAATACCAGAAAAACCTTCCTTGATGGGTAAGATGTATTTGTTACTCCCTACAGTTCAGCTGAGAGATGATCCACACATTAGCAATTACACCCTCATACGCACACATGATGAAACATGATGTGTATTTAAATCCAGGCAAAATGAATATTTCAGGTCAGTTAAAGGCAGCAGAGCTGCTGCTCATTTCACATCAGCGACGTGGTTATTGAACCATATAAACACACATTAAAGACAGAGTACAACCACAGTCCACAGAGGAGGGTCATATTTAAAGTGCAATCCGTCTCTTAGTTGATGTATTGTGAATAAGACTATTAATTAATCACGTAGCTGCCATACAATGAATAACTCTGAATAAATCATAGATTAAGAATAAGTACAGCTCATATGATAACATTTAATTAATCCCCTGAAAAGGGTAAAAAAGCAACTATTCAGCAGTCTATTCTTTCAGCAGATAAATAACACATTATGACAACAAGCAAAAGTGTGAGTTAGAGGCCAAAATAGGGGGGGGGGGGGGTTCTCCTGTAAGAATGTAACCCTGCAGCTCTTACCCTAACCCTGCCTGGTGAACTGGATGAGGTCATCCCCTTTAAACATAAGTCCCTTATGCAGGTCCCAAATCCTCTAATTGTCCCATGAAAGGGTTGTAGATTACATGCAATTATGCATCTTCTTTAAAACAAACAACAAGGGGAATGATTAAAAATAACTTGCATATCAAATGCTGAAGAAGAAAAAAAGTCTTGTCTTTAATTCTCTCAGGTCACAAGGACAGTATTTTGGCTGATTTATAACAAATATGTCAGATAAACAGCAAGTCGGCACAAAAGAAAGATTATGTTAAAACTGGCTCCGGAGCCAAAAACTGAAGATGTGCCTCGGGAGTGTAAGTCACTGTGGATAAGAGTGTCAAGTGAATCACTAAACTCCAAAAAAAGAAATACGCACACAGACAGAAAACCCTGAGGGACTCAGATGAAAACCTCTCACCCATAAAGACAACAAGAGGGAGGAATTTGGATGACAAGCAGGGAAACGGGTAAATTTGGCACTAGACAGAAAATGACAGCAAAATAGAAATGACAAAGAAACACCAAAGTGCATAAATAACTATAAGAGAAATCGTGCTGTCACACCATAGGCATGCTGCCTTTCTCTGAAATGATTCAGTATGTTCAAACGCTGATCATCACTGCACAGTTGATATTAGTTATTTAACTATTTAGATCATCATTTGTATCAATAGTAGGCTAATGTCATTTGTACATCTCCATTTTTATCAAATACATAGTTTATCTCAATGGGAGTTGGACTCACCTATTAGTCAAAGTTTTGATATGATTTAAATAAATCGATCAGGTAAATTAAACATGGTAAAGGCTTAGTTAACCAGTGTTAGCTACTTAAGTTTTTTTTTTCTTATCTGGCTTCAACTGGGTGATTTAAGTTTTTCTATTATTTGGATTTGTGCTCCCATCCAAACACAAAAGTCCATGAAGACAAAGAGCACAAAAAGAAGAATAAAAAAAAAACATCACACTTCACACAATGTGCAGATTTAATTTCAAATGGTTTCTTATTACTTAAAACAATCCTATATTTAATTTATTTTGGTGTATTACAGTTTCACAGTGATTTATCCTAATAGTGAACTACTTTCTATTTTCCTCTGTGTTGCGATATTTTTCATTTGAAGCCGTCGGGCCCATTAACACATTGTTCTTCCCCCCCTGCAGTTGGAGGCGGCGTTGGGGGTGTCTATCTCTCAGGTCGGCGTGGATGACTGTCCGTACGTTGACTGCAGTGGGTCCGGGGGCTGCAGCAGCGAGGTTTCCTTCAGTCAGGCTCCAGTGGCTCTCAGCGCGGGTAACGTCTCTCTGGTGTCCCTGTCGGCCTCTCTGACTGCACAATGTGGCTGCAGGGGCCGAGAGGCCGTCCACCTGCCCTGCTCTGCCTACCCCGTCAGCCCCTGCCACAACGGGGGCAGCTGCCAGGACGGGCCGCTGGGATACAGGTACACTTTTGAATCAGATTTTAAACTCGTTTCACAAAGACACTGATGAATTATTAACCAGCCAATAAACAAAGGAGCACGACTGCAACACAATACCAACTTATTGATTTGCAGATCATGCATTCAGTAGTGATTCGGCTACTCCGTTTCATCTTTTCTCCCCCTACATTTGATCATTTTTAGCTAAATGTAACCAGGCAACAATGTGCTTGAACAAAGGAAATGGTAAAGCCTTTCGCACAAGATGGTGCTAAAGCCCCAGTATACGACACCGATATTCACCATAAGCTAGCTAATATTCAAACAGTTCTCATCAAAGTCTCATCTACAAATTTCTAAACCTAGGAACGCAAGAAACTATAAATTGAAGCTGAATTTGATGAAAAAGGGGTTAATGTCTCCTGTTTTATGGGCATTTACTGGAACATCGTTTCTCAACAGAAGTCCCTCCTCTTGTCTTGCAGATGTGTGTGTCCTCCCATGTTTGACGGCCCTCAGTGCCAGCAGACCAAACACAGTTTTGGGGGTCAGGGTTATGCCTGGTTTCCTCCCATCAAGCCTTGCTTCCAGAGCCACATAACCCTGGAGTTTCTGGCTGAGTCGGCCAACGGGGTGCTCCTCTACAACGGGCCGCTCGGCCTCGTCCACTCCGGGGAGCCGGAGGACTTCATCGCCGTAGGTGAGTTCGCTGCCACGGTGCAGGTGTGTGAAGCTTTTAAAAACCTCCGTTGGATCGGCAGTCCCCGCTGATTTCCACTCTTTTGTGCTAGAGTGTAATGCATGTTGGGGTTTCTGGATGCATCCTTTTTTTTCCCCCCAAATGTTGACACGTTATTTTATCATCTGAGCTCTGTAAGAGACATGCTAATCTCATGCTCTCAGTGGGAAAGTTCCGCAGCTTGTCCCTTTCAACGAACACAAAGCGTGCATCAATCTGCCGCTGTAAAGACACTTTCTCTGTGGAGGAAGCTCTTCATAAACTCTAATGTCAGCTCCCAGTGGTCCTTATGTGGTGTTAATGGATTAGCCTGCCTGCCGATGGCCTTTCAAACGCCTCTTGCATAATCCTGTGGCATTAAAATTATGTAATTATTGAACCCCGGGCTGCTGCTGCATAGATCGTTGAGGAGGGAAATCAAAGATGACACCACCATTGACGTTCCTGAAGTGTTTTTCACTTACATGTTCAATACTGCGACTGGGAGATCGATGCGGTCGCACGTTCGCATGGACTCAAACACGCACAGCTGATCAAGACCGCCGCTGTGAGCTTTTATTGGAAGATAAACAAAACTTAGAGAATTGATGGAGGGGATTTCTGCAGTTGTTGATGGGATTCAGCAGCTTACACAGCAATACGCAGAAGTGAGGCCAAGGCATGCGTCCACTTCTCCGACACAAACTTCTTCTTTTTTTTTTTGTCCGTTGTGTGTACGCCAACTGGCCATTTACCAGCCAGCACCCGAGCCTCTTTTCATAGAAGGCAAAGATTATTTTCGCTTTTCATCTCAACTGAATAAGAGGCTCCACAGAGCTATGTGATCTTGACCTTTTCAAGTCATTAGTCAGTGATTTTAAGATATATTTTGGGCCATATTGGGTAACTCTAGACCAAATATAAACTCAGTCTCTTTCTAACTGTTTATCAGAGTTGAGGAACGGCGTTCCGATGCTGAGTATAAACCACGGGTCAGGAACGCTGACCCTGCAGCTTCCGCGCAAATCCACCATCAACGACCGCCGCTGGCATCGCCTCGACATCATCAGTGATGGAAAGGTAAGGAAGGCCCTGTAGTAGGTGGACGATGCCCTACAGAAAGAATTTAAACTATATTCCAGAAAAATTCTGCTTATTGCAGTAAGTTCCAATACTTGGATTAGCTCCATTTATGTTTTTTGCAAGAGGGTATTTGTGTTATGGTTTGACTTGTATTTACCTGTGGTCAGATTGTCCAGCTGATCCTGGACCAGTGTGGAAGTGTGGCAGTGAATGAGTTGGAAGGTGTTAGAGGAGAGGCTCAGGAGATTGATGAGTCCGGCTGCAAAGCTACGGGAGAGACGCCCGGGAACCAGCGGTATGAGCAAGCGAAAGGAGAATAAAGTTCACGTTTGATTAACATCCTCTCCATACTGATATTTATATATTTTCAATCTCCCCTTTCTCTCTTTATGTTACTCCTCAAAACACCCCTCCCTTCTCTCTCCCGCTCAGGTATTTAAATGTCTTCCAGCCTCTTCAGCTGGGTGGGGTGAAGGAACTGTCCCCGTATCGACGTTACCAAAGTTTCACCGGCTGTATCCGCAACCTGGTGGTTGACAGTCAGGTAAAAGCATGCAGTGGGTTTATTTTCATGTAAAAAACAATCAGATCACAGTGTGCCAATGATATGATACCCGCCTCCAGTTTGGGGAAAAAAACCAAGGCCCCTCATTGTGTATTTAAGGTAGAACCGACCTCGTGCCCATGTTACAAGTTTCAGAAAGAAAAACAACAGCGTGTGTGTTTCCGTCCTGGAAATCGTGAGCTTTTCCTCTGTGTGTTTTGCCTGTTTAATGTTAATAGGTCTGCATCTGTGTGTTTGTACATGCATGGATTCACTCCTCCTGAATCCTTGGTGGATTGTTTTTGTTGGTTCTTTTCATATGTATGTGTGTGAGTGTGTGTGTTTGTGTGTGTGCGCTCAAGTGCTGTGGGGCCGGTGGTCGGACAGATGGTGGTCTGAGCTCAGCTCATAGCCAAGGCCAACATCACAACATCACAGCCCAAAATGTAATATAAATGAATTCCTGCTCTTCCCCATGAAACTCATCAAGCTGTTGTGGTTCCTCTGCAGCTTGTTGAAATCCTCAACAGCCTCCTAGAGATCCCCAAGACAGAATTTGTATAGCTTTTCGATGAGAAAGTGTGTAACAGTGCATCGCTGGTGCTACTGTGCCATTTTACCCATGAGCCCTTGCGTTATGGTTGGTTCATGCAGTGATTGGGAATCATGCTCTTTCCCTCTTTGAGCAGAAACATGTGACGAAAGTCAATTTTTCCACTCCAAGATACTGATCAAGTCTGTTCAAATATACAGTATTTTACTCCCAGATATTTCTCTCTACTTCTCGTTTCACAACAGAGAGCACCTGATGAATTACAGCCGTCATCATCAAAGTGTTTATAGCATGAGCACAGCATTGCATAGTGATCCCCATGGACCAGCTCTTTTATAGAGCTTTTGTTTGTTTTTTTGGCTTACACACTCACCACTGGATCCGTCTGATTCTTAAGACTGACACAGAAAGACACACAGCTTTTTTTGCTAGACATTCTTTAACAGATTTACAGTACATATACAAGCTTCTGTCACTTCACAGCAGCCAATTTTCTGCAAGATTTACAACTAGATTTTTTTTTCATATTCCTAAGACACTCTGAGCTGTGAAATTATATTTTTCCCCTTCATTCTTGATATTTTTCTGTCATTGTTACATGCCGAGTCCAGTTAATTATGGTAACATTTGAAATCGTCTTTTATGTGATCGTCTGTTTTATGCTACAAACTTGACTAAACTAAAAACAAAAAAATGATATAATTTAAATCACCAGAAGAAGAGATTCTTGTATCTCAATGTTGCCTCCCTGGCTGTTTGGAGGTTTAAAAAAAAGTTAAGAAAACTTACTCCTGAAAAAAATAGCGATAACTTCACTGCTTAGCATGTCTGCAGTTTTCAACTGATCATAAAACTCCACAAAGAAAACATGGACCCAAGAACTGTTAGCATTGTGGAAATGTTTGAGCTGATGGTATTTTAGGTATTGCGTGTTCAGCATTATAGAGACACCAGTAGTAGATTCCTGGTGCCAAAGGCCTTGCAGATGCATGTCTCTCTCCTGTCGACTGCTGCCATTTAGTGGTTTCATCAAACTTGTGCGTCACAGCTGGACAAGGTTTTTAGTGCTTTTTGAAGCCTTTTATTTTGCCCAAGCTGTCAAAAAAAAGTGAAAGATAGTTATGGACTAAATCAAATGTGTTTGGATAATGGCACTTGTGTCATTAGGAGCAGGTGCTCATACGCTCTGCTTCACTCAGCTCAGCTGTGGTTGGTCTCCTGCTGGTTTAAACCAACATTTATTCGAAAGGAAATTTTCTTTACAGAACTTAAGACTTTTACTTGACACATAACAGTAACATATGAAAATTACTAACCTACATAGGAAAAACATCAGAAAAAAAGATACTCTTAGCTCTACAATTTTGGATCTATCATAGAGGCAGAAAACCATCACATTTCTGATACTGAAGAATAATTTGAGGACACATCTGATAATCAAGTCTCTAAAGTGTGATTAAACTAAACTGAAAGCTCCTCTCACATAACACGAAACCAACTTTAATTCAAGTTGATCAAGCATAACCTTTTCAAAAAGGCTGCAGCTTCTCTGATCCAGGGAGCAAGGAGGGGTCAAGAATTCTTCCAACAAGCAATATTAGTTGTCTTGCTTCAAAGGTCATGGATGATTTATGAATTGGTATCCCCATAAACGTGATTCAAAGCAGCAATTCTGTCTGATTAAACTTTTATGGGAGACGTCTGTTGGAGAAAAAAAAAAAACTGATCCAAGGTCCATATTTACTTTGAGTGAGCCTCCGAACCCTGTGAGCGATGCAGAAGTCCTCTGTGAATATTGCAGCCTGTGGTCCGCTCGCATTTATTCTTGTTAAACACGGCAGGCGCTCGGTAGCAGTTCGAGTCTGACCGAGTTTATGATCGAGCTAAAGATTTATACGCTTGAAGCCGGAAAATAAAAGGGGAGCCTGACGTTCACACCACAAAATGTCATCACACGACGACGAGCGCCAGATGAAATGATGTGTCGAAATGTGCTGCGTGACGAATTCTGTCACGTCGCATTTTACGCTCAAGGGGGTGAACGGGAAAAGGACGGGAAACATCCTCTAATCTAACAAAAGCTATGACCACAAACAAAAAGAGGGTGGATCTGTGCTTTTATTGGTACAGAGGTGAAAAAGGGTTTACAGGGATGATCCTGCAGGAAAAGCAGCAGTTCAGCATGCGGGCCTCTGTTTGTTCCACAGGTGATGGATCTGGCATCCCCGGGCGAGAGTGTGGACAGCGCCCCGGGATGCAGGCTGACCGACGGAGTGTGTGTGACAGCCGCCGGCCCGTCGTGCGGCCTTCACGCGTCCTGCCTGGCCGACTGGGGCTCCTTCAGCTGCGAGTGCCGCCCGGGATACACCGGGCACAAGTGTGACAGAGGTGAGGGGATATCGTCATTTTGGGGGATCCCGCGATTGATCTGCGCTGAGACTCTAAATTCGGAGCCTTTGGCAGTGGGATCTACTTAAAAATGGTGCGTCCTCCTCCTCCTCCCTCAGCTGTTCCGGAGTTCTCTTTCGACTCGCGCAGCATGGTGCGTTTTCAGCTCAGGGGAGGCAGCAGCTCCAGACGCACCAGCATCCAGCTGCTGCTCCGAACCCGAGCCACCGCGGGCACCCTGCTCTCCATGGCGTCCCGGGAGGCCAGCGAGTACATCATCCTGGAGGTCAGTCAGTTACTGCAACATTATCCACATTCACCTATTACAGCGTTAGGGCATTAAGGGTGTCTCTGATTTTGAGTTTGAATTAAGTGATTTTGGATCAGTTGACTATGTCAGTTTGCTCATACTGACACTACTATGAGTCTTGTCTGATTGGCCTGCCAGCACATATTTTTCTGTTCTTTTCAGTATATAAGCTGGTGTCTTTGTGCCAGCTTATATACTGACTGTGGAGAGCCTCAACCCAACATACGGGATTTATTAGAAATGCTTCTGAATAAAAATCTTCATCCTACTTTATCATTTTTTACCAAAGATTTATGTTGTATATAATGGAGTGATGTTACTTGAATCCCTTATTGAGGGCATAACATGCAGAGAAAAAAGGCAATGAATGTGTGACTAACATGTATTTAAAAAGGTATAAAAGGTTGCTGAAAAATCCTTGAAATATTCACCCCAATGTGATTTTTGGTGGCTGAAACTATTATTCTATTTCGAAAACAAAGAATCTGCAAAAGAGAACAAAAGGGCTCGACGTATTCACAACATGAAACAAACCTTTCTTCTTCCTGAACTTTTAGTTGTTCATAAGTCAATTTTTCTGCTTGTTTACTGTGCTCATATGAGCTCCTCTGTGTGACTCTGAGGTGTGATTAAATCCAGTGTTTGGGAGGGGAAGGTTTGACGTTTTAATGAGTGAGTATCCTCTCTTCTCTGTCAGATCATCGAGGGTCAGGTTGCGGTGCGGGCCAACCTGGGCGACGGAGCACACACGTTACGTCTCTCTGGTCATCGCGTGGACGTCGGCCAGTGGATCCTGGTCAGCCTGAGTCGCCATGACAACACCTTTACTCTACGCCTGGAGCGGGGCGGGGGCTCGCGGGAGATTCAGGCTCAGTTGGGAAGACGCAGGGAGATTGTCATTTACCCGTCCAGCCTGATGGTGGGCAGTGGGCCTAACGCTGGAACCAAGACTCACTTCCAGGGTACGTTCTGGTTCGGATGTTTATCTTTAGTCCAAACTAGTGAAAAGATCTTGTAAAACTTGGCATGCAGGAAAATAACGAGATGAATTGCTGAAATGGTGTATGTTTTGTTGATTGTGATCTAGTGTGTCATCATTTCTTTACTGGATTAGGTCACAGGCTTGTCAGAGACAGTGGTTTGAATTGGTAGCTAAAACGGAACAAGAGTCAAGAGTTTTTTAAACGAAACTAAATAAGATTTCATGCTAACTAAACACGGTCTTTTTTTGCAGGTTGCTTGCGGGACGTTCGTTTTAACGGCCAGGTCCTCCCTCTGGAGGGGCAGAACAGGGATTTGGTGACGGTGCTGGAGAGGCGAGCCGTGACGTCCGGCTGCTCCAGCGACGCCTGCAGCGGTCAGCCCTGCCGCGGCCCCCTGCGCTGCGTCGACCTGTGGAGGAAACACCAGTGCAAGTAAATGACCCGCAAAATCTAACTGAACCCAAAAGTGCAAAGGAAGGCAGTTTTTTGTTTTTTTGTCGTCGTCATTTCTCATGATCCGCGTCCCCGTCCCAGGTGTCCTGGCGCTCAGGTGACCGTCACAGACGAGGCGGGTCAGCATCACTGCGTGCCGTCCCCCTGCCGGCCGTCCTCCTGCCGTAACGGCGGCGTCTGCCAGGCCCTGTCCCCCGACAGCTACCAGTGCCGGTGCCAGGAGGGTTTCAGGGGTCGGCACTGCGAGTTGGGGCAGGTCAAAAGTCACCGCTTGGCCGTCCTGAGTCCCAGCTCCATCCTCGCTATCAGCATGTGCCTTCTGGTCTTTATCGGTAAGGGCCAACAGTCATTACATTTTCCCCAGTTAATCATTGTTTTTTCATTCTTATATTTCATAATGTTTATTACATTAATATTGGTCTGGAATTTGAAGAAATGACTCAGTTTTAAAGGGCCGCAACACATCTGGATAAAGAAATCATGATAAGAAGCTGAGCTGCTTACCTTACCTCTCCTCTGCGTGTGTCTGTGTGCGTGTGTGCGTGTGTGTGTGTAGTGGTGCTGGTGGCAGTGACGGTTTGGAACCAGAAAGGCAGCCGAAACAAGTTCAGAAAACGAGGCGTTTACCACATCCCTGCCGAGCACGAGAGCTGGGAGGACATCCGAGAAAACATCCTCAATTACAACGAAGAAGGAGGAGGAGAGCAGGACCAGGTACACCGTCACCATCTGCAAATTCAAACCACTAGTTCTAAAGCAACCATTTTGACCAGATCACACTGTCAATTGACTTTTCTGTCAAGGGTATCACAAAAGTTTACTATCATATGTTTGTCACTCGTCTAACGGGGTTTCAGAGACAATACTCACTAAAACAGAACAAGTCATAGGGATTGTTGCATAAAGATCAATCTCACAAATGCATTTTTACTGAAAACCTTTTGGAACAAGAGGTGACTGAAACAGACTTCCACTCAGAGAGGCTATTGAAATCAACCTAATTGTAATCCATCGTCATTTTCTCAAATCTTAAGTAATCCTGCTAACAAAAAAACCCCATTCATGTGTCTTTGTCTCTTTGGTGGAGGTGATATTAAAAAAAAATAGCAAAAGGAAATCGAAATAAAAATGTCTGCATCCTTTATGTGATTACCCATGAAGCAAAGTCTGAATTACTTTATAAAGTCCAAACTGAATGATCATTCAACCTATTCATGGACCTGGACTGATGCTTTCTTTTGGCGTCCCTTTCAGAACGGTTACGATATCACGGAGCTGAAGCGCCCGCTGTGCTCCAGTCTGTCTCAGTCCTCGTCCTGCACCACCGCGCCGCTCATCAAGTCCTCCCCGGGCTCCCAGGAGGAGGTCCACCCGTCCGGCTCCTCCTGCAGCTCGGGCGCTCCCTACCTCAGCATCCCCCACCACCACCACCACCCCCACCAGCACCACCATGCCCACCAGGCCCACCACCAGCAGCACGCCGGCGGGGAGGCGGAGCCCGGCGAGGCCCCGCCCGCGCCCCGCTCTCACGTGGACTTCAAAAGCTACGTGGCGCGCATCGTCTGGGAGGCGGACAACGACGGCGAGGCCTTCCCGCCGGACGCCTACCACGTGTGGTGCGTGGAAGGCGCCGGGTCGGCGGCGGGCAGCCTCAGCTCGCTGGGGTCGGCCGCCTCGTGTCGAAGAGATGCTCCCAAAGTGGGGGGGGAGGAGGAGGAGGACGAGGGAGGCTTCGCCTACGACCGCTTGTCACGCTGGGGGCCGAAGTTCCGGGCGCTGAGCGACATGTACGACAGGCCCCCGCTGGCCCTCACATACAGGGACGCCATAGCCTACATCCAGAGGAGCCACAGCCATGACCCCTTGCCCCCGCTCCACTAGGACGTGCTGACCAGCGCCAGGGAAGGATGCTCAACGCTGCGTTCGGCCCCAAGATCAGAAAAACCGAAAAGTCAGGAAGCCAAGTGTTGTTACTCTGCACGGCTGTATGATCTGATTAAAGTCTATGTAATTGATTAGTATGATTGATTGAGATTAATCATAAAATATATATATTGTATCCTGTTTGATATTCATGTTAATAATTTGAGTGATATTCACTGCAAAGCTAAGAAATCAAAGCCCACAATGTAATCAGGCGGCCGGTCTAATCAGACAGTAGATGGAAGAAACCTGTGTGGGTAGTTTAAACCTGATTGGCTACCTCAGAGTCTAGCTCAAGGTTCTGTGTCGGGATTGGCTCGTGGTCCTGACACATGTCAGTCAAACCGGTCAGTCTTTAATGACTCAAGAAGAGCAAAAAAGGAGGAAAGCGGCTCAGGTTTAACGTAAGTAAAATTAGAACCAAACAGCTGAATGTTACAGACCAGATTTAGTGTTTTAAACATTGGTTCGATGCTCCGTTTGGTATCACAATGGCACAAGTTTCCACATATTATTGGTCACCTATTAGACTTCTTATTTGCTGTATTTATTTCCAAAACATTTTTTTTATCCATTTTTAATTTTAACCAGTTAGATTTTGCTCTGGTGTTGAGGTGATTATTTGTCACAGCATTTACTTTGTGCGTCGCTGTCAGTTTAGTGGTATGCAGCTTTTTAAATTCTAACCAGCCCACTTACGTCGGCCTTAAAACACCAACAAACAAAAGAAAGTCTATTGCATCTTACTTCTGAAACTGCTTGAAGTTTGCTCTGTGCGTCTGACGACATGTGAATGCAGCAGCTCTGGCCTTTTTTGTAGGTCAGTGACCACAGTAAATCAGAGAGGCTTTTAGGGGCAGGAGGTCCATTTTTGTGATCCGCGTGTTTTTCCAGGGAGAAAACAAGATGCAGGACAAAAATGTCAGAGGCTTTAGTTGAGGATCAGAAGCTTCAACTGGAACTAAAGCACAGAGAGCTTGTTACTGGTTATTTTGTCGCATTTAACCCCACTTTTTTTTCTCTATTTTCAATCTGTTTCATAGTGCTTGCTGTTCCATTTCTTTAGCAGCTTCTCTTTGCTCGTAGAAAAAAAAAGTGACTTTCTTGGCCAAAATATATTTTTCAGAGGACGATTACATTTTAAATTGCGTTTGAAATGTTCAGAGTGAGTGGAGTGTAAAAGAATATTTGAGTGCTTTTGAAACCACAAACGACATAAGGGCCCTGATTCTGAAGTTTTAGTGAACAGAAATCCACCTTCTTCTTTAAGAACGTTTTAATGGAGTTTGTTTTGTTTTTTTATGCCTGCCATGACATTTTCAAGTGAGGCATTATTGCATCAACCCAAGATATTACTTACAAACTCTTTCCAAGAAAATACAATGTTTTTAGTTGTCAGATTTGCATCTGGCTATTGAGGAAAACACAACAGATGTTTTTGTAGCTGATCAGCTGCTGATCTGTTAATTTGACATTGCTGACCAGTGCTGGACTAGGCTCTGGTATTAAAGCAGCTTTTGCACATGAAGCGTCTTCGCACCAGAGGGTGCTGCAGGGAGGAATTCTTATTAGAATGACCCTCCGGTGGGTTAGACTGTTTGTCAAATTGCGAAAATGATACTTAAATCGCCAAATTTAGCAGCAAATGCCAACCAGGATACCAAAACTAAGCCATTTTTAGCCATGCTCCAGTTCCAGTCAATTCAAATATTACTGCTATTCAATCCCAATTTAGAAGACTGCTAGTTTTGAAGAATAAGTCCATTGATAAATCCTTTAATGTATTCTTGATTCTGAAACATAGAATTAATTGCAGTGCTTTTTTTAGAAGATTAAAGTAGAGGTAGATGTGTTTTTGATTTATAAATGAGCATTCATACCTACACTTTAGAGACCTGCTAATCTTATTCGCGCTATCGAGGTCTTCACAATTAAAATCTGGCAATACCCGTGGGAACTGATGCAGTTTTCTTTTCTATGATCTACCCAGCAATTATAACATTAAGGCCGATTTTGTTACACTAATTGTATGTTTTTATGCCTCTGTAAATCCAATTTGCTCATTCAGCTATTTGTTCTGCCTCCATTTCAGCTCACTGCCTCGTTCAAGGTGAGACTTCCACATGTTAGATAGATATGTGATGGGTTTTTTTTGTTTTGTTTTCTTATTGGAATGGATGACAGTGGTTTGTTTTTCGGTGGCTGCAGACTTTAACCAGGATGGTGTGTCATGGTTGCTTCTCAGCCTACCTCGTGGCTCTGTCTATTTTCATGTCACGCCGCCTGATGAATGTAGTTTTACATGGAGAGAGACCGTGAGGAGACTGGCAGGTGGATTCTGAGCAGCAACAGTACAATCACTGTATAAAAGTTCATTTTAAACTCTTACTTGACAAAGGGATTTGCTAGTGTGCGTAACTCAATCATCAGTCATCAAAACGCCAACATAGATGAGTTCAACGTCGCCCTTCAAGGCATAGGGCTTGTTCTTAAACAGTTGTAGATAAGAAGGTTGAAATCCTGGGTTTGTTTTTTGTTTTTTTTGTTTTTTTACAGTGGAAAAAAAAGTATTATGTATTTGTCATTCAGATGATAGAACGAGTCTTTTTGTTTTTTTGAACAAAAAGAAAGAACTGAGCCCTGGAAGAACCAAGCTTAAAGCTATGCATCCAAAAGGAATAACACAGGTGTCTTTGTATGAACAGATGTGAAGCAGATGTGAGTTTTGGCCTGTAAAACGTGCAACGTCTGTCAGTTTGTCGTAAATCCTGTGCTTTTCTAGCGGTTTAAATCTAGTGTGAATGTGTTGTTGAATTCACATTTGTATTACTGTAGTCTGAAAGTGTCATTTGATGCTGAGCCGTGTTGATCTGTACAATATGATGTACATATGAGCGTTTTATAGCAGCCTATCATGGATTCTTCCTTTTGTATGCAACTTGTAATAAAAAAAAATCTTTCCCCATATTTCTGGTGCTTTTGTTTCAGTCAGGAGTGAAAAGTATTCATCCAAATATATTGCTATATACATTATGTATGATTGTTTAAAGAAACGTCACCCAAATGTAAGAGGTTCTTATTTAGATGATGTTTTCATCTGGTTAACTTTTTCTTCACTTCCACTCAAAATGGATGACAGTTCCACTTAGAACATCTGTACAGGTGAGTGAGGGAAGTCTATTTGTCTTAATCAAAGAAAAACTTGACCATTTTCACTCTGAACAAGTAGACCCTAAGTTTTCAGATTTTCATGTTGACTTTGCTCCATTGTCAATAGAATATATGTTAATGAGGGAAAAAAAATATTAAAGTCTATCTTTATTTGAACTTTACCAAATGGCAGCTGGTACGTTCTCCAACTGTCGGAGAACACTGGATTAGATCAGAGATAGAAAATGGGTGGATGGACGGACAACATTGCCACATGTTTTTAGATTTAGGTTATTTGTGTGGCTCAAAAATGGCTCAATGCTACCCCCATGTGGTCATCTGAGTAACTGCACATGGCACCTAGATCTGTTGGTAAGATTATCTTTTATTTATTTATTTTTTTGTATAATTGCTCCGCCAGGTTCATTACTAATATAACGATAATTAAAAATCCACGGCAGGTTTTCTATAAAGACATCCCATAAAGAAAGACTAGTCTTAATGGGAAGCAAAAGTGTATTAAGTATAATTAAGTTTACATAAATACACGTGTATACAACTTAGTATTTATCCTGTATTTGGAATATATTTATTAAATAGTAAGACTGGTTTATGCCATATTCAAATTAAGAATTACTGTAGGAAATGTTGAATCATTGAGACCTGAGGGAAATGCATCCTGAGTTCTATGAGAGGTTAATGTTTATTTTCAGGATTTCTGGTTAAAATGTTGGTAATTGTTTGAAAATGGCTTTTTTTCTGATTATATCTCAAGCAGATATATCTAACTGAAAATACGATCAACTTTTTTATGTGAATTTTGTTTTTCAATATGTATAACCAAGCTCTATCCATTATCAGATTATCATAAAACCTGAGACAAATGCAGTTAATAGAAATGTAATCTTAAATTAAACCGCAAATGTAGATGTTGATCCAACATTTTTGTGAATGTGACATCAGTTTGTTTTGTTTTTACCCAAAAGACTTATCCAACATAGTTTTCATAGCGTCCTAACTCGCTGCAGGGTTATTTGTCCCGCTCAGCTGTTTTAATGGATGTCAGTCAGACGTCTGTGTTTGATTTGTTGACACATCATCAGGCAGAATTTATAGCCCTGTAACGGCTCCTGGACTCCTTTCAGCTTTCAGCACGTTTCAGCTTTTGCTCATTAGCACTTGAATGTTTTTCTTAATGCATGAAGGACATCCTCCTCATTTTCTTTTGGCTGCCTAAACGACAAACATCGCACCAAGCCGCAAACTGTTTGTCTGAAATGCTGTGCTAACGAACTGTAGGCAGAGCAGAGCAGTCTGCTCATGCTTCCCTGCAGAATGAACTATTCCTTCATGCTGATGTTTAGGTTGGAAATGAGGATACAAGCAGAGAAATCAGGGGGAGGGCATTTACAGGAATAGAATGAGCAGCTTCTCTGCTACTTCTCACTTTTGCATTGAGAAACGGTCATGTGAAATTTATAGAACATTGGTTTGTAACAACTCCACCCAAATATAAAGTTTCATCAGGACAGATCCAAATTTAAAGCCGTTTTCTGTGATCAGTGTGGAGTTTAGTGGCTAAAGCCCACCTTCCCTCTAGCCTCCAAGTCAAACTGCTTTATATCAAAGCGGCCTTTAAACAGAATGTGCTTTATTCCATTTCAATTTGGGCTGCAATGTTTTAATTTGTGTTCATGTCAAGCCGTTGGCCTTCACACCCAGCTGCCTGTCCGCCTAAAATAAGACACCCACTAATTTATCTCCATTTATTTAAAACATTCCAATATAAAAGGAAATTACACATTTAAGAATTGCGCTATTTACAACCAAAAAAAAAGAAAATACATTCATCTACATACAGTTCACATGGTTAATGGTTCACTGCAAAGGCTTACAGTCACAGGTTTATTTGATCTCCACCTTTGGGCCTGCTCCAGCTGAAATTAAGAGGAGCAGTTCATTTTCTAAAAGGCACTAAGGACAGGCTAATGTACAGCATTAATGCAAAACTGTAATTAAATGTGTCATGGAGCAAAAAAAAAAAAAAGTTCATAAATAGTTTTTGCCTTTGGCAGCGATCAGACTGAATCACTGAGGATTTTACATATGAACAGACATTTTCCTTTACATACTAAGGCTTATCAATAAATACAAGCACTTAATGAAAAAGCAAAACTTTGCTAAATTGTCAAGTTTCCCAGGAATGTAACGGGGTGCAACCAGGGTTGCAAAAAAAAAATAAAAAAAATAAAACTAAAATAAAACTGCACATCTCCACAATTCAGTTTTATTCCTATGGCTCCTATAGCTGTGAAAGTAAAGCCATTAAACTGATGAGAAATGTAGAGATTTAATGTCAGGCAGGGGTGGGTCACTGGAAGAAAAATGTTTTTAAAAAAAATAAAATTGACTTCCAAATGCACCTGTTTAAAGTCACTGTAAAAATACAGAAATCCAGGTGTTTCTCTCCTGAGGATCAACTGTAGCACCATCTGGAAGAATCCATGCTTTAGTTCTAAGAGCACCAGTGAAATTCCCAGATAATACCTGAAAGGTATGAAATGACTGGCTGGCTTCCTCACTCCTGTTCATTTGAAAAAAAAAAAAAGAAAAAAGAAAAAAAAAAAGCTGATCAGCTGACAGCTTCTCAATTTGAGCCGGTCAGGTTCATACTAAAATTGAAACTTGTGGAAGAAAAAGTTGCAATTCGTAAAAAGATCAGACTCTGAGGGTCAGATAAAATTGCATCCCTTTTCATTGTTCCAGATCTACTAGGTTAACCAATCAATTTTCTGGAGCTTTTGGCAACCAGAGGTCTGAAATTAGTGTTTAAAAAAAATAAAATGTTTTAATAAAAACAAAAAAAGGTCAGCCTGGACAGTGTCCGGCGCAAAAAGCCGAGTTCAGAGGGGGCAGTCATCACATCAGGTTGGACTAGAGAGGTAGCGCGTCTCACTGGGCCTATCCAGCTCAGGGATTGGCTGGCTTCTCTGTGCTGCTGGGCGGCGTCAGGAGAGCGCACGCAGCAACGGGCGACAGCGGACAGTCGGCGCCATCGTCCTGATGCTCCTGGACTTTTCTCTGCAGGACAGAAAATGGGTCAACAGTCAGGTCAGCTGGAGCTTTTCAATCATTAAGTTAAGATAAAAGATTAATTTAAAATATGAGAAATTTATAGACCACAGAAACGAGCCATTAACCGGTGGGATGAAGCAGATAAAGCCACGTTTGAGCAACTATGAATTTGTTTTAAATTAAGCCTCAACTGAAGTTATGCAACTTGACCAAGTTAAGACACTAATGAGCGCCTTTTGCTTACCAGCATGTCCAAATAGGTCACATGTGTCTGTATGTTGTGTCGGTCATCAGATTTGACTTTAGGGAAGTTCTTCAGCTGAGGTTTGGGTTCAGAACGCAGCACGTCCATGAAGGGAGTCATCCATCGAACACAGTCGGACACACTTTCCCACGTCAGGCCTGCAGATGGCAGAGACATTCATGAGAGCTCAGCCAGAATTCTGATTTGTTTTTAATTAAACCAGGACTCATTCTTAAAAGTAAAAGTCAGACCTGAACTAGAAAACAAAGCAGGGAATTGAAGAGGCAAAGAAGACCTACCTGAGATTTTATGAACAACATCAAATGTGGAGAAGTGGCAGAAGGCTGCAGCAGCGAGAACACTGTAGCTGTAGTCCAATGATCTGATGTCCATCATACACAAGTCTAAAAGCTGTAAAACAGGCAAAAGGTCAGCTGTGTGTTTAGTCCCAACATCCTGGATCATGAATATGGTCACATTGGCAAGTCTTTGCAGATCCTTGAAAAACTGGATGGGTAAATAAAACAGATCCCTATGTGAGCAGCACCATACCTGTGTGATCTGGATGTAGGTGTCCTGGCAAAATTGTGGTTCCAAGAAGTTCTGCCCGTCTTTCTGGGCGGCTACCTGTGCGTACAGCTTCAGCCAGGTTATGGGCGTCTCTGGACACAGCTTCCAGTCCAAAGCCTGCAGGACAACAGCGACATCAGTGAGGCTCTGAAGTCAAGTGCTGCACATTTTAATTGTGTCCCATGTCCACATGCTCCTGCATCCCCTTTAATCTGGCGTACCTTTAGTACATGGAGCTCTGTGCGCTGGATGTCCCACACGTCGCAGGCTCCGTCCGTGACGTATGCAAACTCAAAGATCTTAGGAGGGTAGATTTCCTGGAGTAGAGAGGTACACATTTGAAGAACTGAATGCATTTACATCATTCTGTCATTTCTGAGGAGCCATTACTAAAAACAGATGTGCGGCCTCATTTGGGTCAAACCATGCGAGGGACTCACCTCAATCTTTGAGGCAACGAAGAGCGCCGTGATGCCAATGAGCTGCAGGTAGTCTTTGTTGACGTTCTCCTGAGTCAGCATGAAGCGATCGAAGAAGTCCTGGGCGAGGTATGCCGTCTGTCTGTGGAGGCTGTACACCTCGCTCACCTGCAGAGATGCAGAGGCCGCTTAGTTTGGGGTCACCTCAGACATCTGCGACACACAAACGGATGAAAACCCACCTCCAGCAGCCAGTCCAGCAGGATGGCCCTCATCTTGGGCTGCAGCTTGGGATGGCGCTGCAGGTAGCTCTTGTCATGGACGTACTGCAGCTCCTTACTGATCATCTTTATCCACATGTCATCTGAACAGGCCCAGCTGGGGGGGGGGGGGAAAAGGGAGGAAAAAAAAAACCTGTTACAATTTGCTAACAATTGTAGAGAAGTTGAACCCATCTTTGCTCATATTTGAGTAGTACATCAAAAACATGATCGTCCCTCAACAAGAATGCGCGAAATAACCATCCGTCTGATGGATATTACAGGCCAGGGCCAACAACCTGCATATTGTGAAGTACACCACAAAATAATAATACATAGTTGAGCTGAGCTCAAGTTTAGCATTGCTAGTCAAGAGAAGCAGAAATGGGCCAACTGAATGAAAAAGGCTGTTAAGCTGAACTAACTAAGCTAACTTATTAGCATTTAGCTGTATTCTTATACAGGAAGCTAATTTTCCTGTATATTAGGGGGAAAAAAATGTTTCAATACATTAGAGAATAGTTAAGCATATACATACAGGAGCAAAACTAACCCCAATTACATAATGTGGGTGTGCATGCACAGTATCGAGAGTTTTAGTCATTTGAACAACTTGCAGTCCCCTAAAACTGAAGGGTTAAAGTAAACAAAAGTAGTTAAGTCATGATACAGAGTGGGGTGGGTGTCAGTTGTGAAGCAAAAGTAAACATCTCAGACTGAAGCACTGAGGTCCAACAGCCAGAATGAATAAAGCCCCCCCATTACCTGAGGCTTGGAATGGGGGAGGCCTTGATGAAGAGGTTCTTGAAGCTGTACTGTTTGAAGTTGGATGGGTCAGCAGGCTCCAGTTCTTTGTGGGGAGTTTCAGTGAGAATGCATGGACTCAAACCATCTTCTGGCCAGCACTTCTGTAAATGCAAAGAAAATACAATACACCGTCTTTAATACAGTACAGGGGCAAACAAAAGAAGCAAAACAGCCATTTTGATAATCAAGCTATTTTGGGCAAAGTTTTATTTTGTCCCATTTCATGTTTCCTGAAGCACAGAAATGAATCAAATGTGCTCTAAAAAGTAAACTGTCCATCAGCCGTTTGAGCTAAATGGTGACACCTACTGTTGAAGTTCAGGTACTGCATGACTACAACCCAATACCAGAACTCCAACGTACTGCATCACACTGAAATCTGAATCAGCCAGAATAAAGCGTTTTACGCTTTATCCCGTTTTGATTTCATTTATTTTGAAGGGACTGTGAGATGGGTGGTCCTGCGCAAACAGATGATAAACTTGCCACACTTTTCCAGGGCTTAGCCCTTATCAGTTTTAAACAGCCCCAATTACTGAGTCATGTGCATGTGGCCACACTGACCTGTATTTCGTATCTGTGTTTCTTGGCGGCAGGCTGTGGCGTTTTCTTAGAGGGCTGAGGAGGGAAATAAATTATTAATCCTTGTGTTTGAGTGAAAAGCTACTCCATGATCATTACCCGCCTGTGATTGAAAACCAGATGTAAACAAAAACAAGACAAACCTCTGACTTCCTTTTTTTCAGTGGGACTCTGGCAGTTGGTTCAGGTGCGTTTGAATCTCTGGCTTGAAGTGTGATGCGATCGCTGGAATAAAAATAAAATGTTAAGCATCTTTCTTTTGTTCTACTTATGAAACTATTGTAACACATGTCACTGACGGCTGTCCAACTAAAGGAGACATTGGATTCTTTAAATCGGTGAAGTGTTTGTTAGCTTTCCAGTCAACAGATAATGCTAGTTGAACTGATATAAAGAAAAATATTCAAATTAAACAGTAATTAGAATATACAATCTCATAATTTTTTTAATTATATATATTGGGAATGAAACTGAAAAGAAACTTAATACTTAGTTAGGCTATTTGTTTTCTCTATGGAAATTTTCAAAATTACACTTATCCAAACCCCCCCGCCCGGAGCAAATACAGTTCCTCTTTTCAGAGAACCCCCATTAAAGCCAAGAAACTACAGAAGCTAGAAGAGCTCACCTGCGTCTCGACATGGTTCTGACTGAAAGTATGGCTCCGCTGCAAAGAAAGAGAAATTAGATTTAGAAACAACATGGTACGAAGTTGTGCATTAACCAATAATTTATTTAAAAAAAGAAACATTTCAGCTATAAAATTATCAAATTTAAACTGGATCCCTTTCAAGGCCATCTGTGTTCTTATGGAGAGATTTGCTGGAGCCTCTAGGCTGACTACAAAGATAGGTGAGGCTGTTAAAGCCTGAAAAGGCCAAGAGCCTTCATAATATAGACATAAATTCAAAATAAAATTGCAGGAGACACCGTTCACCCTTAGAAACCATTGATGGCAGCAGGAGATATTGGAAACAACCGTTTTAAAAAATATTCAGTTTTACACGTTCAGTATTAACCTGATAATCTGTGACTAGCTTAAAAGAACAGATACAGTACTAGCTTGTGACCACAAAAAAAACATAACTTCCTCGACAAAAAAATAAAAAATTGACACGGGGCTACCAATAAAGCTAAAGGGAAACATGAAACTATCGTTTAACTATCTGGCTCATGGTAAGAAAAGGTCAAAACTAAGTAATATGATGAATGCAGAGGAAACTAGCCTGCCAGGTTCTGTAAGCTAGTGTGGTGGCAACTGCAGCTCACAAGGAGGGGGGCTGACTGCTCCCTCGATTTCAAACAAAAAAAGCTAATAAATAACACATTTTAACTCGAGTTTCGAGTCTTTATCGATTAAACACAGGTCTCTAAGCGTCTTTGGTAAAGTTTGAATGGGATAAATGGCTATATTTTTCACTTTTATTGCGGATTGAAACTGAGACGCGCCAATTTCCACAACGCAGAAAGCGGGAGGATTTGAGCCCTGCCTCTACGACCTGCCCCAAATCTAGGAGGGAAAACTCGCACAAAAGACGGCTAAAGATAAGCAATAACAGATCGAAACCGTCCTCAAGTTACAGAATAAGCTCTATATGGCCTCATATTTATATAAGAGCAGTTTTAGAGCCAACTAAATGGTCAATAAAGTCGAGCAAAATGAGGCAGCTGCGAGGCTAAGTTGTGGAGGGGAGCTACTGTAATTAGCAAACTAAGCCCGGTAACAGCTAACTAGGTCATCAATAACCAACTATCCCCGATATTAACATAAAGTAAGGATCTTCAGCTTTTAAAAGCAAACGCCTGGAAACTTGCTTAATCTGAATGGATGACAGAGAAAATGATAGACTAAAAACTATTCGTAAACTCCCAAGAGCTGCTTGGTTGTTTGTACAAACAAACCCGAAGTCCCCGATTTTCACCCAATGAGAATATGCCAAATCTAACCAAGATAAAGCAGATTACAATGGATGAAGAAACTCCCTCAAATAACGTTTAACATTGGATTAATCTAAAATAAACCTGCAGCTATTCTCGTGTCAGGGTATGAAGTCTTTTTACACGACTTAGCTTGGAAAAAGGTCAATTGAAGTCTAAACTTTATATGCAAACTACAGGAAGACTTGAAAGAGTGAAAACCTAACCTAAAACTACACTTATTAAAGCATATTTCTGCCTAGGGTCGGTGGTCTTACCTTCTCCTCAGTGAAGAATGAATGAATGCATCAGCTGTGGCGCCGGCGCCAATCTTTATATCCGCATGAGCTTGCAGTGGCCAGTGCGCATGCCCGTTCCCGGTTAACATAAACGCGCTAAATGTTCAAATCTGAACGTCGATTTTACAACTGACCAACTCAGAGTAGTTTAAAAACGGTGTACTCCCTTGGCTTCGCTGTAGGAGTAATTGCTATGAGAGCTAGGCGAAGTTAAACGGCTTTGTTAAAGTGATTCCACCAAAGACTGTATTCATTTCTAACGGCCACCGAAGCAAATAAACGTTTTTGAAGTAAACACCGTTTTCCGTACATTCCGGTTGAACTCAAACGACTCGATACCCGTTGAGAAATCCTTCTCCGTAGGGCAGTTGAACTATATTTTACGTTTTACATAGTTATATTCAAAAATTTACGCGGTATCGAAACTGCTTCCGCATGCAAGTACCGCCTGTGGGAGGAATGCCCGTGACGTCAGGCCAATGAAAGAGCAGGCGGTGACAGCCGCGTGCTTCCTCTGTAGAACGTAAACAGTCTTAGCACGTGGGGTAGCTGTCACACAGAGCAGTGGAGCTGTGCTAAAGTGGCTTTTAATTGTAACGGCTAATGAATCATGGAACATTGCCATTTGCTAGGTGAAACGTTGCTCGAATTGCCGTAGAAGTACAAAAATGACCTCAGGAAGGCGCAACGTTACACAACAAAAAAAAAAGGTATGAACGAAAGAAATAAACAATAACGTAGCACGAGCTATGAAAAATACAACGAAAGGACACTACATGTACAGGAAGAAATACACTGTGTGACAAAAACGAAAGACAAAGAGACATACAATTGCCATAAAGACATTAAATATCTCCACAATGAGATGTAAAGCATCGACACAAGAAAAAACTAAACAGAGCGATGAAAACAATTGCAAAGAAACACCTAAAAGGAAGATCGTAGCTACAGATTTATACACTGCTGTCAATAAGAAGGAGAGAAAAAGTCTGATGGAGGTCAAACTAAAAGAGGGTCCTACTGTAAATAGAGGTTGGCTTTAATGGGACCTTTGATTCTATATAGAGGTAGAATGACTAGTTGTATGTAAAACAACTGCAAAACAGCCTCATCAATCGATTCATTTTTTATTCTTGCTTCCTATAAGTCCAGGTCACAAGTGGGCAGGAGCTATCACAGCTCTTATTGGAGGAGTGGCAGGATACACCCTGGAGGGGTCATCACAAGAAACTGTAGCTCTAAAACACTAATAAAGACATAAAGTGGCAGGGTACACCCTGGTTAAGTCACCAATCAATCACAGGCCAACATTTTAGTTAACTGTTAAATAGATTTAATCACATCGTTGCCCGTGATCTTGCTCTGTAATCTTTGCTTATTTGATTGAGTGGATTGTCTCTAGCGTATATATCTTTACTGTATCTCGGGGCTAAATACATTTTCCCAATCCACATCCCTTGGGTTTATCAGTCAATTCGATTGACATTTCACATGTAGAAAAACTACTTTGTGGAAAAGGTTTACTGTATGGATCAATGTGCAAATGTTGACAAAATACTCATTTTATTTTTAACATGCTCATAGTCACAGAGTGTCCAACACAGTGGCACACTTGAAGTGGAATTTATTTTAAGTGTTATAAAGATTTATTAAAGATGGCCTGACCTTGACTAATATCAGTAGAAATGAAAAAGACTCAAAATGGGCAACTGAAGCATCCTCTGTTGAACGTAATAACTTAAAACCTTAGTTGAATCCAAAGAAAAGTAAATAAACAACAAACTGAGAGACAGATTTGTGTATGAAAACATTTATTGTAGGCTAATAAGAGATCACATGTATTAACTATTACAGTTCAAAAACAGATGACCCCACTTTTGCATCTTTTTTTCTTCTTTTTGTTTCTGACATCAGAACAGAGTGAATTAATTTGTCATATATCCAAAATACAAAGGAGACCAGTTATATTGATAAATAAAAAGTTAAGTCTAGAATTCCTACAACTTTTTTTTTTCTTTTTGGCAAAGTGCTGTATTATTCCAGTAAACTACACAAAACAAACACGTCTAACACTTGGTGAAAAATAAAATGCCACAATATATTCTTCACACTTAAAATAAAAATAACAGGAGAAAAAAAGGCTTTGCTACATCATTCTGTCTGGTTTGTTGAGACATTAGAAAACCTGTACCCAGGCTCAGCGGATGGTGGCGGTGAGAGCATATGAGCCTCCCCAAGTGATGCATAGTTGTTTGTGATGTCTTTTTGTGTTTTTATCTAATATATCCAATTGGAGCATTAAAAAAGAGAAAGAGTTCAAGTTCTTCATTGATGCATTGTCATTATAACATTTCAACCTGGAAGGCACATGATCCACAAATTTCAAGGCATTGAACATAAACATTAAAAATCCCTGTTAGTTTGCTGATGGAGAGATGAGCTGAGAACACAAACAGAACATTTAAGGCTCCTGACAGCAAGAGGAGCCTCCAACATCTCCTCTGATCCCTTCTCTCTATAAGTTTGTCTCTTTCAAAAACATTGCAGTAACACGTTACAATATCGCTTGTGATTGCAAAGGTGGATAGCACAGAACGTGAGACATTCAAGAACTAAAAGAAAAGCTTACATACACCAGAGATCCACTCCATATCATATTTACAATAAATCACACGAGCTCCTAACAAATGTGTGCTAATTCTTTCTTAATGATGCAAACATCCGATCAATTGAAAAAAAAAGTCGAGACAGAAAAAGAAACAAACTACAAAACGCTTTCATCATAACTGAACGACTGGTTTTGAGTGGTAAAATTTGTTGCGATCAGGCGTGTTCATACTGGACTAACTTATATTCAAGTTGAATCTTTTTGCTCAACTTTAAACTGATTTACTTTATCTGGGTTTCAGATGATGAATCTGACCACATTCCAAGAATCAGTGAATCGGCAGAAAGAAAGTGTGAGACCTTAACTTGTCACAAAATATTTTACAAACCGAAACCAATTTCTGCAGGAAAGAAAAAAAAACAAAAACAAAAAACATACACGCTGATCAAAATGATTTGCTGATAACCTTGAATAGATAAGAAAGATTGTTCAAGTTAATCAAAACTTAGAAGTAGGCAAAAACAATGACAAACGATGAATGTAATTATTTGACTAATAAGTCAATCAAAATCTTGATTAAGAAAGAGTTACATTTTAGTGACGATGAAAGTAGTATTTCCATGTCTGGTATTTTTCACTTTAAATAGCATGAAATTAAATTTAATCTAAATTTCATTTGCTTTAGTTTGTTTTTTCTCCTGGCAGTAAAGTTCCTCCATATGCTTTTGTCAATTTTTGATGATTGAGTATTTCTTTCGTCTTGCAGTGTGGTAACTTGGCCTGGGCTCCATTTTCCCTACAGCAGACACATTAAAACATGACACAGTCCACTATTTCAGAGCTCCAAGGCTTTGAGCTGTTAACAAACACTTCATCGACACAATCTCTTTCTCACATTTACACACACACAAATAAAAAAGGACATTAGTATTACACACTAATGAAAAGGTTAAAGATCAATGCTACTTTTTTTTTTTGGTTTAAATATCAGCTAAACAAAATGTAACTAATTTAGCAAAAAAGAAAATACATCTGAAATAATGTAAAGTACATCTCTAAAACCGTATTACTATATAAACATATGAACATACATGAAAAAGACCAACAGTTTCTCTGCATCTCGCTGGATTCCCAACAGTCAAGTTACGGTTAATTCACCCGTTCAGGGATCGAAAGAAGCTTTTAATACACAAAACTAGAAGCAAAAAGAATTTTTCTCACAGACGTTTTCATGAGGGAAAGCTCATAAGGAAAGAGCTGAAAAGTCAGAGCATGAGCAAAAAATCATTAGCCGTCAAGTAAATCTGCATTTTCCTAAAGTGTAAAGGTGATTGGTTGTGACCCTGAGAAGTGGACTGCAGATTCATTTGAGAACAAACAAAAAGAAAAAATAGTCCATTGTCTTTTCTTTTTTCTGCCATCGTGACACCAACACAACTCTACAACCATGCAACAGATTGCTCACTAACACAACCAAACATACCTAAGCAAGAAACCATAGACGCGTATAACTTCATACTGATATGTAATTTGTTTTTTCTTTTAAAAAAAATATTTTGGAAGGTTTTTTTTATTTTTTTACATAAACTTTATACATTTCTATTCATCTCAAAGCTACCGTTAAAACAAGGCGTTTAGTGATATTTAACCCAGTAATTTTATCGTCTTTTTTTTTTTCATTTTGTCCTACAAAAAAAAAAAAACACTGAGTACTGAATTATAAGGTCAGAGGCAGGTTCAGGCGGTGTTGCAGGAAAAATGGATGGTGCTACAAGAGCTCAAAAGGCTGGAAACTAAGAGGACAAATCCACAGAGAAAAGCTCTGAAACGGTTACATTTGAATTCTCTTTCTTATGTTGCACATTTCTGACTTCATTTGTAACTGGCATTTTAAGATTCAGCATTATTAGTGAAACATGAGGGCAAATGAATAGATAGTCAAACAGGGGGGTAAAAAAAAACTGAAAAAAAGAGACTAAGAGGCCAAGCAGCTACAGTACAGGGGTGGGTTTTATTTTTTGCTGCAGCTCTCTGTTCTGTCTTTCTGTTTTCAGTTGCTACTCAATCTGGTTTCACAGGAAAAGCTGCAAACACAACGTGGTGTCTGAATTGTGCTGAGGTTTGTTAAACTGGGCTACAGTACATTTCTTGTTGAAATCACTTGTCTGGCAACAGGAAATGAACGACTGTTCTAGTTGGACTTCTTGGAAAATCATAGTATTTTCTGTGTAAAGAGGCAGTGATTTTTCTATTGCACACTGAAAGTCTTTCTGATATCGACACAAAACGTACCCTGTCCTCTTATTAAAAAAACCCCAAAAAAACTAAATCAAGAAAAGCAAAGCGACTTGAAAAGAGCTGATGATTTGAACAGTTTTAGATTATGTGAGGGTATTTTTCCCTTAAAGGTGGATTTCCCTGCTTGTGCCTGCCTCCAGTGTGACCAACATGCTGACACTGGCAACCCTCTGAGCTCAAAGCCTCATCACAAACCTCCAACACAGCTGAATGGAAACGCGGTGCAGCTGCATAATACATATTTTCAAGTGACTTATGGCCTGAAATGTTTCCAGCTGTCTTGTTATTTACCTACAAAGGTTGCGAGGCAAGCGGTCATCGCTCCGAGACCCTGAAACGGCACCAGAGGACAGTCCTGCCACGCCGTGAACCTGCTGCTGAATAAAGTGACCTACAGCGTCGATTCTACACATTAAGTCGTCCGTGAAGAACAAGAAATGGGATAAAAGTGGGGGTCGTGGTGTCACTTCTTGCTCTCTGCGATCGGAGAGAAAGTAGTCTGAGAAAGAGGGCGAATTGACTAAATGACCGGGGGGGGAGCTCTCGATGAGATTTTTTGCTCTCACGCTCCCGCTCGGCGTGGATATGACGGAGAACAGATCGCTCAAGAGAAAGAGGAGGAGAGAAGAATTGAATCTCTTCACTGGCCATAAACCTGATACGATGCAAAACAAAACAAAAAAAAAACACCGGCCACGATCCCGGTTGGGGTGGGTCGTGGCTGGCGGACTCTTAACTAACTGCTGGTGTTTGATTCTTGACAAGAAGAGAAAAGCAGGGGGGTGTGTGTGTTGGTGAGTGGCCAGTGGTAGGTTCCTGTACTGTAAGCTGATAATGATGATGATGAAGGTGAGGACCCCCCTCAGAAGTTGAGGTGCCTCTGGCTGGGCTGGTGCAGGTGCATGGTGCCGGCTTTGGGGGGCCGCAGCAGGTTGAGGCGCCGCAGGGCCTTGCGGGACAGCGGCTGGGCGCGCTGGGCGCCGGTCCCCGGCCGCTGCTGCAGAAGGCCGTTGTGGGCGGCGAGCGCGGCGGCGTAGCAGGGGGAGTGCAGGTTGGAGCGGCGCTGCACGACTGCCATCTCTGTCCTACAGGGGACAGGAAGGAGCGAACAAGATCAGACGAGCTGGCAAAGCTGAACGACGATCAGAACGACGCAACTCGATAGTAGTTATTTAAAAAAAAGGTCAAATTAACTACAGTTGCTCTCATGTAATGAAAGATTTCTTATCTGACATTCTGCACTGCTATAAATCTTATTGTGTTATACTTTTAAAGCAAAATATAAACATTTTTAATACCTTTGGAATCAATAAAATGTAGATTATTCATCTAAGTTAGATGTAGAAGGTTTGCTTTCTACTTAGAAAGTATTAATATACTGTATGTTAAATACAAAACTATACAGAGAACCATACATTTTGATTGAATCAGATTTAAAAGAATTAAAATAACTTATATAATAACACTTATTCTATATTTACTGTGGTTTAAGATCATTGAGAATAGGCTGAAGGGAATCCTGTATTTAAATATTTTTGGTTAAAAATCTAAAACAATTATGAATTCAAATTACTGCAGCATTTAATTCTGTTATGAAAGAACAAAGCTTTTTAATCGTGAATATAATAACAACATGAATAGAGATAATGTCTCCGTCTTAAATAAAACCACTGAAACTGGATTATTTAGAAAAATAGTGAATTCCACTGGGTTTAATTAAGTTTACCTGCGTCGAGCTCCATCAAGCGTGCATCGAGTCTTCTCCTCTCCACCGACGGCCTTCGGGTCTGCGGACATATTACCGGACAGAAAGTCCAGTTCCTGGTCGAGTGAGCGTCGCGGCAAGGGGTCAAGGGTCAGTCGCGGAGGGCTGTGGTGGGCGTAGACGGACATGCTGGGGTGCTCGATCAGCAGGTTCTCCAGGGGGCTGGCCTCCAGGAGAACGGGCTTCCCGCTGCAGCCGGTGAAGCAGGGCGGGGGGGTGACGAACCAGCTCTCCTCCAGGGAGCGGGCGTCCAGGTGCAGAAAGCCGCCCTCCTCCTCCTCCTCCTCCACGTCGTCGTCGTCGTCCACGTCCTCCTCCGCGCCGCCGTCTGGATCGGTGTCGGCCGTGGAGTCCAGGGAGGTGCAGGAGGCGTAGCGGATGGAGGGGCTGCCCATCGGGGAAGGGATCATCACCACGTCCTCCTCCAGATCTTCCGGACCGACCGTGGAGCCAGAGAGGCCCTCGCCACAGTGACCGGAGCAACCCTCAGCTGCGGAGAGGGGCGGAAGAAGAGAAGAAGAGTTCCCTAGGTTAGCTATATTACGATCATTTATGTGGCGCCATGGTATGTTCATAACACTCATAAAAAGCTTTTTCAAATTTTAAATATCAATGAAGTATGTTTTTTTCTGATATCCCTCCTGTTTTGAAGATAAGGGAGCATCTTCATTAACTCTATAAGCTTTATAGATCCATAAAACAGTGCGTCTGCCAGCATGAGGTACTGTAGATCGTCTCCACAGAACCACAGACCCCCGGCAGATGTAAACAAACTCTTTGTGGATGCCAGAAGCCGCAGGGCTGCGGGCATGCCCGCATCGCATGGCCGCCCGCACGCGTGTTTCCGTGTGCGAGCGAAAACACAGGCTTTATCTCCACGCCACCACCTGATCCCTGTTCCCTCTGCGAGAAGCAGCACAAACAACCGCCCCACATTCTTTGGTGCAACCGACCATCTGTGCACGTGGCGACGTTGGGCCCTGTTGGGCGTCCAAGTCGTCCGCGTGCACGAGCGGAGGCCGCCGATCGGGGGGATAAATCTTGTTTTTATCCAGCATGAGCCTCTAATGATTAACCGAGAAACAGGAAGTTGTGAAGTGGAAACATGATCTCAAGCTAGCAGACAGGATGCTAAAAATAACCCTGTGTCGACTAAGCAGATGTCTCTGTTTGATTTTAGTTCTGTTTAAGGACATGCTATTTTCTTCAGGGGCTAAATAAATCTTGTAAATAACATGCTTGATTCCTTTTTGATTCTCTTCAATTTCTTTTTCAAACATGGACACATTGACACGGGTAGGAGGTCCTCAGGCTTTACCTTAGGGCCTCCATCAAATCATCCCCTCTAATCTCTGGGAGCTGGCTGTGTATGCATGTACATTTTTCCTGCGCATGTGAGCAAGTGTCCATTGAAGCTGGTTTTCACACGTGACACGAGCAGCACCCGGTGTCTCTGACTCCCGGGAGTTCACAGAGGAATCCTTGTTTACCCACAACAGGACAGAGAAGCTGCAGAGTGCTGACTCAAAGCCCCAGTGGCTGATCTCCTGCTCGTTTTATCCTCTCAACAGCAGCAACACAACACTCCTTTGCCCTTAGTGGGTCCGTCAGGGTCTGCAGGTACAGGTACGCAGGGTCAAAGTGGACCAGGAGTGAGGGCCGGTGGTCCACAGATCAGCCACCCTACCCTTCGCATAATTCAGTTTCCTCTGGAGAGCACAGACGCACACTCAGCAAATAGTTCCATTGAGGTTCAGCTAGATCTGTTCAACTTTTGCCTTGTTTGGCCAAATTGGTGTAATCAAAGCTATGCAATGGGTTACAAAACCTGCAAATGCCTTTATAATGCTGCACCCATTCGTTTTGGCAGCCTACATATGCAGATATCTCCACATATATGTAGCAAAAGGGCAGAGGTAGAAGTAGTAATTCAACAGAACGGCGATGCTCCTCACGTCTTCTTGGATATCCACATGTTTATCTAATCAACGTTCTATCTATAAAAAGGACATGTTTTAAAAATAATGTTGTCCTTTTCACTTTGTTGGAAAATTGAGATGGAAATGCGGGGGCGTCAGACTCAGAGGCCATACAAGTCCACCTCCACCGGGATCTATTTTTACCTCATCAGGTTCCTTGGGTGCTTTTGTTTGGCTTCTTCACCGGTTGACTTTTCCATAAACTGCCTGATGTATAACAACCTAACCCCCCCCCCCCCTCTCCTGTGGATGACCCATGGAATCTGAGACTTATCAAGTCAAGTCAAGACAAGTGGTGGGCCAAAGCGAAGCTGAGCCAAGATTCACTCCGAGCCATTTGGATGTCGCCGCGACTCGTGTTGCTGCGTCCAGTCTGTGGGACTTGATGAACTTCTCTCTGTGTCACACCTGTTTTGACTGGGATCTGCTTTTGGTCTCAGACAGTTCTGGAAACTTGGCTCAACTTTTACCGGCTATTGCAGAGCTCTAAAGTTATGCCCTACCTTTCTTCCCATCCTGTCTGCTCACGTCAGTTTATTTCATCTTTGCAACTAAGATTTCAGTTTGATAAGCTAGCCATGCCATACCGATAATGTCTCAAACTGTTTTTGATGTGAATTTTGCTCTAATCCTCTTAAACTGATTTTAAAAGAATGCGTTCATCTAGTTTACCACATACATTTTAATCAAACCCCCATCTTCATGACCTATGCTGTGCTGAAACTGCCATCTTAAATCCAGCTGTGGTACAGGTTTTACATTATAGTGTAAGTCTTTGTTGAAATTAAAATGTTTTAGGAACAAAGCGAGACCCAGCGGCTGTCTGCTAGCATGGACTAGATGTGTGTTAGTTATAAAACAAACTCCTGCAGGTCAGTGTGTTAACGGTCCCTGCTCCAACATGTGAGCTGAACTATAACCGTCGGGGGTGTATGTTTAAAAATAATTGATGGTTCACACATGAGCAAGAACAGGTTTTCTGCAGACTTGCACGCATTGTTCCACATCTCAAGTGGATGTGTCGGGACATCCGTTCCAAAAGAAACACTACCTACACGAGAAGACAAAGAGGAGGGCTAGTGTTTATCTGCCGGAGAAGAAAAAGTCAGTGTGGAAAACATGGAACCTCTCCTCACAAACGATCACTCACAGAAGTTACTTCCTGTAACACCGGCTTTACATTCCTGGCACAACGTTTACTCCTCTTTGTGTTTGACTTACTCAGGTAGTTGACCAGTATCCAGTCCTCATCCTCCTCTTCCTCCTTGCCATCTTCAGGTCTGTTGCGTAGACTCAGCTCCTCCACGTCGTCCCCGAACAGAGTGCTGGTGAACCTGTGGAACATCCCGCTGGGGCGGCAGGCTGGGGAGGGGGCCGAGGGAGGCACGGAGCTCAGGGCGGCGGTGGGGGGGAGGGCCGGGCGTTTTGGTCATCAGCTGCAGGGTGCACGGCGGGCGGAAAGGCTCCGGAAAGGTGCTAAAGTGCATCAATAAGGTGTGGTCATGGATCATCTGAGGGCCAGCAGACACGGGCCGGACATCGCTCAACGTCGGGATTCAGCAAGTGCAAAAATTACGAAAGAAAGAACCTGAAACGAAGCAAAACAGCCAGTCAGCAGAGATCCTCTTAATTTCTGCAACCTGCTTTCCTAATCCCCCCCACAAATCACTTCTCTGAATCAAATCTCAGGGAAGTGTGAGGTAAGGATTATGAAACAAGTCTGGAAAATTGTGTACTTTGCTAAAAGTAATCGAGTTGTTTCCAGGCCCAACGTTCATTTCCTATTTGGCTCTGCTTTTTGGTCTCCACCTAAGCCTCAAGGGGAAGAATGAGTCTCTTCAGCTTTTCAATTCCTGTGTTCATCACTAGCTCATCTTTAACTGCCTGTCTGTTTTATTTTCTGTTAGGCGGGATGAGAGCTGTTACTATTACAGACCTGCTCACGGCTGCTGGAAACTCTGAGACTGGACCAGACCAGCCTGAGCACCAAAAAAGCTACAAGTGTCAACAGAGAAAGAGGCTGGAAAAGTGCTGGGAATCACATTTCATTTGTCAAAGGTCTTTGTGATTTATTATTTGAAATATAAAACAGTTTTAAGTTGATAGACTTTCAATGGTTTTAAAATTACACCAAAAATAGTTTTTTGTGGAGGAAAAATACAACACAATTTAATCTGGAACTCCCCAACAGTTTTCTTTTAAATCCAATACTTCCATCACATAATCAACATTTTCCCTAAAGCCAAAAAGAAAAACCAATATGTACTGGTGTGGCTTAAACATACTTTGTGTGTTCTTCCATCTCGAGAATCTAAACATGTTTTTTTCTCAGTATAGTTTGCTTGTGATGGATTATCTAAGCAGTCTGTAGTTTATTCCAAATGATTTACAGATGCTGATTTTACCAGCAAATAATTCCTTCCTAATTCGTCGTGCTATATTTTAAGGAGGAGGCTGATATACAGACAGGCAAACTCAAAACACATGCACACAACTGGAACTTTAAAACCGGCTCTGTCAGTGTCTGCCGCCTGTTTACACAGACTTATCATTTTCATTTGATTAATTTCCTGTCAGGCCTGATGCGGGCTAGCAGCAGCTGCAGTTTCTTAGGATATTGAATTGATGGAAGCAAACAGAGAAGCTGTCCTATCTGTGTCATATTCATCCACACATAAAGAGCTGTGCTGTTCTCAGAGGACGCGCAGACACAGCTGGCTGACGGCCTGTGTGCTGGGATCCCTGAAACATTTCCCATTAGGAAAGTAGACAAAATGAAAAGTGATCAGTGCAACTGTCCCACTGCAGCTGCTGTATAAATGGCATCCACTGGCAGAGTCCCAGTGGATAAAAGCCAAGTGGGCAATGCCCTCATTTACCCTTTAAATCCTTTTGTTACTGGGATTACTGTTTCTGTGCGATAAAATCTTTTTTAAAAAGTGGATTATCTGCCAACTCGGCTGCCGAGTTTCAGAACTCTGTAGATAAAAATGGACCATTTCTGAATCGAGAAGAAAAAGCAGAGTGGGATCATGCAAGTGGCAGGGACACCTTGTGTTCTGCCTCTCAGGACACATACGGTACAAAACTAAATGTTTTTTTTTAAGATCGAAGCATCAGAGACAAGACTCGGCAAAAAACAAACAAAAAGAAAAAAACCAAAGAACTATAGATAATCTCCCATATCTGAATATTTTTGGAGAGCTAAGCATAATTGTGGTCACCTATAGCTCAATGGTCGTAAATTCATCAGGTAAGTGGAAATTAAGTCAAATAAGTTTGTCAAACAAGTAAATTATTTAATAGCATAGTGTTTTAGACATTTAATATATATATAAACATATATCGAGACCTACAGAAAACCCCTGTTTAATGCTCTCCAAATGAAAAATGTGACATTGTTAGGAAAAATTATAAATGCAGACAACGATGTTTGAAATGACAGAGGCTAAACTCTGGTGTAAATCACGAATTTCTCCTCCACTTTTACAAAATCTGTTACATTACTGGTAATCACCAGTAGGAGTCAGGCACGAACGGAGCTCTAAATCCACACTGGCTGGAATGCCTAAGTTCACAAAACCAACAATCCGAAACCGTAAATGTCCGGGTTTTGAACCTGCACGTGAACGCGCCCCAGCTTTCTACGGAAGGAACGCGATGCGTTTATGTCCACCCAGCGCAGTAGGAATTATTCGCTACCGTTGACACTGGATTGAAAAAAAATCGAAAGCCTTCCACTTTTCAAGAAGTCAGCGGAGTAGGCCTACGTAAACATCGAGCAGCTGTGACGAACAGCAAACAGGGAAATGTTTTCAGCTGACTGACTGACTGGGGCACCGTCAACAGCAGGCTGGTAATCTGCTGCACCTGTTTCTGCTCAACTATCCCCCCCCCCCCCCTCCACATCGTCAGCACGCCACAAATGCAGACTGATGGACATTTATCGCCGCACACAAAGACGAGCGCTCCTTTCCTCACGACCGATGAATGTCCCCAGAAACCGGCCACGCAGCAGTAATGATGCAGGACATTGAGTATTTTGCATCAGAACTCGCACTAAATATTCCAGTCAAGCGTAAACCGTGCAATCACAAACGCATCCTTTTTGGGACTGGTAAAATAATTTGATATGATGTATGTGTGGTGTATAGGCTGCAGGATTAAGAATAAACCACAATGGATGTCCCATAATCAGGGATAAAGGGGGATAAACAGATTACGCATGTTTTAATGGGGAAACAATCAGAAAAAAAAAATACAATTATGCTATCTCTTTTATTCTTGGCCATATTTTTTGCTGGACAGCTGCTCTGTTCTCAGCTTCCCATTTTTGTAAAACGTCGTAGTTAAAATGTAGGTGAGCAGTGCAGGCTGGTGGTTCCGTCGATTAGGCCTAATGTGCCAAAATATGTATTCCATCACGAATCCACCTCTGCTCAGGAACTTTACACACCCAGTAAGGGACAAAAGGAAACCCCGATAAAAACTACTTGAAATGTCAGACGTTCTATCCAATCAACGAGCGACTCTTTCCTCTCTCGGGTAAGTTTTCTGTTGCTGATGGGGTCGATCGACTTAATCGGCTCGTTTCCTGGATGCTAATGTGATTTGTCATCCACACAAAGCCAAACGGGTCCGGCGATAAGGTGGAGGAGCAGCCGGGGGAGCGTTAAAGACGGTTCTGGTGGTTAAACAAGAGGAAGGGGAGGAGGCTGTAATCCTACACTGGCAGGGCTGGACTGCAGCCTGGCTGCCCGTTCAACTTTTGTCTCCAAAAAATATGTGATGAAATATCTTCTAGAAAAAAAAAAAAAAGGAAAAAAACACCAGTTCCCCTCTTGGGGTCAAGGCGAGACCAAACATGACGTTTTGCAGAGATAAAGCATCAGCCGTTTACATATAAAAAAAAAACCCAACTATAGGACTGAGTCGTTGCTTGAGAGTAAACAGAATACATGCAAAAATAAGGTGTAATAATACATCGAAGCGTCTTAATATGAGCCCGGTTGCCGAATTGTGAGCTGTCTCTGCTGTAATGCGGGTAAAAAGGACCGTTTGCATCAACATTTCAGACGACGGGGCCGCCAATGTTCGCCGAGAAGAAAACAAAGAACCCACCTGCGGCAGAACGAGGAGAGATGTAAACGGCTTCGAATCGTGATTAGAAAATCCTTAAAACGGAGGTAGATACGTTTGCTTTTCGAAAAATAGAAAAACCTGATGTTTCTTCGCGGAAGAAAATAAAATACAAAAAAGGATTATGGACTGTTCGTCGGGAGTCACAGTGTCTTTGAGCGTTTTTCTTTCAGTCCGTTTCCTCCTCGGTCTCCCGACTGCGCCTTCTTTTGTTGTTGTTGTGGAGCTCTAACAGCTGATCCGCGTGACGTCACCAAGGACAGCCTATCATAGGGGACGGGCCTGGGCGGCGGGGAAGCCAATTGAAATGCTCGCTGGGAGCTGTCACCAACCCACGTGACCGCTCTCTCTCCCCTCCTCCTCCTTCTGAGAAAAAGGGCATGACTGGGCAGAGCACCGAGCTGCTGGATAGGACCGAACTGTGAGCTTTCCACCCAAAAACAGGCAAATGTTACATCAACAGACCCGCATCCGGGTCCAGCTGCTGGACTTCCTGTTTTTCTAAGAACCCACAAACTATTAATGTCACATTTGAGTGGACTATAATTACACATCTGTCGAACTTACATAATGGAGACACATAAAAACATTACAAAGGGGGTAAAAAGTGGAGGTTTTTGCACAGAGCTTTGATGAGCCTCTGTACAAATAGTCGCTACAGTTTGCATAATTCTTTGTCAGTTAGATTGGTCAATATTAACCTCTTAGACTTAGAGGAATCTCAAAGGGGCATATCTGGTGTTGATCTAATTTGTTTCGAAGCAGCTTTATTGTCACAATGTTCCTGTGTTCAGGAACATTGTCAATTTATGGCCTGAAATGGTGGTTTATTTATTGAAAATATCAGTCACCCACCAGTCATGGAGCAAAGCATCACTGTATAATCAAATGTATAAATCTTATACAGTTGTACAGTTTTTAACAAACATGCTACAATTGAGTTAAATCCCAAGTGCACACATCCAAAAACCTTTGTGGGTTTGTATCTTTTTTATTCAGCCCTGCAAATCAACACTGTTTCAACTTTATTACTTGATTTAGCACTTTAAACGGATGTCTGTTGGTTCTGGAAACATTCAATCCGTAGTTTCGTTTGTTTGTATGGCTTCTTTTTGCATATCTATTTTTTTAAAGCAGTCATTGGCTCAATATCTGACACTATTGGTGATTGCTGTGATTGCTGTACAGGTGCTCTGTCTCGCAGAGGCAGTGGGAATATTTCCAGCTAAGAAAACAGAAGCTTCCATATGGAAACATAACATAGTAAAAGTGGGACACAGGGACAACATGTTACCCCAGATCTTTCCTTTCCCAAAAAACAAGGACACACCTGTACTGTTCTGACATCACAGCCCTGATAACATGTCCTTAACTGATCACTTCCTGTGCATTCTTTCCTCTCCTACAGTTTGTTACATAATCCTCAACATGTAGTGCAGCCTATAGGTAGAAAGTGAGCAATGCCACTGAACACTCTGAAATGATTGAGTAGAAGCATGTTTGATGTAATTAGTCATATTTGGTTCTGTAATTAGTCATTCAAGATCTGATTGAGAAAAAAATCATAGATTTAACAATGAGATCGTTTGATTCAGGGTTTTGTCATTTCTTTTCAGAGAACTCCACAAATTAAAAAAACAACCAAATAATCTTACCCGCAACTTCTGTGTGCATAACGGCTGCTTGATACTGCTTATCTTGTTCCTGTGTGCCATAGTGAGCCTTTGTTGACTAGGAGCTTTCAACCAATGAATACACTGTTGCACTTTATGGCACAAATACAAAAACACACATATGTGCACGGTGTACTTACTCAGACTACTTTAGTCATTTTATAGCTACTTCGAACATCACAGCAAAATTGGAATTATGGTCCATCCCATTGTGAAAAAAGTCCCCAAAAAACAAAAAAATTATATATATTATATATATATATACCATAAGTTGGGTTTATTATGATCCTTTAGATCGATTTCATGATGAGGGGATTTCTCAGTTTTGATGCTGTAAATAATTGTTTACTCCCTGTCAGGTCTCATATGTTACGAGCAACAGGAGTTACATGTGTCTTTACAGGCATGATGAAATACTCCAAGTGTTCCAGTATGTGTACCTCTTTATGTGTTTGTGTTGTAGAGACATTGTGGAGACTTAATGTCCTCGTAGACACAATAAAAGGAAGTCCCAGTGAAGTAAATCATTAATCCACTGACTTGGTTGGGAGTTACTGTAAGGTTTGGGTGATGTTCAATCTGAGGAAATAAAGAGGAAAACGGTGGTGTCTTCTGAATAGAAGTAAACATGTCTGTGTTTTTGTGTGTGTGCGAACGGGAGAGCCATGTACAAAACGTCATGTCCTCCAACCGAACAAGCTACCACTGTTACATGTTACATTCAGTGTCACAACAATGCAGAGTTGCCTTCCTCCTGCCAAAATTTATGTAATCTGGCTAATGTTTACAATTTTTGTTGCACAATTCTGTTCCCTGGGAGTGCATCACGGGGTCAACGACCTCGTGTTATTCTCACCAATGCTTCGAGTGTGTTGTGGAATTGTTTTTTTTTTTTGTGCTCAATCTCGAAGTGATAGCCACTCCCTTTTTTAGTCTGGAAATGTTTTCTTAGTTAATTTGTTTCGAGGGCTCTTATTGGTGGAGTGTTAAAGGGTGGAAGAGGGCGCCAAAAGGTGAACCTACTAATAACGGATATATCAGAAACATTCAATATCTTAACTCGAGACAAAACACTATTTCTTCACAGTGAGCTTAAACGTGATACATGTAAAATAAATGTTTACGACGCGCATGCGCCCTCCGCCTGTTGTCAATGTCTCCTCCAGCTGCTGACTGTTGCCACGGAGACCAGTTGCCAGACAAGGTTCAACAGTGAGTGTGCGCCGTGGTTCAGGAGGTAAGTATTTAGAGAGGAATGTGGGCCAGGCTGTGTGTAACACACTAACCTCTGACTGTTCACAGCTTCACAAGCAACAACAATGTCTTCTGAATGTACAACAGGAATGAAGACAAGACAGTTTATAGCGTTTATAGTCCGTATAACACGCAGCCCCAAGCCTGTTCGCCATTTTAATTTAATTTTGATTGACTAGTTAAGAGAGCAACATGCAGAGATGCAGTGAACTTGATCATGTGAGCTCATGTAGACTAAAGCTGAGACGTCCAAAGACTGAAACATCTGTATGTACTGTAATGTCATTACGAGAGCAGCGGAGCATGGAAGCATTTAACCAAAAAAACACAACATATCATTTGTCGGTCGAGACTGGCAGACCGAAAAAGAACTGTTAGTCCTAGTTTTACACGGCCCTCCTTGCTTTATTTATTTGATTTTCACTCATCATTTAATAGAGCTCCTCTTGTAAATCTCATAAACTCGGTCATCCTCCAAGAATAAGCTACTAAATATTATTGTTTTGATGAGTTTTATTGTCTCCCATGTCAACACCTTAATGAGTAACCAGCCCCTGTTCCCTCTAGGTAAACACTGTTGTTTGGAGTGACTGCCATGACTCAGGTGTGAACTGTCACATGGAGAAAATCAATAGAAAGAGGTCACCTTGTCGGTACTGTATGTACCTGTGTGTTTTTCACACACTTGCCATAAACATCCGATCGACACGGTCCGCATCCTCCGACCACGCAACAATAAATGAGAAGAGAAGGGCTCCTCACTGTGTTCCACCCTGAGTGAGCTGCTCGTCTTAGAGGAGGGGACCTAAAGAAAGATAGAGGATCTTAGTGTTTGATACCAGACGGATTTTGGGTGGAGTGTCACTTGAACTCACGATAAGCTTTAACATGCAGGAGTACAAACACAAACATGTGAGCACACCCAGCAGAAAAATGCAGTGTGAGGTGGAGGGTTTGATGAGACGATATGAGGCCATGCAGGATGCTGACTCTGTCGGAAAGAAAACCGTGAATTCCCTTTTTTTAGTATGAAGGGAAAAAATAAACCTCACATTACACGTCCCAACATTTCACAGTACTCTGGAACATCAGGAGGGGAAACTTAAAAAGTGTCATCCTCCTCTTGAGTTGCATCAGCAGGCGCTGAGTGGACGAGGAGGCGGGACCATTCACGGAGAGATCGCACATCATTGGCTCTTAAAGTCCTTTCAGGTTCCTGCTGTCTGAGCTGGAGTCCTGCAGCTCATAAAATGAGTTAATAATAGCCGCAAAGTTATAAAACACAGCCCACTTCCTCCCTGTGCCAGAAGGTTCATGCAGTGAGCGGGTCACAGCTTTACGTAAAGATGTGAACACTGCGCACGTTAAAATGGATATAATTAAACGAGCAGGAAAAACAAACTGAGGTGGAGTAAAAGGCCACAACTTTTCAAACCCAAAATGGTCTCGATCGTTTCTGTTGTGTAAGAAATATCCAGACACTGAAGTATAATGAACAAAGAAGACAAGGCTGTGGGAATAGTATTTTAAACTGACACACCAAATGAAGTTGGAGCTTTTCTATATTAACACAGGTGTAAAACTGCAACAGGATAAACGAAAAAACAAAAGTGGCCAGGCCCTGAAACCAAAAAGGAAGTATGACTAACATTAAAATGACCAAACCCAGATATTTCTGGAGGCATCTCTTTTCTTTTTCTTTCCTGTGGCTGTATTTTAGCGAATAATGTTTGTTTGTTTTGATCTAAAATGGAAAAAATGCCAGCAAAAAAAAAAAAAAGCATTTAAAAAGTTTACAATACAGGTTATGTTGTGATGTTGGAAGTTTCATGTGACCGCTCTCAAATTACAGCCGAACAGGATCCCGTGCCTTCACTTTTCAGGCTGTACCAACAATGGATTAAACAAAACCCTGTGTATTTGTGGCATGTCTTCGTTTAATGGGGTGGAACCAGAGAGGCTCCAGTTCTGGCTGAAACCGCAGTGCAACGGTTCGGCATCAACACCCAGCATCTCCAAGCTCTGATAAAAGTGTGTGTAAAGCCATCAGGAAATCCAAGTATGGTCCCTTCACTCTCAGCCTATGTAGAAAAATTAGGAAACAAGGTTTTCAAATAGCATAACTTTCCCTTTTCATAGGCCTATTAGTGCTAAATTTATGATAAAACCTTAACAACAGTACAACAATAATTCGATTAGATAATGTGAGCACTGAGAAGTTCTTTAATTTTAAATGGTTTTAGAGGTTAAAAAAAGAGCCAAAGTGCATTAAAAATTAATAAGGTATTCTTTTTAGAAGCACTTAAGTTCTATAGAAAATCTGCAGCCATTTTGTGTGAAGGAAAGCCATGTCCCAAAATTTAAGGAAAGAAAACCTTTATCAAGGATTGTGTTGATCCTAATCCGGTTTGAGATGAACATCAAACCGACCATTAGCTCAAAGATATTTGACACTACTTTTGTTTACAGAATTAAGCTGTTGCCAGAAAGCTTTTGGTCACACGCGAGCCTCCTTTGTTTGCATTTCGACCTACAGTGGGCGAACGTTCACTACGAGAAGTCATGCAGAAAACTGAGGGGCCACCGTGACCCACAAGGTGAGGGTCAGCGCTCCATCTGCTTGGTGCCGTGGGGTAAATCCCTGTAATCCTGACAGGAAACAATCCTCGGGCACTTTGTTAAGCTTCAGTCAGATTTCACGGTGTGTAAAAACACGAAATTGGACAGAAATAGCAGGCCTTCCTCTGTTTGCCGTACCTACGCGGATGGGCCGTGTCCTCACAGATGGCAATAAAAGCAGGCTTAACGATGGGTATTTGCAGAGGAAATCAAGGCTGATTTGAAGCAAAAATTAAGCTCTTACGTGGGAGCCCCTCCTGTGCGTCAGCGTTTGAATTCGCAGATGGTCAGAACTGCCATCCGTGAGACTGCCCAGAAGCTCAGATGAGTCGGGCTCCCCTTAACACACGTGTGAAAAAATAAGTTGGAGTTGTCTCCAAAGAAAACTCACACATCGTATCAGGGGTTTTTCTTTCTTCAACAACAGCAGACAGAAAAGCTGGCCGGATATAACAGACATTTGTGTTTTGGGAACACAAACACGGAGTTATTGCCTCTCAAATTGAAGAATTAAAGGTATTACATGGTACATAACTTCTTAATTAGATTTATTTCCTCAGTAAATGGCTCAGTTGTGTCGATAATAAGACAGGAAAACACATCTTTTTTTGCCCGTGAACTTTAGTTGAAATACTGGAAGCTTTCACGTTATCTTTCAAAGCAAACAGTATAGCACATGAGTGTGAATAATGTGATTTCTTTGTACTTGGTTCTGATAATTGATTGATATTCAATGTCAGTCTCAAGCCAGTCTGATGAAGATTTGAAGAAAAACATCTCCCGATTCATTGGAATTCATGAAGTTGTTCTGCATGGTAGATCAGCAAAGCCGTACTTTAAAATCATTGGTGGGATGTTTGAACTCGCCAATAGATAATGTGTGTCATGGGGACTGGCTGTTGAGTAAATATTGGATCACAGAAGTTAAAGGTTCTGGAGCTTCTCGAGCCTCAGATTCCGGCAGGACTTCAGTGAAAAACGTGACTCGCAGCAGAGGAGTGTTTGCTAACTGAAAACTTGTCTCATGTTTACATGCAGACAAACATATCTGCACCTTGTTACATAACAAGTGGATGTTTTGAAGCCCTAGGCGTGCAAAAAGACCAAATTCCTACAGAATTACTGAGGATTTTCTTCAATAATGTTGCTTTCCGTCTTTCCCAGCTGAGGTAGAATTTCTTGATAACCTTTATTTAGGGGAAACTCAGCTCCAAATGGATCTATGTATTTAGGTGTGAATGATTTCCAGAAAAATATGTGTACTTTTAAGAAGAAGTAGAAGAAAGTCAACAAAAAGAGAGTGGTCGGCGTGCATCTCATGATGACTGAGGTCAGGGGTCGAGTCAATTGTCCAGTGCACTGCTGCCCGAAAAGAGAGGCCAACGAGGCTGCAGCCGCGTCTGGGTGAAAGTTCAGCCTCAGCTCAAACACACTCGACTGTGTCTGCCACCAGGGTGTTATTGTGGCAAGATAACACCGACACAAGGTTCAAAAACAGAAGAGGTCCGCGAGGTGCACCGGACAGCAAAATGAGTCCTGAAACATTTTTTTTAATTAGATATCAAAATCTAACTTCTGTGAGCATTCAGAATCGTGGCTACAGGATGATCTGGTACGTTCTCTTCATGATACAACAGCGTCTGACAGTCTGTACAGAATTATTCAAACGGGACAGAAAGTAACCATAAACAATCCTCAGATTCAGATTCTTCAGCACATTTGTCACATGCAACCACTGATTAACCATTAGTGTGAGAACACATTGATCATTTTTCATCATCTCCAAGATGGTTTTCACTCCAATTTTTGGCTCTAATGCCAAATATATTGTTAATATTACCGTGTTTTCTATAAAGCTGAGTCCCTCAGGGTGAATCCCATCTGACATTTATCATCAGAATACGACAATGTTTAGATAACATGATAACAGCAGATTGACAAAAATGACTCTGGTCTAACAAATATCTGCAAAAAAGACACTATTTTAACTTGGTAAAACATGCAATTATCTTTGGTGCTGCTGGAAGGCCAAAACATACATTTTTGCCCCATTGGTGACAATAGAGAAGAAAAAAATGTGTGCTTTTATTAAATGTTTTACCTGAAGGCTAATGTGGCTCATCCTTATTCGTTTGTCCCATACAATCTGTTTCTGCCAATCTTTGATTCAAAATAAAGATGGACAGAATAGAAAAAAAGTTCAATGTGAATACTCCATAGAGCTTGACATATATATCTATTTTTGCATTTATAGAGACCTGCCATAGTGATTTAAAGTGTCTGGTAACATTTATATATTATAAATTATTCCTGTTAAAGCCATTTTGAAGAAAACACAAGTTATGGATGGAGGGGTGACTAAGGTTTTAACATGAAAATCTGATTATTGACTAACTTTATTGACATGGCGCTAAAAAAAGAAACTGTGGAAAAATCCACATGCCGATAAGATACCGATAAACGTGCGATTTACTTTTAACTCTAAAGTTCAATTGATTGCGTGGCATCAAGTTCAAAAGGCCAGTCTCAGAAAAGTAAGTAACATCAGGCAAATGAATTAATGCAATGAAATATAAACATATTTTCGATGGTTCTTCTCAGTGAGTTAATCAAATTCAATTAAATTCCTGCTTAAAAAAAGATTGATATTCATTTCATGAGCTAAAGTATAAATATCAGTGAAAATTGCTCTGACAAAAGGCCCATTTTCCAGCTGAAAGACTTTATCGACATCCATTTCCTCATAATTTTTGAGGATATTCTGAGCTGACTTGATTATAGGATAACTCAAACACGTATCAACAGAAAATTGATAGAGAAGAGAAAAACTAAGAAAACTGAAGAGATGGAGGATCAAGTCACAAGCTTATGATGCTTTTGTTCACAGTTCATCAGTTTTTGTGAAAAAGTTTGAAAACTCATCGTACCTGGAGCTGGAATGGAGCCAATGGAATAATTACATTTAGAGAACCTTTAGCTGCTTTGTGGTCATCTTCACATTCAGCTGCAACAGCTATAAACAAAAACCACGAGGCCTCTGAAGACATATCCTGTCTAAGTCAAGTATGCAAGACATTAACAAAACAGTTCCTCTGTCCTGTTTCATTTCAGCAGGACTGGTGAAAACATTTGAAAAGATTAGAAAACCTATAAAAAAAAAAGAAGATCAAAGGGCTTCATTTGGTCAGTTTGTGCGATAACAGAGTTCTTTCTCCTTATCTTCCAACTTCCTGATGGCTATGACCTCTCCGAGAGCGGCGGGGACCAGATTTCATCCTGGGAATCCGAGTCTTCCAATCCAAAATGACTATAGCTAGATTTCCCCGCGTCTCTGGTATGTGAAGCAGCTCCGTTGATGTCGGCCAGTGGCACGTAGGAGTAGTGCTGCCGCTGAGGGAAGTGGGCCGGCGCGGCGCTGCGACAGGCCTGCACGAGGTGAACCACCAGGCTGGCAGACAGAAGAGAAGCCAGGGTGAGGGTGATTATCAGCCACGTCCTCCTGAGGAGAGAAATCCTCCATCAGTGCTATGACCAAAGAGCTGGAACCTAATATGCTGGAGGAGGCTATGGGATGCACAGGATCTGAAATGCAGGTTTTGTAAGTGTTAAAGCGATACTCACCGTTTACAAAACTCTGTAAATGCTGCTTGAATGTAAAAAAACAACAACAACCAAACAGAATTTGAGTCACCTGAATAAATGATCTCTTCTGAGCAAAACGTGTCAATCAAATCCATAACAAACATTTTAACGTTTGGTCTTCAAGAAGACCAAACTGCTTTATAAGAGTGGTAATCGGCAGTCATTTTCTCCACTATCATGACAAGCTGATCCATCTTTAAAAACACAAAGATAAGTTAAAACAACTCCATGCAGCAGTAATAAAAAAAAAGACTGGTTTGGTTTGTTAATAAATGTAAAAAAATAGTTTATAAAACGCTGCCTCCAGGACAATAGGGGTTCACTACGTTTTTAGCAGATGGAGAGATGTTTCAGCCATCGCAGAGATGGAAGATTTTTAAATGTTGAATAGGGAAAGATAAGTGTTTCTTTCATTGAAGAAGATAAAACTATTTTCCTTCGGTGTGCGCAAAAGAAAAGACAAGGAAAGAACTGAGCTACTCAGAACAGACTCTCAAATCAGTGTAGTAGTGAACAGCAGTTTAGAAATGATAAACATTTCTAGACAGCCCTGTTTTGAAAGCGCTGTCAATCTTCATATTTTCATAAATTATAATCATAATAAGTCATGAATAAGATTAGACAGGAAGCAAGTGACTGATAAATGACTCTGTTTTGTCACATTTTTTAAATATCAAAGACCAAAGGAGCTACTCAAAAAGATCTTTCAGAAACGATAGCAACCACTAACAAACATCACTTGCATGTGAGAGGTAAAGAGGCCTTCTAATATATCCGGCTGTCAGAGAGACAGCCTCGTTTACATATAAAGGAAGGTCTGAGGTAATGGGGCCAAATTCAGATTCACACCAACTTAGAGGCACGTTTTCTATCAGGGGACCGAAGCCAAGTAATACCACGTTCATGGATCTTATTGTTCAGAAATATGTAACATCAAACTATGAAACGTTGGGCTGCGCTTGTGATTTCCCAGCATCGGTCAAATGCTGCAGGACCAATGAAATTAGCCAAATGAGAATTTGGCTAATTTCATTAGACATTTTCATTAAAGAAACAGGCAAAGCAAACAATGTCTGTTTAGTATGCTGAAATAAAACCAATTTGCCTACCAGGTGACATATTTTCTGCGTTAGACAAATACTGGAGTTGTCACTTTATACTATTAATTAAGCGAGGAAGCAAGATTGTCCCTGGAATATATTTCTTACCCCTTTGTGGTCCACATGCTGAATTGAAATGAAGCGGTGATATTACTGCAAATTAAAAGATGACATGCCTTTCATGTCAGATGAACCATCACTGAGCATCGGGGTCTGGTTTTAAAGGACAGAGCCCTCCGAGCTTCCCTTAGCTGCTCGCATCAGATTCAAACCACTGATGCTAGCCTACAGAGTGTTAGATGGAGGAAAATCCAAGGAAATCTAGACTCTTCTCATCAGCATTTCCACGCTGGTGGAACGACCTTAGAAGCACTATCAGACGCTTTGGATAAAAGCGTCTGCTAAATGCATAAATGTAAATGCAAATAAAAAAGTCAAAGATAATTTTGCTACTGATGTAAATGTAGGTGCCAAGACAGGTTAAATAGAGGATAAACTGCAAAAACGTGTGAGGAGAATGGTGGAAAACAGCACAACCTTGTTGTACTTAACATGGGCCTGATGGGAGAAAAGGGGCTGGAGTGCCAGCAGGGACAGCTTGTGAATGATTTTTGAGACTTACTCTGCCAGATAAGGCTGCTCTCTGTGAGCGTCTTCCTCTTTTAGCCAAGATGTCAACATCTGTTTGGCCAGGCAGTGTCCAGCTGTGGTGAGACGAGGACAAAGAAGAGATCAGTAAATTCCAGAGATCTCAATCAAAATGAGATTCAGAGCAGCATTTCTGTATCCCTGTTAGTAATTCAATTTAATAAGAGAACAAGCATAAAGTGTGGTTCCACAGAAACTGACACTCAAAAAGTACAATAAATTAATAGAACTAAAGCCTTCAGAACATCAAGACTGAGAAAATATCAGCTATAGTTACTCCTGAAGCTTGTTAACAGTTTTTATTTTCCTTAAATTTTATTAAGTAGATAAAATAAGGAATTGCACCAAATCACAGAAGCCATGTGCAATGCAGAAGGGAAGAGGAGGCTATGACCTGGTTAATGTTCAGTTATGCGATAGACTTTATTCCCAGGGTAACAGTCAGCTAACAGCAGTGACTCAGTCATAACAACAGTACAACTGACCTACTAACAGAAACCAGAAACAAATCATGGATGAGTTTCAACAAGGCATGGATCTCTCCCATATGTAACAGATAAATGTATTAAATGCACAACAGAGCAGAGCACATCAAACGTTCATGGCTTTTATTCAAAACTAGGCATAATGTGGCAGTTTTACATCATTGGGAGATGAGTAACATTTCCAGTTCTCACAGTTGAGGTGCTCAGCTTGAAAAGACAGGGACAGAGAGGGCTTCCTTTTCTTCAGCCACAGGCAAATATTCAAATGTTTGCAAAACAGGAGCACTCCCATTAATGTACCGTGTTTGTCCACACACACACACACACACACACACACACACCCACACACACACACACACACACACACACACACGCAGATAAGGTACAGTTTTAATATGATGCTTTTTGGAGTTTTTTTCCAATAGAATAATAAGAAATAAAAGATTAAAGCAAAATAAGTTATTTAATTTAATTTGTGTATGTGTGTGTACGTATGAGTTACCAACGCGTTCGCACCTCTGTGTAAGGTGGAGTTGGCGTCTCCGTTCATCGTGGCGTTGCAGCTTCCCGTTCGCGGCTCACAGGGACACAAGTCGTCACAGCGACACTCTTGAGCGCACGACACACCAAAGAAACCCAAAGGGCACACTGAACAAAAGCAGGGAATTTAAAAATTAAACCCTGTGCATTTATTATAGTTACTAGAATGTTTGCCGGGCGAGGGGCTCTGACTGGGTCAACAGTTGTCAATCACATATGGAAACTTTTCATTACACACACATTCTAAAACAACCATCAGTGGTTCAGTGGGATCCAGAGTAGCTTCCCTCTGTAACTATTCTACATACAGTAACCTTTGTGTAAAATGGCCCAGCCATGCACGTCTACCAGACATCAACAGTTCTACCTTGTCCACAAGTTTCACCATGGAAACCAGGAGGGCAGCTACAGCGTCCATGCACAGGGTCGCAGGAGCCGCCATTTACACAGGAGCACGTCTGATTGCACCTGTCACCGTAGAAACCGGGCAAACATTCTGCAAAAGACAAAACAAACCAGAATGCATGTAGTAAATTAACTTGTTCTGTGGTGTTTGATTGTTTCTGTCTGTGAAGCTTTTCGGATGCATTTCCTCTTTAAAAAGGCTGTAATCTGATATATTTGGCACAGAAAACTCACACAAAATGTTAACAACAAAAGAAGCATGAAACAGTAACGTGTTACTGTCACTTAAAGCAGTGTCTGTCATCTTGGTGCCATGTAAAGACACATTATAATTTTAATTTCTCTTTGACGTACAGATGTGGAGATCTTCAGAAAACTATGAAATATTTATCCAACAGCTGCATTTAGTCACAAATACATGAAAATAATAAAAGATGCTTTAGGTACTCATTTCATGTAATCTCTTAGGTACTAAAATAAACTACAGATGTTTGTAAAAACTGACTGCATTACAACATGTCATAAAGTAACAATCACACATCTCCCTCCTCTCTCAAATAATGTTAATCCTCCCTTCTCTCTCCACCCAGTCTCGGTTTGTTGTTAACATGTATACAGCAGAAGCATGAATATGCAAGCAGAGGCCAAAGGTCTTTTTAACAATATCTAATACATAAAGAAAAAAAACTGGAGATCTGAGGGTTAAACAGTCAGCACGTGGAGAAAGAGCCATTGGGGAAATACCATTTTAGGGTCGTCCTTATCTTGGTCGCATAAGGACTCACCTTAAAACTTCCTTGAAAACCTTTGGTCTTTTGAGAAGCACTTAAAGAGACAGCAAAGCTAATCTATGATGAGTCACTTTTGGATAGCATTGTGTACTGGTCAAAGTTTACAAAAAAACAAAAAAACAACATCTGCTTCATTTCTAGCTTGAGTGTGGTTATCTGCGAGAGAGTTTGAGGAGTTATAATCAATTAAATGTATAAATATGTATAAAAAGGTCTACAGAAAGGTTTCTTTATGTGAGACAAGAGGGGGATTGTTGTTTACCTTGACTGCAGTTGTTTCCTCTCCATCCAGCATCACACACACAGCCGTCTGCAGCACAGAGAGAGACACGAATTACAGCACACACATAAAATCTGGTCCCACAGGTTGTTTTTTTTCCACAGACATCTCTATCTGCTTGCAATAATGATTGAGGAAGCGGCACAGTATGTGGAACTGTAAACTTCCCTGTTAGCCACAAGTACTAGGGTTGTAGAGCCTTTAAGAAGTCTCCAAATAGCTTAAACAGGGAGGAAACCAAGCACTCCTATCTCCCAAAATTTCAAAAAATTAAACTAATGTTGATTTAATTTGCTTTTGTAAAAGGTCAAAGAAGCTTCATCAACATCCGTACAACGACCAGCCGTACATCCGTAAGGCTGGTCGTTTCTCCTCTCTGCTGCTGACTGAGTACAACTCAGGATCCAGTAACAGATGAATTCTATCTTTCTCAACCAATGGGTTTTACATAAATGCTAAATAAAAAACAAACATTTTATATTAGACAGCCTGTATTTGTCCAACCGCCCCACCTGTGCACTTACCGGCTGTACAGAAGCCGTGGGGCCCACAGGCAGGAGGCTGACACACCAGGGAGTCGCAGGCGGTACCCTGCCAGCCTCTCTGGCACCGGCAGTGTCCATCCACACATTCACCGCGTCCACTGCAGTTCTGCGGCTGGCAGCGGCGCTCATGAACACACAGGATGGTGGACACATTCCGGCCCTGGCGCCACCTGGCATCCGGTTTGCTGGAACCAACAGGTCGGTTTTCGACACTCCCGCGGGGAAAAAGATCAACCTTTCTCGTGCAAAGTCTCAAAATAAAAGGAGTTTCTTGTCTCACCTGTGATCTGAGGGGTAGCTGGCCAGGGAACCATTAACCACATAGGTGGAAGACCCGCCTCCATCTAAATTAATGGCATTGATCACTCCATTCTCTTTCAGGAACGCAGCAAACTCCCAAAGATTCATTCTGTATAGACAAAAAAAAAAAAAAAAAAAAAGGAAAGTGGAACAATGTTTTAGAATTGAGCTGAAAGAAAGGACAAAGCCAACAAAAAGAACAAACAAGACAGCGTCCAACCAATGGATCACAAACATGGAGAACAAAACTTTTCAAATGAATAAACTAGCAGAACAGATATGCCTCATGCATCAGCAACAATGGCCCCATCATGGCAGACCGCGCTCTGCTCCTTCAGATTCTAAATCTGATGGTAAGAGTTGGTCCATCTGTAAGACTAACACCAGGCTGAGGGTCAGTGACATCTGGTTATTAACATCTGTGTTTGCCCTAGAAATAAAATCTGCTTTCAGCTGTCCTAAAGTGACTTATTTAAAGAGGTAATAAAGGTGTAAAAAAAACTAATTAATGTAAGTAAGGCCTAGGATACATTATCAGCAGGCACTTCTGAATGTCAACGCACAGATTTGTTGTTCACAAGGGATGGAAGGTCAGCTTTTGGTCAGCAGTCAAGCTGACTTCGGGCTGTTGTATTGAGCGGCTGATGGCCCAGTATTGATTGGAAATGTATAGAGGGCAGCAGATATGCACAGACATGTCAGAGTGGGTGTTGAATCTTTGAACTCTGTGGGTCGAGGGAAGGTCCATCAATGCAGTCGATTGGTGAGAGTTAAGGTGCTTTCAAGTTATGGTGGGTTGGAGCCATATTAGCCTGACAGGCTTAATTAATCTCACAAACAAGCTCTTTCACAGGTTAAAATACCGATGTTTTCCTGTTAACCATATTCAAAGACGTTTTTATTCTCGAGTACCAGTGTCTGTTTGAATTTTTCTCATTCGGCTTCACCACTATCTTAATGACTATCTGTTTAACCTTTTAAATTCTTAACTTGCCAAACAAACTATGTTAATTGGTCAGACTTGATGGGTCTTTCATAACTTTTTGCATCTCAATTATAAAAATATGTGATTCTATATCCATTTTACTAATAATAACACAAGAAATGTGTGTAAAAGAATTATTACAGACTCTAAAGAGAGCTTATTTCTTACCCCCTAACTTCTGTTTGTCCGTCTATCTGGAACAGTATCAGTTTTCCCTCGGCATCGTGGCCCACTGCTGTCCTGGCTGACACCACATTCGCAAAATAGTGCAAATTCCCTGTAACAACAGAAAAAGGCATTAAGACACTTCATCAGGAAGCTTTGATTCAATTCATATATCTCAGACAAATGTAAACATCACATCAAATATAACACTTTTCAGTTAGGTTGACAAACAGATTGCAATGCATAACAATCAGTTTTTCCAGGCATATTTCAACGGTAGTTTCATTTGTTCATAACATGACACAACATGGAGCATTTAGTCCGACTCGGTAGAATCTGCACAGACAATCCACATTACTAACTTTTTTTTTTACAAACTGAACTTGCACAATAATTTTGCTGGAAACTGTCAAATCTGACTCAGCTCCTGTGAAAGATGCACTGATTTGATTAATTATTCTTCTGTGGCACAGAAATACATAGAAATGAGCTCTTTTGAATGAGAAGTAGTGGATGCGCCACCATTCTAAATAGGCCCTTTGGTATTCAGGCGGAGGCCTTCTGTAAACACAGACAAATCAATTCTGGGAAAAGTTCTCAAAAACCTTCATCTGTTTTACCGTAAATGTGTGTCTGAGGTTGTGGTTAGCCCATAATCTCCAGTTCTGTGGTGAAACCTGATGTGAACCCAAGCAGGTCAACATACTTTCACTCTTGTCATTATTAACTAAACATGACAGTGCAGTGTGTTTCCAAATCAGCTCACAGATGAGTTTCTGTGTTATGCAAACAATGAGAGATACTGTTACATTTATTTACTGAAGAAATGAAGCTGATCCAGTTGCTATCACCCAGCCTGAGCTGAGCTGAAAAGAGGGGGAAAGCCTGAAAGAGGGATTTGTGTGTTAACTAAATCTAACTAAAACTCTGAAAAAACTGCAGTCAACCCTTGTTAGCTCAAAGATTTGCTTTCTTTTGTGGTTTGAAATCCTGGATCCACATTATTTGCTTTGCGTGCAGGGTGCATGTGGAACTCTAGCAGGTACCTGTCTCCTGTGTCTTGTCACATTCGGCCTCCAGACTCTGGTTGATGTAAATCTCACCATTCCTCAGCAGCCAAATGACGCCGCTGACCAACTGGACAAAAGGGTTGGACTGATCCAAAACATCTTCCTGTGACAGATATCTGGAAGGAAAAACAATAAGGACGTCACCCTGGGACAGTATTAGTCGTTCCAAATCATAAGAAATGTCTCGCAGCTGTTGCCTTTAATCTCATTAAGATGAATCCGGCGGATTTCTGGACATTGTTTCGATAAAGACAGTGTTTTTTAATTTTTGTTACAAATTTCAAATCAGTTGCAAGGTTGTTATTTTCATGACAGCATCTCTCCGGAGTTTCTGGGTTTTTGAGTCACAACACAACCAGAGTGAGTATTGCATCATGTGGGAATTCTTAGGATTTCTGACCTCAGTTAGCAAACAAACAAGTTAAGTATACTTTATTGTGGTTTAAAAACAAACTGTGAGAGCAAAACAGTATTTTTGGTGGTTCTGGGAAAATATGTTGATCTTTAAGTAGCAATTCAAAACTACCTCTATCCAAGATGTTAGCTTGAAGTTAGTAAGATTTCATATAAAAATGTAATAACTTTTATCATGGTAAACAGCTGCTGTGACAGTGAGTCATGTAGACATGAACTTGATATTTGAGTTGTTCATTAAACTGGACCCAAGGTAACAGGCGTAGATAAAGAGGAGGCTGTGGTTAACTTCACACATAACCAATGAATAGGTCGGTGATATAGTCAGATATTTCTGAAATGTGAGATCAGAAGCTGAGACACGACTGGATTGTTTATGAAAAACACAGCTTCTGTCTCCTAAAAGACACACCCAAACACTGATGATACCTTTTTCTGAATGCAGCCTTTTATCAAAACAAAGGCAAGCTGCAAACTGTTGGTTGTGGCAGCTAGTTGTGGCCTCTGCTTTTTTGCTGGGAATTTATTCTTGAAACATGTAAAAACAAGCCCGGCAAACTGTCTTTTTTAAAAGGGAAATTTTAAGATTTCAATCTCAGCTGTGACAATGTTTTAGAATGCATCTCTGGTATGGCTAGCTAGAATAGAGAATTACTGTGGATTTTTTCACTAAAAATATCTAAGAGAAAAATGAGCATTTTCAATAGCAAAACATTGATTAGCTCATCCTTATTAATTCATATAAAATTGTTTTTTTGTTTTTTTTCAGTGTTCCATTTTCAGCCTGCGTTTCTTACCCGAACACCAGGCTGCCGTCTCTCCTGATTCCAAACTGGGCGTTCTGCACTCCGCCGCTGTCCCGCACCAGCCTGCTGTCGCTCACCACGTTTCCCAAACACTCTCCTGAGTTTGTCATGAAGAAGCCGGCGTTCTGGGCGTACAGACACCCCGCGGCTTTAGCCGTCTCCTCCACAGACACTGTGCGAGCCATCCGGCAGCCGTCTGACCCTCCAGGCTCCAACACAGACACCGTCCCCAGCGGGTCGTGGACCACAGTCATATGACCTGCAGATAAAGATGCAGCAGAACCGCATGCACGTTTTGTTTCTGGGACACTATTTGGAACTTTACGTGACAACAAACTGCTTATGATCTGATCATTTCTAACATGAGTCGATTAGATTTTTTATTTTTTTCCTTTGCTGATGTTCAAAGACTGGTATCCACCAGCAACAGCCAAACTCAAACCAAGGATGGCACTACGGCCATTTGAGGATGATTGTCGATTCATTAAAAAAAAGTTTTTGGCCCAAACTGTGTACCGGAAGTGAGGGAACAAGTGCGATCAATCCAAAATCAAACTACAATCAAGTCCATGTACAACAAGTTACTAGAAGATCAATTCGGTCCAAATAATAGTCAGATTTTCTCGTAAACACCTTTCACTTTGGAAAGTATTACTCACCATAAACCCATTTGGCACTTCTTTGGACATTTGTCACAAAAATCTTAGACTCTGCTACCGGCGCCCCGCCATGCGTAGCGGCGGGCCAGGTCTCATGGGTGGTGTTGCCATAAATAGCAGGCTGACAATCTCTGACATGGCGGTAAGAATGGTTGGGACCATGTCCATGGGCATAGGGCAGGAGGATGTCAGCACCCAGAGAAGCTCTAAAAGTAGACAAAATATTGTAAACACAACATGAAACACAAGGCTCTACAATTAACTGTGTCCTTTAAATATTTCTATTTTACAGTGGTAAAAAAGATGGTTTTGGGAAATTAATGCTGTGCCGAGAATGAATGGATTTGATTTAATCTCAGTGCTTTAGCTATGTGTTTTTCACAATAAAAACTGGGCTGTGGCTTTTCTCCAGAGCTGAAAAAACAGGTCGTGACCAATCTCAACATGTTTATCTCAGTTGTTTAATTTCTTATCTCATGCTTTCCTCTTTTTGTCATGCTGACACTTGACACGTGCATTAAAGTGGGTTTCTCACGTGGGATCTTGACCACTAACTTCAGGCAGTATCAAATACAAAAGTCTTTACAGTGGATTGTTTTTCTTTGAAATCTGCATAATTTCAGCATCCCATAACAAAAATGTCCGAAACGTATCATTTTCTGGTTATGTTAGAGAACGAATTCAAAGTAAACTGTGTCAAAATATTGAATATTAAGATATCTACATGGCTCATCCAAAAATATGAGCTGAGAAGTGTCTGACCATTTTTCGAATGATTTTGGTTTGTGTTGCTGATACTTTAACCATCACAAATGAAACCGTTTTTTTATTTATTTTAGCCACCAAAAAAGAAGACTGTTTGACTGTTTATTCTGTTATTATTTATTTTTACATTTGGAAAGGTTGGAAGAAAAAAAAGCTGCTAATTAGGTTCATATCTGTTGATTTTATATACATTTTAAACCTGTTACTAAAACCTAAACGTTTGGGTGAGGAAGATTTCCGTTTAGAGGTGTGTGTCAAGCAACAGCACCATCTTGTGGCTGAAAAGCCAAACTGCAGCCACATGTGACCAGCAACTGTCAGCTTCCTTAAAAAATGAGAGCTAAGCGTGACGCTCTGTCTTATGACTGAAAGTTTGCTCTACCTAGTGCAGCTTTAATCATAGCAGTCTGTCACTACATTGCTAAAATATACACATACATAGCTGCTTTGCATCATTTAAAGAAAGCTCATTTGGGAAGTAACACGAGTAGACCGAATACTTTATCGTATTTGGGGTAAAAGGGGTCAACTTCTGGTACTTTGAGCTGGAGAATCGAGATAAGTTTCTGAAACAGTTGCTCAACAGCTGGCAAGCAGTATTAGCTTCAATTTATGTATTTATGTCAGTGTTTTGGCACTGAATACTTAAATATAAGCTTAGAATTATTGCAAAACAGTATCCACAGCAAATAAACAAATAACTGATTTGAATGAGGGAAAATAACTGTAAAACGTCTGCACGAATATAAATTGACCCTGCTAACTGAAGCTAACGAGCCAAGATTAGCGATTAGCTCCAACGAGGACGGAGGGTCTTACCGGGTGTCTCCGGTCTCAGACGCCCGAACACGGAACCACAACAGCAGCCACACACACGACCATTTCAGCCACTCTGCTGCCATAGGAGGAGAAGTGTCCTGTCCAACTCCCCTCTCCACCCGCTGATCCTCACATCATCCAGAGACCCACATCACCGCTAAACAATCAATCACACTTCCGGTTACCCACAAAATAAAGGCGGTGCCTTAATGATAGATTAAATATCATTGTATGTAATACATCATATTACAACAGCTTAGGTGAGAATTATATTTCATTATGTTATATCATAATTAAATATAGATTTTGTTGTAAAGGGAACAGTTGTGGGGATATTGTCATAAAAATAAATCAATTTTGTGATAGGACTTCAGTTTGGAGTTATTGGCACTTTTGATGTCCATCTTTTCCTTATTAGGTTATAACTTCTGACAAGTAGGTTCAATTGGGATGGAGCAGTTAAAACCTGCCAGGTTTGAAAGCTTGAAAAGTCACGTGACTTATAAACTGTGAAACTTGGCCTCTCAAACAAGCTGCCTGCCAAATTATATCAGCCAGATTTGATAGGTTTACACAATCTTAGCACAAAGCAGACAATCCAGCAAACACAAGTCTCCTAGTTGTAAGGTCCAATAGTTTGCTGACATTCTTTGCATGTAATTCATTTTAATTCATCTTTCTAAATGCAAACAGCGCTTCTTTTGGTTCTTATTCATTTTGATGTTGTTTCAGGTCTGTTTCTCAGCTTAGATTTTATCTTTGTTTTGACCATTATCTATAGTCCCCCTGTGTCTTTTTACTGTTGCCATGCTACAACCTGTTTCTTGTAATAATGAGTGGAGATGACTTTAAAGCTTTTGAGAATCCCTCCAAACAACAAAGGTTTGTTGCTCTGTGTAACTATGGCTCTAGATCCCCTTGGACTTATCCACCTGGATAGTGGCAAAGTTCAGCAGCATCAACACTAAAGTGACCAATAAAGCCTAAATAAACTACACCATTATTTTTTCTACATAATTTCATTGTGCACATTATTTCTTTTGTCAAAATACCTTTATTACTGCTGAGAAAGCAAGATTCTTGGGGGATCAATCAGGTATTTAGAAGAATTAACTGAATTGTTCAACAGAAATCAATCAATAGGTTGTTATTTTGTTTCAGTAAGATATTATATAAGATCTAAGATGTTCAAAAGTTTTAAATGGGGGTATTTATATAAAGAAAGTCAAGAAACTTTGCAATTATATTGAAATTTCATTGAATGTATGAACACTAAGTTTACTTTCAGTTTCATCTTTAATCACAAGCAGCTTGTCTATTTCCAACATTTGGAGGCGTGGGCGGAGTTTGGTATTTGGAGCTTCACGCAGATTCCTTAATCTTAAAACTGAGATCCGGACCAGTCACGATGAAATCTTTGTTTTTAGTATTTCTGCTGGGAATACGAGGTGTTGCGACCGGTGAGTGGGATCCGAGGCTTTGCGTCAATTTAATTCCATGACAGCTTTAGAATTGTCTACGTGGTTGTGTTTTCCCCCCCATGTTTTATGTCTGCGTAGTCTAAAAAAACGCATCTAGATTTTTGAGCCAAACATATTTTCAACCGTTTTACCAACATAGATGTATGGATATTGTTTCAAAACCTTTAACGATATGTCGTTTAACGGTTTGTGGTAGCGACTCAGAGGGGGAAAGCCCCATCTTTTGCACCTCAGCATCTCATACGGAAATAAAAGCAGCGTATTTGCAGGGTACCCACATCTGTTTGGTACTTATAAATCATTCTAACTCGGTTCGTTATTATTTTCTATGAATCCTGATAAGGATTCACTACCCCTTACCCTACCAAGTTAATATACATATCAAACGTCACACGTTTGTAGGTGAACTTATCTTTGTGCGTAAAACTTTGCAGGAGTGTCACCACCAATTCATCTGCATGTGTTGCATCTTAGTTTTAAGTCATCTTGTGCAAAAAAAAAGGTTGATACAAACATCTAAACCCTCTTTTCAATTGAAAACGGTCCAAAGTCATTGTTGCACAGCAGGGAAAAAAGATGGAAACTGCATGACTTATTGAACGCATGGCTGAGTGTTTGTGGAGCCTAACAGTTTTGCTTTCGTGTTTCAGTAACACACTCCCTGACATACATCGTGACAACCGTCATAGGAATGAAGGAGCTCCCAGAATACATTGAAGTTATAAACGTAGATGGGCAGGAGTTGGTGTACTATAACTGCAGCCTTCGGAGGATCTTCCCGAGGAACGCCTGGATTGAGGAGAACTTTGATCCAGACTTCTGGAAACTAGAGACCGAGAGAAACATCAACAATCACCAGTTAATCAAAGCGGAAATTTCCTCTGTAATGCAACGCTTCAATCAGACCGACGGTAAGCAAAAACTCTGATTTGTAATAAGAAACATCAGAGAGGACGCAGCAACAGAAAGTACATTCCTGAGCTGTTAGCACACAGGGGTCAAAGATCAACAATTAATACACTGTAGATTATTAACTCACTGGGAAAAAAAACCTAGATATTTCTATTTATGACATGGCTGATTTGTAGAGAAAGGCTTTAGCTTGTTTGTGCTCCACTCCAGGAAAAAATCACCTGTTTTTGTGTTCCTTCATTATTGCTTTGCATTGGGGCTTATTCTTTTGTTTTTATATCTTTTCTATGTGCTTTATTGCGTCTATATTTTCTTATTTTTCGAGTTTCTGCTCATTACTACCAGTTATCCTTCCTGTTGTGGTTCTGAACTCAGTCGCACATCTGCCTCTACTCATTCAGTCACGGCTACAAACGCTTCCTCATTAGTTCCCCTTCAGTATATTACTCACTCTCCAGCTCAGTGCTTGTCTATTTTCGCCATCATCTTTGTTTGTTTTTGTGGGTGTTGTTCTCTCCGTTTATTTTGCGGGTTTCCAGCTGGGCTTTATGCAATGGTTTTAAAAATAAAAAAACAATAATATAATTTCAGCTTTGAGAGAAATAAAATATTTACATGATGATAATACTAAATTCTACTTCAATTAATTGAATTTTGTGTTACATGTATGTAGCAGTGTCTGCAGGTGTTGCTATTTTGGGGAATGATATTGAGGGCAAAGAACTCTTACTAATTGTAGGTAATTGACTAACCTGGGTCTTACTGGTTAAATGCAAACCTCCGCTTTCTTTCAGGCTCCCACATTTACCAGTGGATGTACGGCATTGAGATGGATGATGAGACGGATGAGATCAATGGCCATGAGATTCATGCTTATGATGGAAAAGACCACTTATACTTTGACCTGAAGACGGAGATGTTCATCGCTGCGTCCTCCCAGGCGGTCCTCACCAAAAACAACTGGAATAATAAAGCTAAGATTGACTATAGGAAGAACATCTTCGCCAATTTTTTCCCTGAGCTGCTGAAGAAGTATGTGAACTATGGGAAGAGCCATTTGATGAGAACAGGTAGAATCATATTTGTGAAAAGGGGTAAATGCTCTGCCTCTGACAAACTAACTACTGTTACCAATTTTCCCAAGATTATGTCTGGTGGAAAGAAAAATAGCCATGATATAAATGGATTGGGACCAAGGCCTTAAATCTCTTTATTTCTGTGTGTTTCTAATAAAGCTACATTATAATTGGTTAAAAGAGGAACCGTTAATTGTCTCTGCTTTCTCCCAAGAGCGTCCCTCGCTGTCTCTTCTCCAGAAAACTTCCTCTTCTCCAATCAGCTGCCACGCCACGGGTTTCTACCCCAAAGTTGCTGACATGTATTGGAGGAAAGATGGAAAGGAGATTCGTGAGGGTGTGGACAAGGGAGAGATCCTTCCCAACAACGACGGGACCTTCCAGATGACTGTCGATCTGAGACTTTCCTCAGAGACGCATGAAGAGTGGCCCAAGTATGAGTGCGTGTTTAAGCTCTCCGGTGTGAAAGAAGAAATCATCACCAAACTAGACAAAAGAAATATTAAGACCAACAAAGGTAAGACTGGAATCAAATTCCCTTGGTGTGTTTTATGTGGATTTATTATAAAACCTACCTCCTCACCTGTTATTTTTTCCAGTTACTCCAGAGGTCCCGACTACTGCTATTGTTGTCGTTTTTGTTGTTGTGGGACTTATGGCTGCTGGCATCACAGGAGTAATATACTGGAAAAGAAGAAAATCAGGTAAGGAACATAAAATGTTCATAAAATGTATTTCTTCATTCAAACATTAAATTTCCTATGACATTAATTGAAAATGTTCATCATCCTTAGTTTTGTTTCCTCACATTATTCTCCCTCTGGTCCTAAATGTTTAGTTCTGTAGCCTCCGACACCTCAACCAGGGTCCAATTCCTAAGAAAGTGAGTAACTTATAACCCTATGGTCTTATTTATTAAATAGTTGTATTTTTTATGTGTACTTACATTTAGATACATGGTTTTCATCTGCTATTTAAGACACAAGATGATATTATGGTAAGCATAACCTTCGTTTGTGTGAAAGATAACTCAACATTTCTTCTTGTTTTTCTTGCTGACTCATCAGTAGATGACAGAATATACCAGCAGTGTGATGGACTGGCGACCTGTCCAAAGTGTACTCTCCCTGCCAGCAACTTACATGTGGAACAGGCTCCAACCCCATGACAACCCTGAACTAGACTTAAGGGAATATAGAATCGATGGATGGATCGATCATACCAACTACAATGTATTTCTTAACTACCTCACTGCTTCTAACCCTAATAAGGCGCAGAATATGCTTTCTGAATGGAAATCAGAAGTTCAAAATGTTGATGGTGAATCTTTATTTGCTAAGGTTTGTAGTATCTAAATCCTATTTACCTACTCATTCTATCAACTACTATGATGATACAATTTCTAGGTTCTAAATAGGCTTTTAAGCTTTCAATAGTTTTTTTCTCCTAAGGCCCCAAGTGCTCTATTGTATTATTTGACAAGCTATGTAAAACAAAAGCATGTGGACGGCTGTATGATATGGCAGCACTGTTTACAGTCTAATAACAAATGATCTAAATGTTCTTGTTAACTCATGAAATAGATATCAGTAATGTACAGAAGCTAAAATTGTAATTGCGCATCTTGGAACAGGGATTCGTGGATATATTTTTTATGATGTTTTTCACTTTTGAAAGTGAAGTCAAATGCATATACTTAGAAGCTCATATCATGTTTATTTGTAAGATATGTCTTAAAAATTTCTTGTTTCTTGATGAGTATACATCTAGTTTTGTTTTTATATTTTCTAATATGTTATTAAAGCTTAGTTATTTTGTACGTAAATGGTTAAGGACATTCACATAAAAGATCCCCCTAATTATTTTTGCAGCATTAAAAAAAAACACTTCCAAAATGTTAATACTGTTAATACTAGCAATTAAAAGATTGTTCCTTGCAAATGTTTGAAAATTTTCAGTTGACATACAATATGAGAACTCCTCTCCACCCCCCACCCCCCCACACTCTTTATTTTCCTCTGTTTTTTCAGAAGCTCAATAAAACGAAAATAAGTAATGTGTGTGAATTCTTCTCTTCAGTCTTCCACTCTTACTTTGTCAGTTGTACTATTCTATTTCCGGTTGTATAAACGCATATACTTTTGCATACCATTTAACGTAATGTTTCACTATTTATATGTAATTTTGGGAGCATATCAAAATGTCCTTTGGTAATAAACTATGAACAAGGTTTTAGTGAGACTTTAAGTCACTTTTGTTTATCTTGAAAATTTGAAAGTTAATTTGTGTTGGATGTTAGGGGGAACGTTTTTAATGTGACACTAGCTGCAGAACGCGTCATTGAGAGACATTTGGAAATCTGAAATTAAAAGAGGTGGACTAAAAACACGATCAGATATTATATTTCTTATTCAAAATGTATAATATGACGTAACAGGCTGCCGACAAGCCCAATGTAAAGTTTATCATAATTTTTTATTGAAATAAACAACAACGTAATATTCACAAGTGTTTGACTTTTTCTTTCCGTTTTTTTCTAGTTTAGTTCATTTAAACTATATTTTTTATATTTCAAATTTTAAATGTTGGTAAAACAAGCTGCATTTTAAAAACATTTCACTGCCCTCTTTACATGCCTGCACACAGAGGTCAAACATGTTGTCATTTTGTCTTTGGCAGCATTACGTCCGAGGTTCAGCGAATGCAGCACAAGTTGAAGGGGAACATGGCAGCTGGCATCAGTGTTAAACATGGACTGTTAAGGAGTAAGAGCTCGCTTATTTACGCTCTTCACACAAAGATAACAACCAAGAGTGTATTTATACATGGAACGTCTGAAATACAGAGTGTGAGAGCATCAAGCAGTTCGACTGGAGACTCTCAACACACTGAAAAGTACTGTCTGGACCTGGTCAGGTGGGTCTTATTGGTAGCAGCAGGCATGGTTTAGTGTCTTTACAGGGCGGGAATAGCATCTTTAAAATGGTGAGATGCCCATTCACAAGCCCCTGATGGATCAGTACGGATTTATACATTAATCACGTAAAATGTTTCGCCAATTTCGTTGGAATCACTCAGTACGCCAGACTCCATTCAAATATCCTCCATAATTTACACAAAGTTAGATTTTTCAGCGGACCAAAAGTGTTCCATGGTTTTTGATAGAGTTTCAATTAATTCTGACGTTACTCTTAATATCGGCTCACTTCAATTTGTCCAATTACTTTTATTTTAAGTTCAGCATGCATATGTTTACATCTAAGAATAGTTCCAGATAAACATTTAAATTGATTACATACAGACATACAGAAATGTGAGAGTGATGGCGTTTTTACAGCAATGGAAATAATTTGAAATGGAATAATAACATGTATCTGAAACTTTAAGAAAACTTCATCTCAGGATGGTATGTAATGGATGGTGTGTCCTATCCTCAGGTCCAGAGACTACGAAGGCTTCTTGTCATGTCTCCTCCTTCCAGAGGAAGCACGGCGCTCTTCTCTGGCTCTGAGGGCCTTTAATGTGGAGCTGGCACAGGCAGGTATTCCTACAGCCATTGGATGAGCAATGATTTCTCATTATAATGCTTATTCCAATGCTGGATTCACAACTGCTTCTGCATTTGCTGTGATGATAAAGAGATGTTCAGTCAACACATTTTTTACTTTCGATTCCAATCCTTTCCTAACATCAGACCTCATGTTACTGTTATTCTGCTAGGTGAAGGACTCCGTTTCGCAGAAGACCATTGGTTTGATGCGGATGCAGTTCTGGAAGACGGCTATAGAGGAGATCTACAGAGACGATCCTCCAAACCAACCAGTCAGCACGGAGCTGTGGAAGGTAACTTTATCTTCTTGTTGTGAAAGCCTTCAGGTGGACAAGCCTACAGAAACTATCAATCAAAGTTAAGTCAGGATTGAGTTGAATTTCTGTGATGTTTTTGCAGGCAGTGAGGTCGCACAGCCTGACAAAGAGGTGGCTGCTAAGGATCATCACAGAGAGAGTAAGAGGCATGCCTCAGAATAACACAACTATTACACAACTGAGTTAGTGTTTTTTCTATAGACAATGCAAAGCTCCATGAGGTTTTAGTGAACATACACACTTTTTGTGTCCCAGCTGATCATTTTCAAAACTGTTTGTTTCACCAGGAAAAGGATATGGATGACAAAGCTTACAGAAACCTCCAGGAGCTGGAGAAGTATTCAGAGAACACACAGTCCTCCTTATTGTACCTGCTGCTGGAGTGTTTAGGTAAGGACCAGCAAAGCTGCTGGAGGTATAAACACTGATCATTAGAAATCATTATAATAAAGTCATGAAAATTAGTGGTGAGATTTTAGAGGTTTTTTCACTCTATCCTGCTACTATACCCGCAGAATTTCCTTCAGTTGATCATTTTTTCACATCCACAGATGGACTCTATTCTGACACCCTTGATGGCAAAAGCCACTAAGCCTCTTAGCTCACCAAATCTTTCTTGGCTTCTTGTTTAGCTGAGATAAAGGCAGCGAAGGGCTTTCTCTTTTTAGCTACTGATGGTTCTCGTTTTTCCCATTTAGAAATAAAAATAGCTCTATTGTTCTATTGATTTTATGCATCTGATCAGGTTAGAACAAAGATTAATGCTGTTTAAGGGACTTTGGAGATGAGTTAGTTGCTCTTTTTATGAACTGAAATGGCCGCTGAACGCCATGATGTTTTCATAGGGTGAGCTCCAACAGGGGAATTCGTTTGTGTTTCTTCAAAGGGGTGAAAGACGTCCACGCCGACCACGCTGCGAGCCACATCGGTAAAGCTCAGGGAATCGTAACGTGTCTGAGAGCGGCTCCTCACCAGGGACGCCGGCGGAAGGTCTACCTGCCCATGGACATCTGCATGTTGGTGAGCTGCTTTTAATCTGAGGCCGCTCAGTTCTGTGAGTCTGAAGTCAAATCATGAAGAGTCTGGGTTAGTCAGACATTAAGAACTATTATGGACTAAATGCAGTCTTTAGTTTTATGTAAATTAAGTAACCTTTAGACATGTTCTGTCAAAGTGTCTGCCACTCCAGCAGTAAAATGTATGATTCATTAGTTAATTCTTTTCTCATCATAGAAAATTTCAAAGCAGCTTAATTTTGAATGGTTTTGTTTTAAAAAGGCAGAATAACAAAGATTTGATCGAATTGTGGGGATTATCAGAAGCACAATTAAACAAAAAAAAATCTGCCCATTAAAAACCCCTTAAATGAACAACCAGATTAGTCATCTCAGCCCTTAAGGGAATCTAGGAGATTCTGCTTCTTCTGGGGTCAATCCAGCATTTAAGAGTTGCATGTCTCTGTCACTCAGAGACATTTTGCATTCTGTCTTTATAGCAGATATAGGATGAGTACTTTACTGTCTTCAGCGACAGGTTTATCCTCATGTTTCTGTTTCTGTCAGAAGACACACAGCTACTTGTTTAAAGAGTGAGCATTTAATGGTTTAGAAAATGAGAAGACCAGATTTAGGTTCTGGTGTAATGCGTGTAGGCTTCTCCTTTACCGATGATAAACAGACCTTTGGCGCAGGCTGGCCTCCCATCAGCTCCTCCATGCTTCCTGAAGAGGGGGCTGGAGGCGTACGGAAATGCTCAGAACTCCCACTAATGAACTTTCCAGTTTGTATTCACCATCCAGTGCTTCTCTCGCATCACCCAGACTGTAAAACCGGATCAGATTGAATGTTTTCTTGATTAAGAAATGAGAGTATATCTAGAACTTAGCAGGTGGACAGCAATATCATGCATAATGATAGCAACAAGGAGAGAAGTGAGAAAGAGAAGGAGAATGAAGAGCGGTGAAATGCTTCTAACAAAACGCTTATTTTCAAAGGAAAGTAAATCCACCTAGTTTTCCTTTGCATCCCTATGGCCTAGATATGATGTTGGACATCTGTTTAACAAAATGTAGAAGCAGGATGCTGCAGGAAGCCATTGGATCGCCACCCGCCGCTGCAGCACTCCCCTATTAATGATAGAAAAAGTCCATTCTTCTTTTTTAAATGTGTCCATTATTTCATGTATTATATGCATATTTAATCAACCCCCCCTTCTGAATTATTGTATCATTGCTTGTCTACAGTAAAGGTACTAATTTGAATGATCCAAATTGGGAGATTTTAGTTAAACTTGTGGTTGATTTCAGACAAAAAGCGCCCAGAACCTAAACGGCTCAGGGGACCCGACAGCGCACTTCATCTTGACATCTGCTGAAGTGGCTGGGTCTCTCTATTCCTCTCTTTGAATGCTGTTGATCTTTCGGCTGTAAAAACCTCCACGCCGTCCTCCTTCATTTTGGAGCTTCCTCTGTCCCAGCAGCTTTTGGTGTGTGCTTGTGTTCTCTCGGCTGATTCAGGCGCGCACAAACAGGTGGGCGTGAAATATTACAGCAAATTCCCCGCGGTGCAGCTGAACGGATCCTGAGAGCCGCTGAGATTAAATTTAAGATAACCGAGACGGAGAGGAGCAAATGAAATGCCTGGAGTCATGTAAAAAGTACCATCTCTCTCTCTCACACCCCTCTTTCATATTGTATGTGTTTGTGGTTACTGGTGCCTGAGGTGATGGAAATGACGGGGGTCAAAGGACACAACCCCTCCCAAAAATAAATCGATTTGAAAATGAAAAAAAAGCGCTCAAAAGTGCAGCTGTGAATGCGACGCCTGAGCCCACCGGGTCCCCCTGAAAACAGCTGTGCAAAGAAGAAAGCGTTTGGAAGCTCGCAGATGGAGCCGGGAAACTCCACCGCCGCCTGGATCAATATTTGTTCAGAAAAAAAAACAACCCGACGCGCTCGATAAGCAGAGTAACAGCAGCAGTGCTTGTCCGTCTGCACGCCCACACACGTGAGCGGAGGACACCGTGAACTCAGATTCCTATTCTGCCCCAAAAGCTGCACGTCCGAGTGTGTGAATCTCCATCTTCAGGGGGTGAAAGGATGCTAATTTTTGCTCACAGCTCATTGGCTGTTTGCTTTCATCCCACCCGGTGCCGCAGACAATACGGCAGCCAGAAGAGGGTGTAACAGGTCACAGGCTCGACGCTTTACGCCTTCTTTTTTTCTCATGATGAGGGCCAGGTGAATGAAAAGGAGGTGAAATTGAAAAGATTTGCATGAAAAAGCTACTCCGAGGAGCACAAATCCCTCTGAGTTTCAGGAGGTCGTAATACAGGTTAGAATTCCCTTTTATGCTGCAAGCGCAGAAATGACGCACAAAATCAGGTTTGTATTGTCTGAGTTTTATCAGTGAGCATTCAGGATGTCCAAATGGTGTCCAGCACAAACCACATTTAGAGAAGCACCAGTATTTTCACCTAAAATCAGAGAAAATGACGCTATTGCCTGGCACTACAGGTAGTTTTATTATTAGGTTCTGCATTTTTGTTTCACTGAATTTTGCCTTTATTCAAGGGAAATGAAACAATTTTAAAGGACTTCCCAATAAGAAAAGTCAGACTTTTAAAAATGGCAGGTACATTTAAACTTCCTCTTACTTCACTAGCCAAATCTTGGACTTTTCTTCTCTCCTCTGATCATTTTCTGCCGGTCATTGCTCCCTTCTGTCCCTCTATTCTTTCTGAGGTGATGAACTCCAAAAGGGTTTAAAGTTTCTGTAGAAGTGTTGACGTTCCACTCTCCTTCTTTTATGCGAGAGGAGGATTAAATGTCCTGTTGGAATGTGAAATGAGCAGCTGGTTTGACTCTCGATCAGTCTGTCATTTGGTGCACCGAGGTGTGAAGACGGAGGAAAAATGCCAGTTACGACTCGGCTCGACTCTGATGTCTTGAAATAACAATTTCTTTTTCTAAACAACAGAGCACATTTCTGCTGCTTTTCCCTCAGACATCAAACATTCCTGATTTGGTCAGATCAACTGAATGTGTTTAGCTCATTGTCTTATTTTTATTAAATGAAACAAGTACTTAAATTGAAGATGAAATCTTTTACTTTGAAATGTTTCTGAGGCTTATTCACACGGTGGCTGTCTTTTAATGGGTCCAGTCTTCCGTCTCGTCTTCTTTGTGACATATTTTGTTCAAAGTTGTTTGTGTTGACGGGAAAATGTTCTTATCTCTTTTGTTTTTCTTTTCCTTCTGAGATCCTCAGAGCTGCGTGTGTTCAACAGCCCGAGCAACTGATGAAACCGGCAGCTGTTTCTTTTATTCTCTCAAAGGCTCCTCCAAACCCGTTTTCAAGGTTTCCTCAACTGCAAAACCTGCGAACGCATGACAAAAGATGTCCATTTACAGCTAAACGTCAGTGTCTTTATTGACGATCACTGGCCAACTAAAGAACGTTCTAATGTTCCCGTGATCGTTTCTTCTTGGTCAAAGGGTGAAATCTGCTTTGTGCTGCAGGTAAAGACGCTCACAGCTCAGAGGACTCGAACCTTAAACTGTGGACGTGTCAGCTCATAATTTGAAGAGCTGGTCGAGTTAATGTTTTTGCAGTTTCTGTCTTTTTTGTTAGCTACAGTTGCATGTTTCGGTCCCTTTGTGTACCAGCTCCTGTTGGACAGGAGCCAGCAAAAGGACGCTTCTGGGATCATCTGTCAGCTGTCCTGCATTCAGGAGGCTTATCAAGGCTGATTTATGACGATGCTTTGATTCAGGGTCTGCTAGGGTCATGGCTAAACCTTCCCCTTGTGTCAGTTCTGGCGTGGTTGGCTCAGGCTCGGAGAGATGTTCTATTCACGATGTTCTATTCATTTTTTTTACGTCTGCTTTGCTCATGTATAAGATGCCCCAGGGTTGTCTTTAGCTATTCTATTTACCGAATTTCAGACACAGATTGTTCTTCTTCTTAATTTGCCTGAAGGGCCTGAATATAATCCAGCATCTGTCACCTTTTGCATTTAGCTGCATTATTGGCCTGTGCTCCTCCCTTTTTGTTTACAGTGGATGCTTCTCACTTTCTTCCTTTTTGTTCTGAAAACTTTGCCGTGCCTCACGCTGTTTGTCCGTCTTGTCTGTACACGCATTGCCAGTGCTTTTCTTATTATTATCGGTCTTCGGTTTTTTGCTGTTTGAGAAAACTGGTGTTTGGCGCGAGAGTGCGAGAACCCCGTGAATTGTGTGAGTCTCATAGGCGAAGTGTGAGTTGGCGGCTCCATGGATTTGCTTTTTATTTGAACTTTAATACAAACATTTGTCATTGTGTCTCTTTTTTCAGATGTCATATTGAGCTCCTTGGTCTCTGATTGATACTTATTCTTAATTACTTTCAGTTGAATAAATGGCTCCTAACCTGAGTACGATGCAAGTCTTTGATTTGATTTAGCCCTTCATGTTTGTCGTTGCTGGTCTTCAGGTTTTGTTTTTTGGAATTCCACTTATCGCGTCAGCAAAGCTTCTGTAGTTAGATTTTCTGTGGATGGGAGGATTTATTTGGATAGATTCATCAGGCTGCTGTTCCAGATAAGGTGAAAACAGCTGTAGGATGAGATGTTTAACTGGACCACACTGACCTCGACTTTTAATGGCTAAATGAAACAAACTCTATGTGAATTTTATTGTGGGAAGTTGGTTGATTGTTAGAGCCGTGCTCCACTTTCAGATTTGGTTGATTCTCCTACTTTTGGCACACTGCCACAGTTCTTTGCCGATGTGCCAGGAGCCAACTTGGGCCTTGCTAACTTTCTTTTCCAACAGATTAAAGACACGACTCAGCCTCAGTGTTAAGTGGAGCTAAATTGGATCCAGCTGAACCGGAGCGACAGGCTTTATTGTCAAATTAACACACCACCGGTGACCTGGAAAACTCCAACTTCACGGCTTGTGTTTTTATGTTATTTATTTATTTTTTCCCAGCACGGAGCTTCGCAGGAGGACTTCATCCGCGGCAGCCGGGAGCAGAACATTCGAGATGTTGTCTACGACATCGCCAGCCAGGCCCACGTGCACCTGCAGCATGTATGTACCGCTCCCCCAAAGAACCATCAAAAGCAAGTGGACATTAAAGCGCCACATCCAGATGTGAAGCTCCAACATGCTGCTTTTGATAAATAATTCATCTGCTCCCGGGTGTCGGGCTCTGGGGTTTTACACATGTTTACACCATTTATTCACTTGATGCCTTTGTTTAAAGGCGAGCAAGGCTGGTCAAAGACAAGTCTGTGAAAATAAAACCTATGTAACATTAATCTGTTCCAGCCACGGCAATTAGCAACTCATATGTAGGCCATTTTGGAAGGAAGCAGCGAAAGAAAAATATTTTCTTCAAAGAGAGATGGACGTACTAAACAATATGGCTAATGGAACCTCCATATCTGTTGTCATTTCTGGTGCCCATTTGGTCGATCATATGTTCCTTAAAGGAAAAAAGAGGTCAACATGTTGAATTGTATTCTTTAATTGGACTTTGGGAAAACAGATGCTGTTACAAGCTCTTCTTTCCACCTGAGGACACCGTCCGTGCACTGCAACTGCTTGTCGGAGGAGAATAACCACAGAAAACGTTACCATTTTCTCCCCTATTGTTCCCATAATAATTCACATCAAGTTACAGAACACGCAGCATTGTGCTCGACTAAACAGTGCTGTGAGGCAGCACCAGAAAATACTGTTAATCAGTTTGAGAACATAAAGTCAAATGAAAAATGCTTCCAAATATATATCATGTTCACATATCATCATTTTGTGAGCACATTAAGTTTCAAGTTGTGTGAATTTTGCTCCCGGAGTGGAGTAGTCTCAAGCTAAGTGGATAAAGTGGCTGCAGAAAGATTGCATATGAAAGCATTGTCCATGAAAGAAGTAAACACTGATGGAGTTTTTTTTTGTACTTTTGAAGTTTCTCATTATCTGTTCCAAAAGAAAGAATAGTCTTATTTGTTCATTTCCAACAAAAATGAGTATGTTAGTCAAATGAAGTGGAACAGACTTCCTAAGGGTTTGAATCATTTTTTTGTTGTTTCAAAATGCTTAACCAGACTGCAGTTATTTTTCTGGAGGCTGATTCCTTTGCAGCATTTGAAATTGTGGCCCCTCACAAACAAGGATAAGTAAAGCCTCCGTATACAGTAGACCTGTTCTGGTGACACTCTCCCACAGCTCTTCAGCCACTCACAGCGGGGAAAGAAAGGTTTTCTATTTTGACAATGGAAATGAACGTCAGCGATGGGACATGCTGTGATTTTCAGCTTGCACCTGCTCTGTGGTGTGTAATTGAAAATGTCCCGGAACCATGTTTCACCACTAACATATTGCGTGGAGTTTGCAGCTAATTGTTTTTTATTTATTAGTCTCCACTTTCATGCCTCATTGATGTTTGTACTTAAGGAGGCTTTTTCATTAAGCAGCTCCTCCAACATTCACAAGAATTTCTGTTTTGTTTGTTCTGTGTTTATGCCAATTAGCAATGTTGCCTTAAGCTAAAACACATGTGATTATTCTGAGTGCAACCAATAGTGGAATATGAATTAAGATTTCCTTGTGCTGCTCTCTCTTTTTTTACAAGTCAGTTGGAAAAGTGCTGCTCTAATTAAGTGAAGATGAACAAAAGTGATCCCAGTCATGAGAACAGCATTTATCTCTGTAATGATTAGAAGAACTTTGGAATAAGACAGATTTGGCATTAGTACACCAATTAGCCACTGCCACAGTGTAAACATTCAGCAAACATTTCAGTGTTTTACTGTTTTACAAGTTTAGGGTGAGTGGAAGCCACTAATACAACATCTGGCCAGTTGAGACTGCTCCTCAGCTGGATGAACACCAAGCCAGAGGGTGTTGATCCAGCCTCCAAACTCTTTAGATTAACATCATAACAAAGAGGAGTCAAGGAGCAAAAACAGAAATGTCAAATGTCGCTCCAGAAATGGTTGTTATTCCTGATTTTAACATTCCCGTTCCATTTTAGATTAAATCAGTTCAACTCATATCAGAACAGCTCAGAACCTCGGGTTATGTCTAATATCAAACATTTACACATAAGAGATCAAGATCCCGCAGCATAAACCTCAAAACCTCAGTCCCGTGCAACTCACTGCAGCGTTATTAATGATCATGAAGTAGTTTCCACCCTTCTGAGGACATGAGCTATCAAATTCAGTCACGAGTTTTCCTTTTGGTGAAGAAAGAAGTCTTGAGGAAACTCAAGCTGTTTGTAGTCTGCAATGCTGTGAGCTGTTGAACATTTTGAATCCAGGATCAAAGCTTACAAAAGCAAACATGTTGTTAGAAATGCAATCTTTGCTAATTATTTACCTAATTGGATTCATTAGAAGGGAACTGGCTGAGTAAAGATTTAATTATTGTGCCCCATGTGGTGCAGTCGATAAGATTTTGTTTTGCTTTGCTGCCTGTATTCGCTCGTTACGTAAACCTCTTCTACAGATCATTGGGTTAACTAAACACTGCAGGAACAACATGTATGTTTTTGACTCTACTCCAGTTTGGTGACCTCCATCTACGCCAGTTTCTCAATATTGTCCCCACTGAAGGAAACCAAATGTGTGTCATTCCCGCCGTGACGAGTCTGAATGTCCGTCACTGTGAACTGATTTTAGGGAGGGCCTTGCTTATATCAGCAATATGACGCATTCTGCCCATATTTTGACAACATACTTCTTTCCTATGGAAATGGAAATCACTACCTGTTTGCTGTTGAGGAATCAAAAATCCAAAATAGGATCACATTTTGCTTTCAGAACCCCAGAAGTGGGTCTCAATTTCCCAAAACCAAGCCAAACTTTCCTCCCATTTAAAAATATCTAATATTTATTTTTGGATTCATTTTAATATCTCAAATGTTTTTTTTTTTTGTCTTGTCTGTTTCCATTCATTTGGAAAAAGGATTTTATCAGTATGTTTTACCCATTGTGCAACTCTAGCAACAGGAAAATAAGAAAAAGATTTGCCTGCTGGAAGGAATTGAAATGTGAAATGCAGATAGTTAAATGGATTGGATTGGAGCGCTGAATAAAAGTTTTTTCAGCCGCTTGTTTGTCAGCCCTCTGTGTATGACAGATCTCTGCAAAAGCAATCTGCGAGGGTTAGTGTGGATGCATGTGGATTTCATTCCTGTTTACTGTGCTCTCTCCTTCAGGCTCGATCATTTAGCCACAGCGTTCCAGCAGCTGCCAACCCGGCCTTCCTTTGCACAGTAAGTCATCAAACATCTGATAATATCTTTGTCATACCTACAAGGTAAATAGATGATTTTTTGGGGGGGATTTTTAATGCGCCGAATACAAAACCCCTTATATGTTGCAGAGGGAATCTACCTCACTGTCAAATGCCTGACAGCGACTCAAGGCTTTGCTTAAGCCATCATGAAAAGTTTTATAAATAACAAAAGTGTAGGACTACTTTTCTGAAGAATTATTCTCTAAGTTTTATGCTATTTTTTAGCTTCTGCACCGTCTCACATCGGTGTTGAAAGGCTTCTCAATCAACCCTGAAAATGTATCATGTCTCTTCCGAAGTTCCAAAGAGTGGATTTCTCTCTTTTGATTGTAATAAAATACCGCAAAATGTTGATTTCCTATACTGATATTTGGATTCAAAAAGCATAAAGCAGTCAAGGATGACATGTCGGTGAATTTCCAGTGAACAGGAACTTCTATTAGACAGTTCAGCGGTGAGAGTCAGGGCAGCATTTTGTGACCTGAGGCCTTCAAAAGTGTGGGCGGTCTAACAAGACAGGGCCGCAAAGCTCACCAGAACAGTGAACAGTGGAGGCGCGGTTTGGAATGAAAACCTCAAGAGCCCTGACCTTAACCCTGTTGACATGTTGATATGGGTCATATAATGGAGACACTCCAGAAATATCAATGAATCGAGAGTCGTGTAGAGTGGATTTTCTTATATCCCTCTTTTTCAGTATGTAGACCTAATGAGGAGTAACGAGTAATAGATGGGGGGGTTTTACTGCTTAACCACCCACATCTGTTTTTTTATGTTACTGAATTAAAGTTTTTCCGGCCTACACCGAATCAGGACTTCTTGTTCCCATTAACAGCAAAAGTGTTTATTTTATTTAGTTTCATCAGAGTTCACAGAGTTCAACTCAGCTGAAGAGTTCCAAAAAGGAAGTTTGCACATTTTGAATTGGGTTTGTGGAGCAGGATTTCAGATTTTAGATTTTAAGGCAGATTTCTTATAATGTCAGTTCTGCACAGATTGCCGGAAACACTAGCCTACAAAGCCATCCAATTAGGCGGCCGGTTCTTCCTACCAGCTTCAGTCTCGATAAAATACTGCTGAATGTATGATATGAAAAAGGAGCTGATATTCAGTGGCCCGATGGCACATAAAACTCTGATATATCCAGAGTCTGTTATGGAAATGCTGCACCGATGTGCTGTGAGTAAAGCAGAAAGCTGCCAGCAAAAAGCCCTCTACCCTCCTGAATGCAGGTTCTGATTTTCACAGCACAGCGGACCTCCACCGGGCCACACAAAACGCTCCTGCTGCACTTACCTCTGCGTCATAAATGTGTGAGAGCGGACGCGGCTCCTTGTGCGTTGTCTTGCCGCGCTGCAAATTTAATCCAGATAAACGGCAGGTTTGGGCCTGTGTCATGAAAGACGGGGAAGGAATCGGGAGCGGGGGGCCCGAGGGAAGCTGAGACTCTTTGGCTTTTCTCATATTGGCGCGGAAAGTTTTATTTAGACTCTTCTCTCAGAGACAGAGCTGCTTAAAAGCTGTGGATACACAACAGAGCTTTAGGAAAAGCTTCAAATTTGAACAATCTGATCATTGGTCTTTATCTGGTGGCGGATCTTCACCGTTTCTCGTGTGCTGTAGGTGGAATTTTGGCCTTTGTGGGGGAAAAAAAGCCCAAACAACAGCCCTGAAGTGTTTTATTCGAAAAAGCCATTTACAGCCCCTAATTTTCCACTAACGTGTTCAGTGACAAATGGAGGATGGAGAAGCAGACGCCTAATTGGATGGCTTCGTAGGCGGCGTGAAAAAAGTCAGTGCCATGTTTCTGTGGAACTAAATGAAACGAAAAATGTGGATAATATGGATGGGATGCATGAAGCCAGATACTGACCAGCAACCTATATTAATAACTACATTTCTGCTACAGAGTGTGGCCTTTTTTTGACAGTAGGACACAAAAGAAAATGTATGGGAAAGAGCTGCAGATTAAATTGCCTTCAGATGCCCCGAGAAATGTTCAATACCCTGTTCTTTACAGTCTCTGCCTCGGCTTCTGTGGTTTCTGGAAATGATTTCTCCAGGACAGTCTGTCCGTATTGATTCCTCACAACAAAACAAAATGCCCTCTCTTCCAGCCAGAAGCTGAGTAACATGAACAAAGTGTGACCAAAATCAATAATCTAATCAGAAAGTTATAGTGTGTTCGGAGGTCTGTTTTTTTCAGACGAGCTTTAAGATGGATGTATACGTCCTTTCCTCGTTTTTCACATGGATAAGTAAAACATTTTGCGGATTTTAAAATGTAAAAAAATGAAATATCCTTTATAAATCAATGCACAAAACCTATATTATGTGCTTAGAGTTAGTTGTTAAAGTACCTTTGCCAGCAGTTTAAGTCATCCTGAAAAAAAATCTTCACTTTTTCTTTGTTGAAAATCATCAACCAATTTGGATGAGTTTCATGTCTTTTCATAAAAGATCCAGAACCTCCCGAGGCCTGTGTGGCTGCTCCTGTGTTACCTGGCCCTTCCGTCAGCTTGTTTTCCCAAATTGCAAACCTCCCCCTGCAGGCTAAGATCCCGTTAAATGCAGAGGAACATTTCACCGGCTTTGTGCTTTTTGGCCTCCGTCTTTCCTTTTATCCTCCAGCCCCTGATGCAGACAAACTTTCATCGAACTTGATGCTGTCATCATGTTGTTCTGTCAGGATGGTGGTGATGAAAAGATACTCTGTCTCTGACTTTCTCTCTGAGGCCCTGTAGTTCAGATATTTACGACGCTTTTCAGTGGATCGCAGTTATTTAGTGGTTTTCATTGAAAAACAAAAAGCAGAGCTGTCGTCTGTCGGCGGTAGAACCACAAAGGTCTGATAGGTCGCACAGTTATTTTGGTGTGTTATTAACCAGCTGGTAGTTATCTCCTTCTGAGGTGCATTTGGACAACTTGAGCCATTTCATTGACACTGAGATGCAGGAGAGGAATCATCATGTCCATGGTACGATCACAGAAGGCAGGCCACGTGTGTTTTCTGGAATAAAATTGCCTGTCAAGTATTCTTCTTAGTTTGTCTGATTTGATGTGTGATCTGGGCTCTCAGGCTGTTTTTCTGCATGCTCTCTCGTGCCATAATAACATGGTTCAGGGGTTATTGAGTATTATGGATCGAAAAAGAGGCAGCCCTGGTAAGAGAGAGGGGTAGATGGGGGCTGAGTGCGTCTCCACACCCCGAAAATAATCTCCTTCAGTCGAGGTGTAAATGAACTGTCAAGAAATGATCTTCTGTGCTGTTTTTCTCTATTTTTCTGCGACAGAAAATTTCATTCAGACCTTAGAAAATTGGGGGAAAATGGCCACAAAGGGGAGATGCGCAGTATGGGGCCTGATGTAAAACCGAACCCCCTCTCTCTGTTGTGTCATGTGTTCCAGGTGGTGCTGGAAGACTATCTCCAGAGAGTGCGGAAAGCCGATTTTGACGTGTTCCACAATAGTCTGCAGAACAGGAACCCGCTCCTCCCCATCCAGCTGTACCTCCGCTCCTGGAAGAACACTTACTGAATTCAGTCTTCAGTCCCCGTCAGGTCGCCTCAGTCTGACTTCAGCCTGGGTGAGCGGCAGGAATCTCCCAATCCTGCCGGCGGAGCCTTCCTTTAGCAGGTTTACTAAGAAACCCAGACTCTTTTGAACCTGTGCACTGCCACTGAGATCACCCTTTTTCCGTACACCCTGCAGACCACAGCTGACATTTGCTCCTCCAAATCCCACACCAGCTTTGGTGGTTAAAATAAATCTTGTCTGAGATAGAAGTTTGTCTTGTAATGTGTGGTCATGGGAAAGTGTTCCAAAAAATAATGTAATACTTGTCTTCTACAAGCTTAAAGGATAATTATTACTAATTTGAGCCTGGGTCTTTATTTGCAGTCATTCTAACCAGTAAAACATATTAATTTTATCAAGGGTAAAAATTTGACAAACAGGTTTAGATGTACAAATGAGCGTGTTTCCAGTTGTTTGCCCTGGAAATTGATTTTTTCTATGAGAATGCCACATGGTTTCAGCACAGTAAATGCTTTATCCTCTAAATGTCCAAACAAAACTGAAATAAGTCAAATCATGGAGATTTAGGGGGTATCCAGATGGTAAAACTTCTATGGTAAAACCATCCAATTACAGACAAGATCTATTGATGTAAATATCGCAAACTTTTGGGTGTCAGGCAAGCTGCTTGGTCACTTTGAATTTATTGCCCGGTGTAGGAAAACTGTTTTTCAGCCTAAAAAATACAAAGATTTCACCACTTTTCTTTCCTACTGGTGAAAAATCTGTACATTCTGGTATTGGAGGAATTAAACTGATAAAATCTGCAGCCTCCTAACTAAATATTTTAAATTCTAACACACTTCACCCTTAAAAATTTAGCATGAATCCTGGTTTAAATTCTTTATTTAGGGTTTTCTTTTAAAATAGTGACTGCTGAGAACAATGAACATAAAACATGTAGATGTGGAGACAGGAGAGACGAGAGGATTACTCAAACCTAAAAAAAACACCAAAACATGAAATAGTATTTTGTTATACATATATTATATATACAATATTATATCAAGAATGAAAGGAGACCCATTTTAAGAGAAAATAACAACAATTGTGCTATTTATCATTTAAAAACTCCATTACTAATAAAGATGCTATAACCTGTACTAATTTTAACATCAATACAAATGATAATGATGGTAACAGTAATAATAATTAGAATGATCCCAAAAGTGCTACTGCTGCTAACCGTAATTATCCTGATGCCATCAGGAAAGGACTCAAAATGATGGTGACGTTGATCACGTAGATTAGGAGAGATTTCAATGATTCACTCAATGTAGTGAGTTAAGTAATTAAGCTATTGTGTGTGTGTGCCCACCATGCTTCCCCTTTGTTAGTTTGTGAGTGTGTATGTTCGACAAGTGGAATGCAGCAAAATGTACGGAAACCATCAGGATTACTCAGTGTGTATTGATGGGAATGTGCTCCCGCTGGATTTAATGGATTAAAAGATGCAAGACGAGCAACTTACACACACCCACTAGCGTGCATTCAAAAAGATGTTACATAAAGCATGCCTAATCAGAAGGGGCTCGATAAAAGATGTTGACCGTTGATTAGGTTTCATGGCTGCAGGCTAGTCAGAATATTTATAATAACAAGATGAAGTATTACCATCTCCATCATCATCATTAATAAACGTTATTACAATGTTTTAGCTCTATAGGCAAATGCTAATGTAATGTTTACATAATTTAAAGGCGATAACAGAGGAAACGGGAACAGTGAGACAGTTTAGTGTGATGATCATGGCCGAAAGCTTTCCATACTTTCATTACCAAACACAAAATAAAAAAGTTAATATTCCTGTCTCTAAGATAAATCATGAGGGATTAGTCTCTGTTTTAACTGTCTTATGTATTCCTGTCATTCTCCTTTAAGACCTTTTTCTTCATTCGAATGAGAGCAGGTTGAATAGAAATAAAATCAGGATGCGCTGCGTAAACACAGTTTTATCTTTCGGTGGTAGGCATACAGCTCGCCTCCTGCTGAGAGAACAGGCTGGGATCGACTGATACTTACTGGTTTCGGTCTACTCATTTGTGAAATATGTGACCGTGTTGTTTTTCTGTGCACGGATTATATTTCACATGTTTTTGTACATGTGGTTGTTATCTTACCAGATTTTTATCCATGCACAACAGAGAGAAAGAAAATCCTTCAATGCACTTTGAACAGTTTTTTCTTTTTAATGTGGAAATGTGTGAATTACTTAAGGCAGAGAGAGCACAGTGGCCATACCTTCTTAACAATAGGAATAGCACACAGGTCTCTGATCAGGAACTTTTCGCAGCTCATTGCAACAGGGCTAATTGCAACCATTCTTGTTTTCATGCAGCTGCTTTGTCAGTGTACACAGACAACATCTGGACTGATTTGGAAAAACTCCACATCATCCTGTTTTCCTTCACTTGATTTATGATTGGCAATCTTATCTGTCCTTCTTCTCTGCAGTCCTTGATAGATAAGCAGTGCAATTGGTCCAACATGTAAAAAACTTTGGTGTAAACACAGTGAATAACAATTTAAAAACTAATTTAGCAGACTTCACACAAGTTGCCAAGAATCTAATGAATTATATTATAAGTTTGGTGTTTTAATGCTCTTCTAATCATCTCTGTTCATGCTTTAATTGTCTTCGAAATTATGCTAACTTAATGCAAAACCCTCCGAGGCTTTCCTCCAAATAATCTTGATTGTCCCAGTGTTGCCCCTGGATATTAATTTGATTGTTTATCGTATTTCCTCAAATTCTCGCCAAACTAAATAATTCACGACAATTAACATTTTGTAATAGTGATTATGATGTTGCAAGGTCACATGGATCCAATGGACGTTTTAAAATAATTTATTCAATACTACTATACTACAGTACAACTCAATGGTCTAGTCTTTTTTTCTCGAAAAGAGGTATAAGTGTAGAGTTTAGAGACAGCAATCTCTGATCATTTTTTTTGTTTAATCAATTTGATCACGCATATCGTCTCACCTCCCCAAAACCTTTTTGTTTTGTTTTTGCAAGACTGGGGAAGATGCCTTGCATCAGCATGTCAAAGCCTCAATGAAGCTCTCATGGGCCCCAATGGCAGCCTGGGGGACTCAGTAACTGCTTAAAACCTTCAGCTTTAGCAGGACAGTCTGCTCTCTCTGTCATTTTTCTGGGGGAACAAATAAGAAAATTCGAACTTTTCACTAACTTTTCACATGTTTTTTTTATGATTGAGCGGCACCATTCAGAGGATTTTTCTCCTTCTATTCGCGACTTGAAAATAGCTCCTGACGGAAAGAAAGAATGACCTAACAGCTTTGATATAATTTCCGTCCCAGATTCAGGGGTAAACGGGCAGCAATCACTATCAGGAAAAACTGAATCCGTGATATTGAGACGGATGATTTGAGGACAGGCAGCAGGCGGCATAAAACAAGAAACATTATCAGTGAACATGCTCGATACAAAGTACCCCCCGTGGAGAGCAGTCTGGAGTTTCCTACTACACATATACACCAGAGCATTCAGACTGCTCCCTCTGACCAGGTAAGTTACAATGACAGCGTCAGCATACGCCTCACCAGAAATAAATTGAATGTCTTTATTGAACCGAACAGTGTTCAGGATGAATATGACTGCTGCTCTGTGACAGTTGAGTTCACACCGAGGCTGGAAATCATTGAAAAAAAGTGGGGCCGATCATTAATGTAGCCTGGAATTAAACTTTACACCTGTCAGTGACTCAAAATAAATATATACATATTTATATTTTAGCTACTTATAACTTACTTAATCCAAGCAGCAAGTGTGTGATTTCACTCTGCCACATTTATCTAACAGCAAGGGGTATTTATCAAACAGATATATTGTGTTTAAAAAGTAAATACAGAACCAAACCCCATTTTAAATAACGCTGAAACTTATGTTTGCATCTGTAGAAATATGTAGAAATAGCCCTATAGATAGTTAAATATTGCTGTATATTTTTCAACTGTCACCGCATGGCTTACTGAGTATTTGTGCACATGCCAATAAAAAACCTATATGCATGTTTCTATTTGGTGCTCTTTGTAGTGAAGGAAACATAAGATAATAACATATTTCAATATGACTGGTACAACAAATACAGATGACATTATTATAAAAGCAAAATTGTATAGTATAAAATATCAATCTTCTATGGTGCTGTGATAGAAAACTCAGATCATTTGAGCTCCATTACACCGTAATTCCACTTTGGCGCACAGGTTGAGACGTGAGTCACTGTGGTGTGCTGCAGACAGTCTGCAGAGGAGCCGACCGAGGAAAGAGGCAGCAGTACCAGGTGTAGAAAGAAAAAACGAGCATGGAGTCAAGCTGAAGATTATGAAAAGCCAAGTAATTACAACAACGACAAAAGGTGTCAGTTAGGGAGGATCAGGCTGAGCACCATTCTCCAAACGGCCAAACAAAAGACAAGACTAAAAAAGAGTTTAAACAGCAGTAAAGTATTGGAGCTGCTTTTTTTCCATGTAAAAGCAGTTGTTAAAGAGCATGTATCATTAATGTCACAGTGCAGGGTGAAAGTCTGGCCTTCTGTCACAGCTGGCAATTGCTGGTGGACAAGGAGGAACCATAAACAGAAGTACCAGTAGAGCTTGAGTTCAGTAAATGGGTTCATTTGGGTCGGCTGAGTGGAGAAATCTATCCTGGTGGGAGATCCAGGCAGGTGGGTGATTCTGGGAGAGCAGCGAGGAGGCTCCTGAAGGTTCCAGGAACCGAGTTATTTATTTATTTCTCTTCAATTGTCCGAGAGTACTTGCTGTTTTGCAGGAGGGGTATCACTGAATGTGAGACAATCTGGCACAAAACAAGGGAGCCCCTTCAGTTGCTTTGCAGAGAGCAGCAACAGGTGGAGCCACATGAGATGTACGTAGAACTGTGGTGTGCTCGTTCGTTTTTAAATTATCGTGCCCTGAAAAAGCGCTGGCTTCATTGTGGTCGACTGAAGATTTTAGAGGTATCTTTGTCCTTCTTAATGAAGAAATCTCTAAGTATCTAGTATCTATTTAATCAGAAGCTTTGAAAACATCAAGAGAAAATAGATTTTAGATCTGCAGAGGAAGAGTTTGTAAGTGATTATTGGAATTCCAGTTTCATGGGTCAACATTCAGGATTACCTGATGAAAGCTGTGGAAAGAAGCTTCAATGCTGCCTGAGAAGTACAAGCCAACAGAATTGTGTTGACATCTTGCTGAGGAGACCCAAACAAAGCTGTAAGCCCTTTTAACACCAGTTAAAGTTCTTGTTTTTGGTATTGCTATTTGCAGCCTCCGGAGATGCCTTAGGAAGTTTAGTTGAATCATGTCACACATGGCCTTGTATAAAAGGTCATTAAGGGACAAGATCACAGACGCGGGCTGGCTTATTTATGCATATTTTGTATTCAAAGCAAAAATGCAAAAAGAATACTAAACAGGCGAGGTCAAGGGCAGACTTTGGTTGGAAAAAAAGGGAACTAAAAATCCCTTTTAAAGGGGCAGTTGAGACGTTAAGGGCAGGTGTTCCGGCACCTGTAGCCGACCCAGTGTGCACGTGATGATGTACACGTGAATCTGAAACAGTTTAAAGGACCACCGGGTGCACAATCCTGCCAAGACCAATTCTCATCATAAAGGACACTCTCC